ACCGTAATCGTAGATAATATATTCATTGTGAATTATGATATAATTAATGAAATAGACTTTCATGCACATTCATAATTATTCAAAAAATAAAATAAAAAATACAGGCACTTATTTGCACGACTGTTGGTTCACAAAATAGCCTGATATATATATACGGCCACTTTTATTATCACTTAGACAATATGATGGAATTCCAACTCAGTTTGATCCTTTTCCCACGTAGATTACTGTTAATCAAACTCATCAGTATTGCATTATTAGTAATAGTACATACTTCACTAGTTCAAGTACTGTAATGTAATTGGAAACGTCTATTAATTATTTAATTATGCCCTATATAAACCTACCACCAACCCTAATCTGTGCTTATTTCATTGGTAAAATATTCTTTAAGTACCTCCATTTTTTATTTATTTTTTGTTAACCCCATAAATTAAAAGTTTATCAGACTAATCCTTGAAAATGACAATTTCCCATGTTCGTTTCCGAATGCAATCACAATCTGAAGTAGTCGTTACACACCAAACTAACGCTACACGTACACTTGATGCATTATGAGGAAGACAACCAATTGAGATTGAATATAATCATCAAGAAAACTAATTCCTTCAAGAACTATATGAAATGGCTCAACTTTAAGTGGATACTTTAAGCTTAGGTGATAAAAGCACTTACTCAACAAATAATAAGGGAGTTTTTTTTTTTTTTTTTTTTTATCCATGATGCCAATCATCTACTATAATCATTAAGAATACTACTGCAATAATATTATCACTATCATCAAATCACAAGAAGAAATCTCTAAATATTCAAACCACAAATCTGTAAGTGATGTACTGTCCAGCAGTCTCACTTGGCCTTATGATTCTTACAACTTGTCCACGCCTCAGCCCATAGTATCTCGCAATCGGGTCGTTCATCAATATGCGAGGCAGCTGGTCCAACAAAAATATAACAATCAGCTTCTCAATACAACGAGCGGTTTATAAGTTGTGAAATATAATAGATAATAAATCATATAAAATGATATAACAAATCGCTTCAGATGTATATAGAACTGCTACACTTAATCAGAAACTAACCTGAGTGTCTTTTACAGTGTACGTTTGCAGCAGAGTCTTTTTTTCCTCAGGTGTAAGCAACTGATGTTGGGGAACAAGAATATGCTCTTTTATGTTGGTTAACAGTTCAGCCTCCTGTTTTATTGCAATAAGTAGACAATAGTATTACTGACATAGTGACATGTACTATAAATCCCAATAAACGTTACTCTTTCTTTTATATGTAATAAAAACTAAACATAGCAGATCTAAAAGAAACATGTTTTCAAATTTCAACAACATATGAATGATTCAGAAATGTGGTATAAGTGGTATATATACCTGCAAGAAAACTTTTCTTTTTTTTTTTTCTAAAAATTACCCTGAGGAAAATATTAGACGCATTTGTCGAAAAAACGAGAATGTACGCTTATATTTTGAATATAAAATGTAAGACACATGTTGTAAATGACAACAGAATGAGAGACAGGAAAATTTACCAGAAAATATTCCACATGAAATTTTGAAGATATTTCACTTATACAGTTCTTAGCAAAAGGAGTTAATCCCTGCTGTACAACTAGGATCGCCCGACGAACACCCTCGTCTGCCATTCGTTTTGTACTAATGGTAATTGGCTTTACGCCAACCTTTGGGTCATCAGGAAAGAACACAAATATCTGGAAATAAGCACCAAAACAAAAGGATGTTAACTGACAACAGTAAAGAGAAGTTGATATCCCACCAATAACCATGATTCAGTTTTGAGGAACCAAAGAAGCTACATAAAAATACACTGGATGCAAGATTTGACGAATATTAAGAGGACAACAACACATAAATAGAGATGGAAAATGTAAACGAATCACAATACATATACTATATCTTAATGGCATAATCCCATAACATAGCTGCTTTCGTTTGAACCCGGGCCATATCACCCAAACGAAGAGCACAACTAGACATCCATCCGAAGTGGATAAAGAACATAAACTTCCTGATTCTTTAGTGGCTCGTGTGAAAATATTTTCATACTTTTTTTATGTTCATCATTTTTATTCTAGGTTTCACAATGCTCTTTTTTTTTCCAAAAATCTATTCGCCGTGGATCACATTCTGCAGCTACAAATAAAAATGTACAAAATACATTAAACACTACACCCAAAAACCTCTCATGGTTTAACCTAGAACGAATCCACAAAACCATACACATGCACGCATACAATTATCTATACACACACACACACACACACACGAAAAGGGGGTGACCTGGTCGGAGGGATTGGTACGCGAGGGTTTGAGGATAACAAGGCCCTCTCTGGTCATACCCTCACCATACTTCTGAACGAATTGAGACCTCGTCATTTCAATCTCAGAATCATCCACCAAGTAACCCCTATCGCTCAGCATTTGCATCACTGTCTTCCTCACTCTATAAAGCCGCGAGATTTCCTCCTCAGACAACATTTTCCCTCTGTAATTGCAATATGTTACCAAAAAAAAAAAGAAGCACAGACGCGAAAAGATAACAATATTATTATCTACTCAACACTGTCACAAAACCTACATAGACGAAACCATTTCCGTATTTATCTAATAAAAACAATCCTCCCAGCCCATTCATCCACCCCCAAATTACGCAGTTTTAGATGAAGATTGCGAAAGATTTTAACGGGACAATTAAATTCAAATTCGAAAATTTCAAAAGAATTTAACAATTTTATTACCTGAGATTTCTTAGTTTCTTAACGATTCCGTCAGCTGGTGCGTGGTGTTACTGTATGCGTGCTCAGGATACAGAGAGAGGCGGAGGGGTTTTAGACGAGGGTTTTTGTAGTGTGCGTTTGCATATAAAAGAATAATATATATATATATATATATATATAAATTAATCAATAATTTCACTACTAACCCTTTATACTCTCAAATATATTACTTAGCTCCATCTACTCTTCAAATTACTCGAATTGCCCCAATTTTTTACTCCTTAAAAATACTCAAAATACCCTATTTCAATTAACTCTTAATCACTACTATCATTTATTTTATTATTATTAAAAAAGTAACTTCGTAAATGGCAAAAAATATACTAAATTGCATGATTAAAAGTAAGGATCCAATTTAGTCAAACACAATAGTTGAGTAATTCTTGTGGGGCGAATACTCGATATGTAGAAACTTAAGGGATCATTTTGCAAATAAGAGGTCACGTAGGAAATATATCACTAAATTATTTCACAAATACCCCCCAAAAAAGTTTTGGTGCCGAAAAAGCCGAAAAATGGTTTCGATTGACAACGGTTCTATCGCCGCCACCGCGAACGACCATGCGGCGGCTGCTGCCGGAGGAGTCACCTTTCCTTCGATGTCACACTCAAACGGCGTACAGCCAGACAGCGACGGTTATCGCAAGAGAAAAATGACAAGTATCCCCTTGGAGGTCGGGACCCGTGTCAATTGCCGGTGGCGGGACGGAAAATACCATCCCGTCAAGGTTATCGAGCGCCGAAAGCTTCCTGCTGATGAATCCAACGATTATGAGTACTACGTGCACTATACCGAATGTGAGAGTAGTGTTTGATTCCGTTTTTTTTTGTTAATTATAAATATTAGGGTTAGGGTTAGGATAATTGGCTTTCCCATACTCGATCCAAAAATGGGGAAAATTGACTAATTAAGAGAGTTATTTAAGTATTTACGGGATTTGTGTACTTTGGCTTGATAAGATTTCATTCAATTTTGAAAAGAGTATTTCTAATTTCTGTTTAAAGCTTCGATTCCTTGATAATGAACCCTGTTTGATTTGAGTTGTTTGTTAGACCTATCCGTTCATCATTATTGCTCACATTTTTATGTACTGAGATTTTGAATTGGTGGACGTCGAATTTTGTGTTTGTTGCTGGTCTTCAGATGAAGTTCACTAAGCCATCAGTGAAACCTGATTCAGTTTATCTGATTATGTATGTTATTTTTTTGGACAGTTAACCGTAGACTTGATGAATGGATAAAAGTTGACCAACTTGATCTGAACTCTGTAGAAACTGATGTGGATGAGAAGGTTGAGGACAAGGTAACATGTTGTTCGTATCTTTGTTTCCTGGCATTTATTCCTGTTAGTACGTATTATACCTTTTCCACATTTCGAAGATCAATTCTGTATCAATAGTTATTACATATTTGGGTTCTCATATATGTACAAATCTCCTAATTATCTATACTCATTCATTGTTCTCCACATGACATATGGACATTTCAGGTAACTAGCTTGAAAATGACACGGCACCAAAAGCGTAAGATTGATGAGACACATGTGGAGGTACTCCTAGTTGGTTTTGGTATGTTCTTTTCTAGAGGTTCGTAGATCTGATTTTGGATGATAAGATGTATTATTTGAAATTAGCAGGGCCACGAGGAGCTTGATGCTGCTAGCTTGCGTGAGCATGAAGAATTTACAAAAGTTAAAAATATTGCTACTATGGAGCTCGGAAGATACGAGATCGAAACTTGGTACTTTTCTCCCTTTCCACCAGAATACAATGATTGTACCAAGCTGTTCTTTTGTGAATTTTGCCTCAATTTCATGAAGCGCAAAGAACAACTTCAGAGGCATATGGTGAGCTCTCTCTCTCTCTCTCTCTGTCTTTCTCTCTCAGTTTATTGCCTGGTCCTTCGTAGTTTTTTTCGGGCTTTATTATCTTTTTTTTTTAAATTCAACTTAGATGTTTTATTCTTTTACCTTTTACTTGTAGAGGAAATGTGATCTCAAGCATCCTCCTGGTGATGAGATATACCGAAATGGAACCTTGTCAATGTTTGAGGTAAAAGTTCCATTCGAGTGGCTGCTTATATGTATTTCGTTTCTCTACTTGCTACTCTCATTGCAAGTAAGGAAGTACTTTGCTGGTTGGCAATTTGCCAGAAATAATTTGCTGTAATTTTCTCGCTCTTGATTATTGCCACAGCTGTCCGTCAACTGAAATTCTCTATGCATACAAGAAACAATTTAAGCGTACTCTTAGTAATTGACATGCACTGTTGTCTTTTGCATTTTCACATTTCACTCTTTTCTTTGTGACTTTGTCTGGTTTGTTAGTGCAAGCTTTTGTTGGGAAGAAGTATCTAAATTTGAAAGTGCATGGCAACAGGTTGATGGCAAAAAGAACAAGGTTTACGGGCAAAATCTTTGCTATCTGGCGAAGTTGTTTCTTGATCACAAGACCCTGTACTATGATGTTGATCTTTTCCTTTTCTATGTGCTTTGCGAATGTGATGATCGAGGATGTCACATGGTTGGCTACTTCTCCAAGGTAATTTTATCATTTGGAGCTGGTCTTCTCTTTTACTTTGCCAATTCAGTGAAGTTCATGTTTTTTAATTCAAAATCCTTTCCGTCTTATTATCATGCATTTTCGTTTTGGGTCATGCACCATCTCTCTCATATATTAGCCTTTTGATCAATACAGAATTTTATTAGCTCCCATCTGAGCTATTTGGTATTTAACATGTCACCTGAGTTTATTCCTATTCAACTTTATCTCTTGCCCTATTGTTCTCTTGTTTAACGTCATTAAGGTGAAGGAAAACCAGATTGGGTAGGTACTTATCTAATTATGTGTATGAACATCTGGAACACCTTCGAGTAATTTCAGCCATTAGGAAGAAGTAGTTGATGGCATTTGTGAAATTACTAGACATTTTTCTCTTCCCTGACTCATCTTTGATTGATCTGCAGGAGAAGCATTCAGAGGAGTCCTACAATTTAGCTTGCATTCTTACTCTTCCTCCTTACCAGAGAAAAGGCTATGGAAAATTCCTGATTGCTTTCTGTAAGCTCTTCATTTATCATCCTCCCTCCTGTTTTGTGTATCCCATTGCCTTAAATAAAGATTAAACACACATAACCACAATACACGCAACACAATGATGACATTTTACCATGTCTCTTTTTCCTACACCACTTCAGTTCTCTGTATACACTATGCATAACTTCTAAATTATGTTTATACAAAATGCTTAATTACTCTGACCAACATGCAGCATATGAGCTTTCAAAGAAGGAAGGTAAAGTTGGAACACCGGAAAGACCTCTCTCGGACCTGGGGCTATTGAGCTACCGAGGATATTGGACACGTGTTCTTCTAGATATACTGAAAAAGCACAAGGGAAACATCTCTATTAAGGTTTGTTTAACAAGTAGTTTCAAAGTTTACCGATACCTATTGAAGTAGATCTTTTTTGCATGTGGTAAAAAATATCTCATTTCCTGGTACATGAGTATGTTCTTTCATGACCTACAGTTATCTCGACTCTTAAAATAGTGTTGCTCAGTTTGAAGGACCATTTTAGTTTTTCTGACACAAATAAAAACTTCCATCCTCATATGTGATGCTGCCTGCTTATTTACATACCAAATACTAGGGCTCCAATATTGATAGTTTAATTGGTTAATACAGGAGCTTAGTGACATGACAGCAATCAGAGCAGAGGATATTCTGTCGACGCTACAGAGTTTAGAGTTGATACAATATCGAAAGGGGCAGCATGTTATATGCGCAGATCCTAAGGTCTTAGATCGTCATCTTAAAGCAGCTGGCCGAGGTGGTCTTGATGTTGATGTTGCCAAATTGATATGGACTCCTTATAAAGAACAGGGCTGAGTCTTATTATTACACAGAGTCGATACAAAGTTCTCTCTATTATTCCTTGTCATGAATTTGATGCCCTCTGTATTATGTATATAGAAAAAATTAAACAACCAGATTATGATTCTGGTGGTAGTAGCTCTGTAGGCCTTCTATATAATATTGTATAATCAGCACTGTAGCTTCTTAGAATAGAAATGTATGAGATTTTTGTACCTGTGTTGATTGATTTCAAGAAATTATTACTTTTTGATATGTAAAAAGTTGTGAGCCTAGGAGAGAGCAGAGCAGCCCACTGTATTTTATATTTTATATTTTGTATTTTGAACCTTTTAACAAAATTAAACACGGTTTGAATTCTAAAGTGAACGCGTGGTATTGAATAATTATTTTAATCGTGCTCAATTAAAATACTGGATAACCTCAATTTGAATTCTAAAGTGAACACAAAATATTGACCATCACTGTCAATTTTGTGGTGTAAAAGAATAAATCAAATGAGAAAAAAAAAAAAAAATCTACAGCTGAATTATAGTTTACACTCCTAGTATTACAAGATAATATAGACTGGGTCCAAATTAAATACCTCAATCTATTTCCACTTAATTAAATGAATTGTCACACAGTTGGTGGTTGTGATTTGGTGTTCGGCAAATGAATTGGTTCAATCTGTAAGCTTTTCAGTGCAGCCCCACTAAATCTTCTCTTCCATAGATTCACTTCATCTCGGTCAACCCCCGGCGGCGCCACCTTCTTCACCACCGGCAGAGGCGGATCCAGTTCACCAATATTCACCAATTTAACGAAACCCTGTCCACATTTACCGTCACCGCTACTATTCAATTTCAATCTTCTTAAGTTATTGAGGCACACCTGATCTCTGCTACTTCTGCAACTCTTGCTCCCACTTCTTCCGGCGGAGAGGGCCACGACGGCGCCGCCCGTGTTGGTGGTGGACTGTGAGGAAGTCGATATTGGGGGCAAAAGGGCTTTGCTGGAAAATAGTTTTCTGAGCTTGGAGTATTTGTGGTGGTGGGTTGTGACGGCGGCGACGGCGGCGGTGGTGGGAAAGCCGATAACACGGTTGTTTCTCTTGACTTGGCCCATGCAACTGACTTTAGGGGAGGAGGGTTCATCGGCGGCGGGCGTTGGATCCTTGCGGCGGCGGTTGTTGAGATTAATGTCTTTGATTGATAATCTGCAGAAGATTGGGAGGAACATGTTTTTCCGGTGGAAGATGTGGTGGTGCTGAATGCTATGGTGATCATATCCGTGGCCCATTAATCGGGTTTCTCGATCTCAACTCTTCTTGTTTACTGTGTGTGTTTCTTGGTGTGTAGAAATTTATGTGTGGTGTTTAGTTAGTTTCTATGTGATCTGATATGTGTATGTGTGCGTGTGAGAGAGAGAGAAGTGAAATTAAATGAGGACAATATAATCAATAATGGGGGATTATAATCAAGATTCAAGATGCGGGTTTATGTGTGTGTGTGTGAGAGAGCGAATGAGTCAACCAGAGATGCATATAAAATGCAATAACTTGTCTGCAAGTGAAACACGCACAGAGACAAACTGACACATTATTCATAATTATACACATGCAAAGAGATAGATAGGTTTATTATTATATAAAAAAGGTTTAATTATTTGAATAATACAAGTTTATGAAGACTCAGGTCTCGAAGTAAATATAGTTTATCTTTTATTTGTTAGCATATATATGTAGCTATCATATAGATTTATCTTCGGAGTTTATTGTATATATTGTTGACTCTTTCTTATTAGGTGTGTAAAACATTTAAAATGTGGGTTTAGTTATTATTCCTTTTCCCTTTGAACAATTAGTCAGTCCAATAGTCCATAAAATGGTGTCTATTAGATTTAATTGACTATTGTACTAGAAAAATTATCAAAAAGAAGGACTATTGGACTAAATTTGTCATTTGTTACATAAGTTGTATTTCAATATAGTGATGAATTTCAGAAATAAATGGACGATGAATTTTTGTAGGCACATGAGTGTCGGTGGACACGTGTCTCATTAGCCGACATCACGAGTTTGTCAGCATGTGGACCGCACATGTTAAAGTCCAACTGGGACCCTTTGCTCCTCTTCATTCAATTTTGAATTTGGAGAAATCGTGAAATTTACAGTTTTCATCCCTTATGTTTGCATCGATTCCACATATGGTCTCTATATTAACAAAAAACACATTTGATACCTTGTTTTTTAATAATTTAACATTTTTGGTCATTTTTATCAATTTACCATTAGGTCGTCACTTAAGGCTGTCATCGGCACACTCCTTGATTTTGTTAGTACTAACAGAAAATTTACGGGAATGACTAAAAATGTTGAATTTTTGAAATATGGTGGACCAAATGTGTTTTTCCCGACAATAATCAAACTTTCTTCTATTTAGAAAATTTAAAAAAAATAGGGTTACATATGGCCTTACAAGCATGCACACAACACATACCTTTCGCTAAATACTAGCCGAAAACAGTACCAAGATCAAACTTGAATTTACAATTAAATTCTATTTCACACACCGTGTCCTATTCAAGAAAAAAAAAAATTTAATTGGGGGAGGGCAAAAAAAAAGTAAAAAACCAGGGGTTGGCCTGGGTGTGGAGAGGCCAAACTGCAGCTATATTATAAACAAGGGACAATTAATATTGTGTTTGAAGGTTGTTTTGTCGTCTAATCTTTTCACAAAACATAATTAAATCAGAGATTATGTACTCATGCCAATGCACACACTTAAATACGTATATATATTCAGTTATGCATAGTAAATGATAACCGATTACATATAGCTTTGTTACATCAGACGACATTTGGCATCTACTACACATTGTAAACATTATCCAGTTGTAATCTTCTCTCTACGAAAACTCGAAAATAAAAAAATAAAAATAGCGCAGATGTTAACAGGCCCAGTAGACAGTTTAACCTCTGCAGTCCAATAAGCATGAAATTAGATATCAAGGCATTTATGGGCCCATTAAAAATAATGGTGTTAGTAAAAACGCCGTTGCCGGGGATCGAACCCGGGTCACCCGCGTGACAGGCGGGAATACTTACCACTATACTACAACGACTTTGTTGCTTGACTTTTTTGTTATATTTAATTAACAACAGTGTTATATTGGAACTTTGATAAAATATACACAAAACGCCGTTGCCGGGGATCGAACCCGGGTCACCCGCGTGACAGGCGGGAATACTTACCACTATACTACAACGACTACGTTGATAACTCAATTTATATAGTTAAATTAATTTTGTGGTGTTATAGAAATTGTACCGTTGGATATCTGCATATAATTTAGCATCATAAATGACAAAATTCAAATGTTATTAAAGATTGATTACTTGATTCATAATGGTTAATAGTTAATACTTATGTCATGCTATATAATTTACTTCAAAGGGTAAAAAGTCACCAATTGCTGTGGTGAAACTTAAAACAGAGCAGCAACTTCACTCTCGTTAGTGAAAATGGAAAATCCAAACAAACTGGTTAGCCTGTTCAGTATAGAGCTCTCTACAGTTAGTAGAGTTATACTAGCCAACCAAGTGTACATATTTTGTTATTTAATTTATTTGATGAACAAAATACTTAGAAGCAAAATATTAGCTCTATAGAAAACTCAGTATCAAATCACAGGACAATGTTTTACACGTAAATTATCGAGTCTATTAAGTAACATCTACTCAACTCAAAACTCAGTCTATTCTATGCTACACCGGATAAAATACACCGGGTAGATCTTTATCATTCATATACATAAACACAAACACACACACACACCCACATTGGTGTGTGTAGATCAACGGTAAAAAATCACCCGGTGTAGCATAGAAATAAACCTCAAAACTCACTGCCCTCTTTTTTTTTTTTACAGAAAATCATCTGAAATAATTATTAGCTTTTTGCCTTTTCATAATCACCAACTTTTTGATATAATAATCACTTGGTGTTAACTTTGCTAGACTGAATGTTTTCATTTCTTTTTGAATGTATGTGCAAAGAATATTACAATAAAGCATTCCACAAAGCCTCTTCTCCTTCACCACACTGTTCATGTACAAATTTCATCTTCTCCACTGATTTACATATTCCGCTGCAGCTCCAATCGAACGAGGCTATACATACATTCCCCGCTTGCGACTTCCATTCGCAATCTGCACATTTACCAACATATTCAAATCAAGATTCATTCTTTCCGAGGGCTTAATCTTTCAAATCAAGTAAACTAATATATATAAATACCTGGTGGAGTACCACAGCACATATTTCGCTCGTCTATGTGCTCAACTTCAAGACCGATAAACCAAGCTCCAAGTGACACGTCTTCATTTGCATACTTGTGCAGTATGTGCCTACAAATTGCCGTTTTAATGCATGAATTAAAATTATAAGCGAGTGACTGTGTTGGATTAACATATAAGCGGGGAATGATTACTGGTTAATGGAGATGTAGGTGGCTAAATCCTTAGATAGAGCGTAAATCTGGCCAGTTGCATGGCGGAAATATTTGTTTCCGTCTTCTCCGAATTTCCAGTACTCTGGTTCGTGGTACTTCACATTCCTGAACAAAATATCGAGTTATTACATACATGTACAACAGAATCAAGAAACATTATAAAGTTGTCGGAAATATAAAGATTACTTTTGAGAAAGAACTGGCCCAGATTTCATGCAGCCAATGTAAACTCTGGGTTTTGGTCGGTGACGTGCGAGAGTTGCAGCTAACGTACCTTTTAAGACAAATACATTTTATAATACGAGTGTTATTTAGCCAAAAAAAATAAAAATGGTAGTTATTTGGATTTGAAAAGGTGTTGCTGCAATACTTACCCAAATTAACATGAACATCGTCATCAACTTTGACATAGAAATCAGCATCCCATTTTGCAACAGCAGTGGCAAAGAAAATCTTCGTTTTTGCAGATAGTTCATGATATCCTTCAACGTGCTCCTACAAATATTGAATATATACGATTTCAGCTCAAACGGGTTTTTTAAGAAGGAAAAAAGAAACATATATATTTGAGCTGAATTCTTTTTACCAGCCTGAGAAAGTCGTTATGCTGAGCTTCTTCCGAGTCGAGGGCTCTATCCAATATGCTGTTTGATGTTGCACTGAACCAATCAAGAAACATATCTACCAGATTAGTCTTCGATTTAAAGAAGCAACATTAAAGAAAATGCAATTACAGAATCGAATAATACGATTGAGTAATTAATTAATATATACCTATGTCCAATCATAAATCTAACAACAATCCCCTTCTCATGCTCCAACTTGCGAAGTTGATCGCCTGAGCAGCAAATGTACCGAATTTCCCAAATTTATTTCTCGGTTATAATAAATATACTTCGATTGAGATCGAAATTAGGTAATGTTTATTACCTTGAGGCATCCAAGTTTCTCGGACAGAATCACGCCTCTTCCGACTGCTGAAAGCTGTATTTATACCAATCACCATAAATACCTTCTTCCTTTGAGAGCTTTGATCGGAAATTGCCGGCGACCCATCGGTTTTTACTTTCTCCTGAACACTTCTTGACACAGATAACTCCATTTGCAGCATTGAAATTGACTTGTCCAATGACCTGAAAACCCCATTGAGATTTGACACGTGCAAGAAAGAAAGTGCTGAAAATCAGGGAATTATGAACTCACTGGATTGCCTCATGGGTTTTGTACACCTCCTTCATTGCATCCTTGTTGTCCATATCCCCTTCTTTCTATTCAGACAAAAAGAAAAAAAAATGAAGATCGAATCAACCAATCCACCCAAATCCATACCTCAAAAGTCAAAACCCAAAAATCAAAAGGCTAAAAAAATTGAATCTTTACATATAAAGAAACAAACCCAGAATCATAGTGGCAACATAAGACGAAATCGAAGTGAAAAATGAAACCTTCTTCTTATTATTGCAATCCTCGGAGACGATCTGCAGTTCTTGGTCCAGCCTTTGCTTGGTTATGAGCTGACTGTTAGATTCCAATGGAGCCCAGAATCTGTTAAAAAAAAAACCCAGATCAGCCAACCAGAAAACAACAAAACTGAAATAAAATTCTTGAACTAATTAAGACATACTTGTTGGTGAAAAACATGCCCAAGAAGAAGAAGCAAATGGAGAAAACAGGAATCCATTTTGCAGACACCTTCCCACCACTTTTACTCTTCATTATTTTCTTCAAAAAATGAAATGGGGAAAAAAAAACCCAGAAATTAAGCAAACTTAAAAAAGAAGACGATCGAAATCGGGGATATATATTGATTGACTGAGTTGTGGGAAAGACGTGACACGAGAGCGACGATGGAGCTGGAAAATGGAGAATGTCGATGGAATTTTCCGAATAATTTCAGATAATCAATATTTTATTTCGAAGAATTATCGCCCGGGTTTAGACTTTGAAATTTGGACAGTTGGACTAAAATTTTCGCATGTTTGGCAAATATTTAGGTGCGTGTCAGTGTTTCTTTGGGCTATAGAGGTTAAGGCAAAGGGGATTGGTAATAAATTAGGTGGAATTGTCAATGACTTAAGATAAACTGTAATTAAAGAAGCCTTAATTATAGTTTTATTTTATTAATAACTTGTGTATTAATTATTGCAATGTCAACCAATTAGACACGTCTTGATATTGTTATTATTATCTTTTTACCTGGAAACAATTTTTTTTTTAAATTATGGGTTTAAATGGAACTTTTTTGCAATGAAATTCGAATATTTTATTATTGGTATTTTTTCTAGTTTATTGCTTCAATGGTTTTGTGATTCGTTGTATTATGTTAACCAATGGAGTTAGACTAAGAGATACAATCAAATTATTGCTAGTAATGGGATGCAAGTGGTCTTCTTCTCGTGCCATGTAAATAATTTTATTTGTTATAGAATAAATTAATGTGAGTTATTAAATAGTTGAACTTTAATAATGTCTCAACATGTTCGATTTCAGTTAATTAAGCGACATATGTAAATGCATGTGATGGTGTAAGATGTACATTCTCAAGACATTCTTCCAAGCTGTTGGAAAATTCACCGAACGCTGTTTTTCGTTGGAGAAGATGAATTCGACGAACATATAGTATAAATTGAGTTTTATTGATGAGTATTGGAATCGTGTCTGTAGTCGGATCTCTACACTTGTTTATATAGACAATTGTGTGTGGCTATCCCCCTCTTAATTAGTCGAGATTTACATTGATTGCTCCACTATTGTTGAGTGTTCGGACGAGATGACGAACTTGATAATCGCATATCACAGGGGCACCATTTAACCAGCTAGATACCAATGGGCTTTCTTCCGGTGAGCTTCTAGAAGAATCCATATCTTTGATGCATATTGAGCCTCTGACCCAATAAATCGGCCTCTCGGCACAATAAATGAGTATCGTCCTAATATGGAGGGTTTGACCCAACCTTACCAAACTGACTTCCATCATCATGAAATTTATAAGATATAGTCCAACAATTTTTTTAACCCAATAAAAGTCCAACTTGAGCCAATAGGTCCAATTAAGAATACTAACTACCAGCCCAACAATACCACATTGAATTGAAATTACTAATTACCAGCCCATGCTTTAATTATAAAATACACTAATAAATATCTATATTAAATAACAATTATTCAATAAATTTGTCTCTATTCAAAATATTTGACTTTTCTCCTAGGGCTTTTCACATCGGCCAAAGAGAAGTGACAAAGCAGAATACCATAAGAACGAAACAGAAAAAATCGGCAGACGGAGGACTCATCTACCGGTGATAATATTCATTATTTCGAGCTCGAAGCTGAATCTCTTGTTAACTAATCACGACAGGAAGAGAAGTTGTGGTAGAGAACGTATGTTTTACCTATTCAAAATTCCTTCAATTTTATTTCAGTTTATTTATTTATTTATTTTTATTTCAGTTGTGAGTGATTTTCTGATGAAATCAAATCCTAGATTTTATAGAGTTGATTGGTGTTAAAAAAATTACGTTGGTGGTTGCTTGAACTAATATGGTAGTTGATTGGTTGCTTGAAATAATTCCAGATTTTGTGGTTGAGGGTTTTATTATTTTAATTTTTACACAATTTGTTAAAATTGAACTTTGGTTTCTCAAATTTGAGAAGCCAAAGTTCAATTATATAGATTTCCATCATGCTGAACGAATCGTTTTGTTGTTTGCTCGATAAACCTTCTGTGCGTGTATATTTATGGATTATTGTTATTACAGTAGAACCTCATAAATTAATACTCGATAAATTAATAACCTCGCTTAAATAATAATTTCTTACGGTCCGACTCATGGTTCGCCGGAACGGTCGGAACGGCCCTTCCGGAACGGGAACTGTGCCCTCCGTTCCAGAATCCGTAACCAGAACGGTAGTTGCACCGTGACTCATCGGAACGCCGAGAAATCGGTGGGATGGGCGAGACGGAGCCACGGAACGGCCCCGACGCGGCCGGAACGGCACCGGAACGGTGCCGGAACAGTGAAAAAGAATTTGGAAAGAAAAAAAAAACAAATTTAACTAAAAAAAATAAGGAAAAAAAACATAAAAGAAAAAATAAATAAATAATATGATGGTGGTGGCCACGTTAGATAACGAAGATTCCCCTGAATCACAGATCTTTGGCCTCACTCTTCAATTATATCCTACACAATTCTAGTTCGTGTTCTAGTTGGTATTAATATTGCTTATATTTTCATAATATTCTCTTTGTAATATTTATTTTTTAATTTGTAATAATATTTTGCATATTATTGAATTGTAATATTGTTATTAAAAACATATTTGAAATATATTGTATTTTTTAAACAATTTAATTAAAATGTGTCCGTTCCGGCCGCGACGCAACGGAACTGGAACGGCAGTGTCCGCGACAATGCACTGTTCCGTTCCGGCGAACCATGGTCCGACTCGACTCGGTAAAAACGTACTAAATATTAGCTCAATAATTTAATATTTCGCCAAATTAATAGAATTTGGTCAGTCCCGACTCTATTAATTTATAGAGGTTTAACTGTATGTTTTATTTGATCGGATGCGTATATCTAGAGAGAACAAACGATTATTTCGAACCTTATTGTGTCTTAGCTAAAATTATATTTCATACGTCAAATCTTCCCTTGTTTTTTGATAGTTCTAATAAGTCAATCTTTCTTGCATTCTATCTAGGATTGTTTCTTCAGCATCAACTCAGCAATTTAAGAACAATGTCGGACGGTCAAGAAACTGATAAGAACATTGAGATATGGAAAATCAAAAAGCTAATCAAGGCACTGGAAGCTGCTCGAGGCAATGGTACTAGCATGATTTCACTTATCATGCCTCCACGTGATCAAGTGTCTCGCGTCACTAAGATGCTTGGAGATGAATTTGGAACTGCATCCAATATCAAGAGCAGAGTAAATCGCCAATCTGTTCTTGGTGCAATCACTTCTGCTCAACAGAGGCTGAAACTGTACAACAAGGTTCCTCCAAACGGGCTCGTGCTTTACACTGGAACTATTGTTACAGACGATGGGAAGGAAAAGAAGGTAACAATCGACTTTGAGCCTTTCAAGCCTATTAACGCATCTCTTTATCTCTGTGACAACAAGTTCCATACGGAGGCGCTTAATGAACTTCTGGAATCTGATGACAAGTTCGGCTTTATCATAATGGATGGTAATGGTACCCTTTTTGGAACATTGAGCGGTAATACTAGGGAGATTCTTCACAAATTCACTGTGGATCTTCCTAAGAAGCATGGAAGAGGAGGGCAATCTGCTTTGAGGTTTGCTCGTTTGCGAATGGAGAAGCGTCACAACTATGTGAGGAAAGCAGCAGAGCTTTCCACCCAATTTTACATCAACCCTCAGACAAGCCAGCCTAATGTGTCTGGACTTATACTTGCTGGTTCAGCCGATTTCAAGACTGAACTCAGTCAGTCCGATATGTTTGATCCTCGTCTACAGGCGAAGATATTGAATGTGGTTGATGTATCTTATGGAGGTGAAAACGGCTTCAACCAGGCGATTGAGCTTTCTGCCGAGGTCTTATCTAATGTGAAATTTATACAAGAGAAGCGTCTTATAGGCAAGTATTTCGAAGAGATTAGTCAGGACACTGGGAAATATGTTTTTGGTGTGGATGACACGCTGAAGGTTCTTGAAATGGGTGCAGTCGAGACACTTATTGTGTGGGAAAATCTGGACGTTAATCGATATGTGCTGAAGAACACTATTTCTGGTGAAATTGTCATAAAGCACTTGAACAAGGATCAGGAGAATGATCAGAGTAATTTCAGGGATCAAGATACAAACGCTGAATTGGAGGTTCAGGAGAAGCAATCACTGCTCGAATGGTTTGCAGATGAATATAAGCGATTTGGTTGCACACTTGAGTTTGTGACGAACAAATCGCAAGAGGGATCTCAGTTTTGCAGAGGTTTTGGAGGAATTGGAGGGATCCTTCGTTATCAGTTGGATGTTCGAACTTTTGACGAGCTTTCCGATGATGGAGAAGTTTATGAAGATTCTGACTAGCAATCAGTCAACTTCCCCAAATCCGGTGCAGGGATAGAGCAGGAGGCCTGCACTGGTGCGCGAGGGCTCGCGCCTGACGACTGCGCTGCTCGTGGCTATGATGATGGGAAAACAAAATTGAAGGGACAATCGCTGAGGTATGTGATAAATATAAGTTACTTTCTTTAAGTCGGCTATGCAAATAAATGATTTATGTTGTTTATTATTGTTTTCTTTTGTTGTGGAACAGTTACGAGTAAGCGATATGGAGGAGAGGTCTGTGAGTAAGGGCAATATGAAGATTGTCTGAAACATTAATATCTTTACTGTTCTATGTTTTTTATGGTCTGCTGTGGTTGGGTGCTTTTCGGAGAGAAGGCAGTTACTTGTACAAGTTGCTGTTATTATTTTTACTTTTTAAGTTTTATTATACAGACACGTATCTCTACCATTTATATTATGTTGCAATAAGCACTGCATTTGGGATTATTGTTGATGCAGTGGTTTCCCTTTGGATATTTTTGTTGGTATTTTATTTGGAGGATTTGAACCTTTTACTAAATTTTGATTAGCTGGGCAATGTTTTATTATTATTTTTGGCCTCATTTGTTGTCACATGCTGAACAACTTGGAATAAGTGATTGGTTTGGGCTGGACTGTAGAATTAATTGTTTATGTTGAAATTGAAATGTTGGCCCATTTTTACATCTCAAAAGAAAAAGGAAAATATTGGCCCATTTTAGCTACAAGTACCGCAGCGAAGCCTAATGACCTAATCATCCTTGTTCTTTCTTCTCTTTGATTTCAAACCTAATCCCTAGTTTCCTCTTTCTTCTTCGGGCCGCTTTCCTCTGTCAGATAATTCATACTTAAATTCGTCGACAGAGTTTTATCAGCTGGACCGGTCGATTTCATGCTCATTATTAGGTCATTCTACTCATGCTTCTTGTTTTGTTATTTGAATCGTTAATTTCTGGAATGCTATTTAGGTAATTAGGTTTAAAATTGATTTGTTTACCTCAACTTTCTGTCATCTAATTTCCCATACATTATTCCATGATCATTCTACAAGTTGGTTTGATGAAAAAGTTGATTAAGTCTTGTAGTTTTTTTTTTTTTCTTCCGGAAATGAAAAGGTAGTAAAAGAAATGGAAATGATGGTATAAAGTAAAAGGTGTGAGCAGGATGCAGTGTTGGTAGCCATGGGGTTAGAGTGTTTGAAAGAAAGTAGTAAATGTATGTAGAAGAGGGCCCTTGTCTCTGTTCGAGTTTTGACATCGAGACGTTCGCAACCTCTTCGATAACAATACAATAATCCCAATCCTTATGTTTTGGTGATTAATGGGTTGCAAGAAAAAGGCGTGGGATTGCATCCTAGTATTGGATTTCAATTTAGACTTCAGCCCTACAGTTTTTCATTCTCTCTACCCCATGCTAGCTATCTCCATTCTTCCTGCATTTGATCACAATCACATGCTGATCCATTTGCTAACTAGTGTCTACTTCTCTTTATGTTTGTTTATGTTTCTGCTTTTGTATAGCTCGGTCGACTATTGTTTTTAGCATTTTTAAGGTTCATTTTTTGGCTTTGACTTCTACTACAATGATTTTAACTACTCATGGCTGAATAATTCTTAGCCAAGTAATCAATGTTTTATCTTTCATGCTTTATTTGGAATTGCAGCTCAATGGTCTTTGGGAATCGTCAAATTGTGAAAGTGTTCGTTGTTCAAAACGACGAAACAAGTAAGGCTGGCAGTTGATATTCACATAGTACTTTACATTGTACTCGTAAGTAAAGGGTTGTTGATGCGAAATTTATGTTGTGTGCCGACCTTGTTAGAAGCTTGTGTTGTGCTTTCATGTGAGGCAAATTGTGCCCTGTCTATTATTCTATGCTACACACCATCCGGTGAACTTCAGTGTGTAATTTTCCTACCTCTGATTTACATACAATCACACTTATACGCGTGAATGTGTGTATGGATGTCTACACTTATATGGTAGGATATAACTCGGTGGAATTCACCGGATGTTTGTGTTCCTCTCATAATGAAAGAATGGTCTATATATTTCTATATTCAGTTAGATTTGTACTCTGCATTCAATTGAAAATTACGACACTAGATTCATAGTTGCAGATAAGGTGTAAACCATTTATCGGTGCTTTAAACGGACTACTCTTAATTTACAGAAAATCGGATGCCATTCATGTAATTTCTTTCAAAACTCAATTTAACTATGGGAACAAAAGCTCTACTGATGATGTACAGTTAATTGGGCTACTAAATTTAAATTTACCGGGTTGAAGTAATGTTGAGTGTAATATAATGGGCCATGGCCCAGTGAAGGTCCAGCATGTCTAATCCAATCACACAAGTGTTCGTTGATCCATATTATAGGATTTGGACCCCAACTTTAAAATTTGAATTTAGTCAATTTACTAAGCCCAATATAAACAATTCAAGCGCACATGTGACAAACTGTAAATTATATTTGCATAAGTTTCAATCCCCATGTCACACATGATTTGCCTAGTACGGTTTATGTCTCTCGTATGATTCGTAAGCTATTATACGAGAGTCCAGGTTTACCCAGTGCTATACTCTACTCAACCCCCTATAACTAGTCAAGCTGTATTCCCAAATTTTCAACATCAAAATGATAGCTATTGTTTTGTTTTTATAAATACTTTGAACAACTGGAGTGATCTCATCCATCCACTTGTCTCGTTGGTTATAATCAGAAATACGAGTTCACAATAATTCCAAAACAAACGAAGTTTCAAGTTTGTGTTGGCACAAATTATCTTTCAAATTAGTACTAAATATCTAAGGCCATACGGCTCTAAACTCGATTATTTTTATGCTATATCAGATAAAAATTACACTGATGGATTTTTATGGTTGATCTAGACACTAATGTTGATGTGTATGTGTTTGTGTGTTTATAAATAGTTTAGATTTATCCAGTGCATTTCACCGGTGTAGTTATTAAATCACAATAATTAAACGTAGTGTGATTATTAAATCACAATAGTTTAGAAAATTCAACGTAGTGTGATTATTAAATCACAATAACCTTGCAGATTTTTTTGCCCAAATATTTATTAAATAGCATATAAAATAATCAATAGCTTAAGATAAGAAACAATTATTATTTAAAATTCGTTGGTATGTAACTTTTGTTTTAGGGGCAAATGGCAAAAAGGTCCATCACATGAGACTTAAATGCATTTTGGTCCACAAAAAAAACAGTCTCTCAATTAAGCCCATCCCCATGTCTTTAGTCTAAAATACCCTCAATAATATAATTCTTATCAATTCCACCCATTATACTCTAACTTCCTTAATATTACACATTGACCCGAATTTAAACAAATATATCACATTAACCCCCAAAACTTTTTTTTTTTCAGAAAATAATTTTTTTTATGAAATGTTTTTTTTCCGGCCAGATTCCGGCGTTGACCGCCGGTCTCCGGCGTTGACTTTTTTTTTTTTTTTTTTTGAATTGTTTTTCTTAGAAAAAAATATTTTAATTAATATTACTGTCTTGGCTACTAAATTACTGTCTCAGACAGTAATATTACTGTTTGTGATAGTAATATTATGAATATTATTTTTCCGAACAGTAATATTATTAATATTATTGTCTAAGACAGTTAAATTATTGTTGGAGACAGTAATTTAACATCCAAGGCAGTAATATTAATTAAAATAATTTTTTTTAAGGAAAAAAAAAAGTCAATTAACAGTTAAATTACTGTCTCCGACAGTTAAATAACTGCCGGAGACAGTAATTTAGCAACGAATACAGTAATATTAATTAAAATTATTTTTTTTAAGAATAAAAAAGTCAATTAACAGTTAAATTACTGTCTCCGACAGTTAAATAACTGTTGGAGACAGTAATTTAGCAACGAATACAGTAATATTAATTAAAATATTTTTGAAGAAAAAAAAAAAACAAAAGAGTCAATTAACAGTTAAATTACTGTCTCCGACATTTAAATAACTGCCGGAGATAGTAATTTAGCAGCCAAGACAGTAATATTAATTAAAATATTTTTTTAAGAAAAAACAAAATTAAAAAAAAAAAAAAAAAAGTCAACGCCGGAGACCCGACGGTCAACGGCAGTTGACCGGCCGGAAAAAAATTTCAGGAAAAAATAAATTTTCAAAAAAAAAAAAAAAAAACCGGTCTCCGGTGGTGGCGGGTCAAAATTGAAATTATGGTTAAAATTAGTTAATTGATGAAATTGGGCTAAATTGGGGTGTAAATCATGAAATTGGAGTTAAATTGGGTTTCAATGAATTGGGGGTAATTTGGTATATATAAAAGGATTTTTCTTATTTGCAAATAAGTTTGAATGGGTTGGATTTATTTGAAAGACAAAAAAATTGGATGTCCCTCTTTTAATTAAGTGCCCTTGTCATGGGCCTATTTGCCACCCCTTGTTTTAGAGACTTGGTCTCCAAAATAAAAGTCAGAAATCCTAATAACTTTTTTTAATAGTTAAATTTTTTAAATCTTGTAACTTATTTATCGTATTATATCTCATTAATCCTATACTAATAAATAAATATATTTCAATATATAACATATTTGATTCATTACTTATTGGTTAATGTACTTTGTCAATAAAATTATTATTATTAAATTTTTTTGAGGAAAATCAAGAAAATACAGGTAGAAAAAATCTGAATAGAGAGAAAGAAATCAGAAAGCGGTGTCGTTTGTTGTTTTCCTACGCTGCTGTGTTTTGTTTTTGCCCTAAACTCCTAATCCTTGACAACTAGGGTTTCCTCTCACCTATATATATATTCATCTCTCCTCCTTCCTCATCTCACTATATCCTCAACCACTCACTCCATACGCAACGTCTCTACCGTGTTCGTCTTCTTCGAATCTCTCCATCTCATTCGAATTAAGGTATTTTCCAACTTTTTTTTTCTCCCCGATTTATGGTGTTATCACTTTTGTTTTAGATCGATTTGTTTTGATTGTATTTTATTGATTGAATCTCCGTTTACTGATATCTCGATTTTGCTGATACCGTACGATATTTTTTCCGATTGGATTTAGATCTTATGGGATATGTTGTTTTCTATTTTGTTCTTCGGTTTTTTGATTGAGATGAAGAAGCTGGCGTATGCGATTTGACTTTTATTATGCTGTTTGTTGGGATTCCGCCTCTTATATGTTTTTTTTCTTTTTCGTATGATCTAGATTTGGTTATGGGTTTTCCTGTAGGATCTTAATACTTTTACTCGAAGTGGAAATTTTCTAGTTTTGGATTTGTGTGGCTGAAAACATGTGGGGTTTGATGATGACTGGATTGCTATTGTGTACTGTTTGTAGACTACATCCTGGAATTTGTGATTGTAGGTTATGTATCTTTTGAAGGTTGTTCTTTGCCCTAGAATGACTTTAATGATTTATATTTATTTTGCCTCTGGTTTCGTAATTTCGATTATGGAAAGATGTAGATATTTTTAGTTTTATATACTGCATCAACTTAACTTATTTGTTAATCGCAAGGCGTACCCTTGTTTTTTATGATTTTTGATATAATTTTGCTGGTGGAGTACAACCTGTGATGCAAATTATGCCCTTAATTGATTTATAATGATGCAATTTTTCTTTTCGTTGATATTCATTCTATCTTATTAATGATTTGTCTCTTTTCCAGGGCCTTGGCTAGTATACTTGCAGTCAGCAAAAGTGGAGGGCCTTAATTTAGCTTCTTTTATGTCTGAGCGGGAATCTTGTTTTCTATTGTCGATTGGGTTGCTTGGAGAGTACTGTCCTTCAAGAGAAAAGGATAGGCATTCCGATCTTGAATTTAGCTGCATGAATCTCAAGCCACATCAAGGATTCAACGAATTTCGTGACGATTGTCAGCTTATACGGCTTGTTCCTGATCTCGAAGAAGATAACCCACTTACCTTTTGAGTTATTTCAGTGATACCTTATCACGAGGAGAAAATGGCTTTACAGAACATTGGTGCAGGGAACAAGGATGATGCCTTCTACAGGTACAAGATGCCTCGAATGATAACCAAAATCGAAGGTCGTGGGAATGGAATCAAGACCAATATAGTCAATATGGTTGACATTGCAAAGGCTCTGAGCAGGCCTCCTTCGTACACAACCAAGTATTTCGGCTGCGAACTGGGAGCTCAATCCAAGTTTGACGAGAAGACTGGAACTTCCCATGTGAATGGGGCCCATGATACTGCTAAACTTGCCGGACTTCTTGAAAACTTCATCAAGAAATTTGTTCAGTGCTATGGCTGTGGGAACCCTGAAACTGAAGTCATCATCACCAAGTCACAGATGATCAATCTCAAGTGTGCTGCTTGTGGTTTCATCTCCGATGTTGACATGAGAGACAAGCTCACAACATTCATTATCAAAAACCCTCCCGAGGCGAAAAAAGGTTCGAAGGACAAGAAAGCTATGAGGAGGGCTGAGAAGGAGCGGATGAAGGAAGGAGAGGCAGCGGACGAAGAGCAGAAGAAACTCAAGAAAGACGTTGTGAAGAAAAAGGGTTCGAAAGACGTGGTCCCACCAAAAGCAGCATCCAGTAAGAAGAAATCCCATAACTCTGATGAGGAACATTCGCCAGCTGGCAGCCAGGCGGAGGAGCACGAACCAGCCGCTGCAGCTGATGACGACAGTGACGATGATGTCCAATGGCAGACTGACACCTCTGTGGTTGCTGCACAACAGACAATCCAGGAGCAGCTGAATGCTGTCACAGCTAACATGGTCATGCTTGCAGCCAATGAAGATAAGGCAAAATCTGGCAAGAGCTCTCCACGTGGGGAAGCAAAACCTAAAGCTGCTGTTAATGGTCACACAAACGGCGTCAAAAAATCTGGCAAAGCACAACTTGTTGATGCGATCAAGGATTACGTAAAGAAGGGTTTGCCACCTGGTGAGCTAATGGAATCTCTTTCGGGCACCCACCAAGAGATTATTGATGCCCTTTTCGAGGCCCTGTTTGAGGGGGTTGGGAAAGGCCTGTCTAAGGAGGTTTTGAAGAAGAAGAAGTACATTGCAGCGGCTGTACAGGACGAGAGCTCGCAGATGATGCTGCTCCATTCTGTGGAGATTTTCTGTGGGAAAGCGGGTCCTGATGCAGCGAAAGAGATTGCGTTGGTTTTGAAGGCGTTTTATGATAATGATGTGCTGGAAGAAGAGTTCATTGTGGATTGGTATGAGAAGGGGTTGAAGGGAGATAATAAAGGCTCGTTGATTTGGAAGAATGTGAAGCCGTTTGTCGAGTGGCTGCAGAGTGCGGAGTCTGAATCTGAAGAGGAGTGAATGAGTGAGCTCTAATGGACTTTTGCTTATTATACACAGTTTTTATTGTTATGTCTTGTGCTTTTTTTAATGGTTTTAGTTGTGTGGTGTTTCATTTGGTGTTGGATATCGGTGTGTTATTGTGAGTTGGTTATGTTGTGTGTGTTTTGTTGGTCTTCATTTGTTTTTTGTGGTGTGGTTGCTAATAAAAGTGAGATGTTTCCTTGTGCGACTTTAATTGAAAAATAATTTGGGTAATTTGACTCAAGGCCCATAAAACCAAGTTTCGTATTCCAAAAATATCCCTGCGTACTTTCATTTGAGACAGGCCCAGCATTCATAACCTTCTTATGACGTACTTTTTTCCACTTTATTTAGTCAACTAATATTAGTTATTTGATTCAGATTTTTGGTTAATGCTGTTTAATATAGTGTTTATATTTGTAAAGTTGCAATATTAATTTGTGTTGGTTCAGGCGCCCGTCGCCATCGTTGAAATAATACCCAACAAACCAAATCAGTTGGTCGTCCCATCAGAAGTCAGTTGATCGGAATTCAGCTGATCGGTGCCACAACCGAAAAAAAATAGTCAGCTGATCGGAAATCAGCTAATCGATGTCAGTTGATAAGAGCCCGACAACCTAACGCAAGGAAAAAAAATAGTATAATTTTGTTTAAATTAATAAAATAAATTATATAATAATAATAATAATAATAATAATAATAATAATAATAATAATAATAATAATAATAATAATAATAATAATAAAAAATAATGTAAAATTAAACAAAACCCTAATTAGTGTTGAGAATGATAAAATAGGTATGAACTAATTATTTATGTTCACGTCAAAATGAAAGTTTGAACTAATGAAATATATTAAAACATCATAAAAAGCTTGAGTTAATTCTAATTGTTCAAGTTACTGAGGTGACTATTTCAAATAAAGCTAAACAAAACCAAAAAAAGAGCGAATGGGGGGGGGGGATTCTGGTTGGTCAAAGAAGAGCACGCAAGTTTGGTGCACTTGTTGAAAATAGAGTCCACGTAGGAATCGTGATGTACTACTCTCACTCTCTACACACAACACAACACAACACAAGTGTCCTCACTCATTTTCCCTCAGATATTACAACCCCTCCCATTCTCCCATTTTGCCCTCCTCTTTCTTTTCTTTGCAAATATCTCACATATTCATTTTACCCTCATCATTATATTGTTCTTATTGGTTTATTCCTAATTTAATTAGACGTATATTCACAATATATTGTTATTATATTTTATAAAAAAATCAATTAAAAAGTTGGGGTACGTATCTATATGAACATTTGCTTTAACTTTGGAAAACTTGTTAGAAATACATCTACTTTAATTTATTTGTCAAGAATTTATTTGAATTTTGGACATATAACACATATTGGTAATGATTTTAGACAAAAGAAAAAAAAAATTGACTTGTTCATATTCAGATTTTTCTTTCTTGCTCTTGTAGGAAATAGTTATATGCCCCATGTGAATGTGTAATTGTAAAACTCCGTTTGAATTGGGATTTCATTCAGAGATTAGGGCGAGAGGTTAAAAGATTATTTAAAACAACGTGACGTTAGGCATTTCTGTTGAGCTTGGTAGGGGCTATCTGGTCATTTTCACTGACATGTTTTATTCTCACTTGGTTTTGTTTTCAGGAGATGTCAGTGTCTTGTTTCTGCTATTAGGCCGTGAATACCACGCTCCTATTTTTGCTAATTCTATTTCACTATTCTGTCAGGATTTTTTTTTTTTTGTTATAAATAATTTATGTATTAAGATTTTTTTTCCCATTTTACTAATCCACTGCTCTGTAACAATTTAAATATTCTATTACAAAATAATATTTATATTTATATGCTCATCACAAAAATTACGTAAATAAAATTTATTCCGTAGATGATAAACTCATTTAACACGACATTTATTATTTGTTATGAAGTAGATTTTCATAATTATTTCCGGATTTTCACTATTCGTAATTGGATTGTTGATATATAAATTCATTTGCACGAAATACGTAATGAGATATCAAATTTTGTACCACGCACGAGGCGTTGACTTTTTTAAGACGGACAACATTCTAAAGAAATAACAAAATTTAGCGCGCGTGGATTGTAAACAATTCTACTCTTCTAATATTGATATTGGAAAAAAAAAAAATTAAAAAGAAAAAATAAATTTTCACTTAGTAGCGTTTAATTTAGGAAAACTTATATATGTTGAAATATATTTGATACACATAAAACTAAAATTTGTTTTAATATTCACCTATAGTTATAAGTTCAAAAAAATCATTTGAACAATGGGTGAATGACACACATATAGGGAGGGGCGTAGATACAAGCGAGTAGAAGCGCGTGAAGAATCCCATTTTCTCCTGATTGTGCTACAAGACAGTTATGATGTAAATCTGTCACACCCCCATAAATCCCAACAAAACCCCAGGGCCTATATATACCCTCCACCCCCCCACCCCTGAATTCTGCCTTTTCCTTTTTCACCCTTCACTCCTACCGCCGTACGTCACCTATACGTACAATCTCTGTCTCTATATCCTTACACTCACCGGCACCACCAATGTCTAACTTCTCCTCCTCCTCCTCCGCCGTCGCGACCGCCTCCGAGGTCGACGCCTCCATCTGGCGCGCCGTCGCCGGCGCCTGCGTCCAAATTCCACCCCCAAACTCATTTGTGTACTACTTCCCCCAGGGCCACCTCGAACACTGCTCCTTCTCAACCGCCTTCATCAACAGTTTCAATTTTGCCCTAGGACGGCCCTTCATTTATTGTCAAGTACTGTCAATCCGTTTCTTCTCCAATCATTTATCCGACCAAGTGTTCGTCAAAATCACCCTCCAGCCCATCAACACCTACGGGCCATGTCCGGTTAGCAACGCCGGCGGCGATAGAGAGAACAATCAGGGCGACGTCGTTTTGTTCTCGAAGATTCTGACTCCGTCCGATGCCAACAACGGCGGAGGGTTTTCGGTTCCTAGGTCCTGCGCGGACATGATTTTCCCGCCGCTGGACTTCGCGGCGGATCCGCCGGTTCAGAATCTGACGTTGAAAGACACCAACAACAATGCATGGGAGTTTCGGCACATCTACAGGGGGACTCCGCGCCGCCACTTGTTGACTACGGGCTGGAGCAAGTTCGTGAACGCCAAGCGCCTCGTGGCCGGGGATTCAGCTGTTTTTATGAGGAAACAATCGACCGATGAGCTCTATATTGGGGTGAGGCGAGCCCAGAGGTTTGGCGGCATTGAAGGTCAGAACGGCGGCGAGGCCTTGAGGGCAATTGAGAATGCTGTAAAAGGAATGGCGTTCGAGGTGTTGTACTGCCCTACGTTTGGATCGCCGGATTTCGTGGTGAAGGCGGAGAAGGTGTGTGAGGCGACCAGAACAAACTGGACCGCCGGAATGAGGGTGAAAATGGCGGTGGAGGCAGACGATTCATCAAGGCTGACGTGGTCTTCCGGTACAATTGCTGCTGTTTCGTGCCCTAACACCGGGCCTTGGTGCGGCTCTCCATGGGGATTGCTCCAGGTATACTAGGATTCTCCATTTGCCCTTTCATGCTAATTTTTTACAGTGAGCATTTGCACAGTGATGATGTTGGATTGTATTGGTATTAAACTTTTAACTGATGTTCTTGATCATTTTTAGAAAACGAGTTTATATTAAATCTATAGGATTTACTGAATTGCTTTAGTAACACCTTGTTGTCGAATTGCCATTACTCAAATCGGAATATTCTCTCATATGCTGATTCTGGTTTAATTTCATGCTGTATCATTAATTGACTTCTCTGATCTGTCATGTTAGAATTAGTATATATGTATGCTTGATTAGATTTTCATGTCGGAATTCGGGTTGTTTTGTTTGGATGCTGATTTGTGAAATGTTATATCTCACAGTCGAACCTATATATGAGGCCATGTTCTTGATTTGGTTGTATGTTATCGATCATGTTATTATGTCATGGCGAAAGTGTTGTATGCTTTGTGGGATTATCTGCATCATATCCAGGTGTAGTGTTTCTCATTACAGGGATATTTCTATTCAGTAACAGAGAAACTGATACCGTTCAAAATGGAAGGTTTTCGGACTTCTTACCGGCAGTTATGAATGACTTTTTTTTCCGAATCATTTCTTCATGATAAGTTATTCATTCCTTTTTTTTTTTTTTTTCTGCATTCCGTATCAAGTTATACTTGTAGGTTGGATGAACGTATTTGTTGATTGATTGTGATCAATTTGTATAACGCAGATGACTTGGGATGAACCTGAAAGTATGCGGAATGTGAACAGAGTTAGCCCTTGGCAAGTTGAATACCTCGATCCCACTCTAATGCTCAATCCCAACTTCCCTCCTTTAAAGAAGCTCAAACTCCTGTCATATTCAGATATGCTGCTATCTGCTGGAGAGGGAGAAATTCCCTTTCCTACGGCAGAGTTCAACTCGCCGCTGTTCAATGCTAGCATTCAGGGAGCCAGGCTAGATCCCGTTTATATACCCACCACCACCACCACTAACAGCCAAGTGTCGAAAGAAATCCCGGACAAGAATGAAGGAGAACCAGAACGTGAAACTGTCTCAACAGTACTAAGCATTGGGAGTTCGTATTCGGACAAGGACAATGTATCGCCTCCTAGTCAGAGCAGTGTTGCCTCTGCAACCAAATTAGTCCGTGAAAATTCGTTCCAATTGTTCGGGCAGATCATTCAGATGCCTCAGCCTGGTGAAGATGGTGCCTGTTGTAGTAATGCAGTGTCTGAAGAGAATCCTGTTATTGACCACCAACTACCTAGTCCATCTGCCCGAGTGCAGCAGCAGCAGCGTTTCCGAAGGCCGTCCGATAAATCTTGACGAGCTCATGTGTAATTAGTGGTTCTTTGCCGACATTTTATAGCTGTATAGTTGATTGCAAAGCCATGTCTTTACTTGGATGTAATCCCATAGAAAAAACACAGAGATTCATGTTTGATTTGTTTTCATTTTACCTTGGGAAATTACATCATCATCACCAATCAAAAATAGGCCTAAACCCCATTTGTCTTTCTAAAACAGTACTTTGTAATTCCTTGTTCTGTATTTTACAAACCAAGTTCAGGTGATTTTCTGTTTTTTTCAGGATTGATGATTGGCTTTACTTTTTTTTTTTCTTCAAATTAGTGCTGAATAATACCTGCATTGTGTTTTATTAATGAGTAAAAATACTTCAGTGTTTACACACGTGTATTTATAAGATGACTGAAAAGGTTGCACCATCTGCCCCCTTTCCAACACTTTATTCATGGCAAACTGTACATCACATAAACACGATTCTTGATTCAGTCGCGCGAACAAAAAACGGGATTAAATCAATAATCCATCATTCGGGCTGTGGACGTGTCTGCACAATGAAGACATCTTCCCCAACCAAACAGCCTTCAACATCCTGCGCACACCCAAACTTCTGCTCGAGAAACAAACCAACAGCACCAAGCCTCTGACCAAGCTGCTGTCTAAACACAGAATCCACCGTCAACGCCTTCTTACTATAATCCACCGTCAAACGCACCACCTCCCCATCCGCCGGCCCACCACCACGCACCACCATCTCCTCACTAAAATTCGCAAACGCCAAAGTCTGCACCGCCCCATCAAATTTCCCGCTCGATAATCTCCAAGGGGTACCCCTAGTACCTGAGGCAAGAGTTTCACCAAGACCAGGTGCAATTTCGGACTCCACCAAATTTTGATTCTTGTCTGTAGGGCTGACGGTGTGGAGCACGAAAGAAAATTCTGGCGATAGCATTTCTTGAACCAGCACAGCCATCACCGCCTCCGACTGAGCCACACCGGCGGCTCTCCGACTCAGAACAGCCCTTCGAGTGTACAACGAAGCCCAAACACGAGCTACGGCTTGCTTGAATACGATTGGATTGGATAGACTGACATTTGGAATCGAATCGTAAAGACCAGCAGCTGACATTCCAGCCAAGTCCTCCACATTAGCACTCGAACGGACTATCAATCGAGTGTTTTTTTCCGGGAATATTTTGGATAAGCTTTCGATGGTTTTGCTTGGTGGGCTTAGGGAAGAAATTAGCTTCTGTAGTTCGTTGCAGAGTTTATCGAGTTCTCCATCGATTTCGGCTGTTTCTATGGTTTGAATTAGTGATTTGTAGGTCTCGATTGATCCGTTTTGCTCTAAAGCTGTTTCCATTGAACCGAAAGGTAATACTGCTCCATTTGGGACTTTAAAGGATGCCGGAACTCCTTGCTCATTGTTCACTGTCATTCAAGATTGACGAAAAAATAATGCCTATTTATAAATTAATGGAGAGTAATAACTACAGCAAAATTTATTCTTTTATCTTTTTTTTTTAATTTTTTATTATTACCTTTATGAGAAGCAGCAGCCAAAGAAGCTAGGCGACCGCAGGCTGCAGCTTTTGCACCGGAGATTCGTGTATCAACATTCTCGAGCAGTATAACCCCTTCGGTTGACACTACTACCTGAATAGCATCCATAAACATTCTTGAGAAAAACTGCAAAATTAAATTATCTATTCATCTTAGCAAATAATATCTTAACCTGATTTTCGTCGGAGTTTTTTACAGTAACCGAGGAAGTGCTCTTTGATGAAGAAGTATTTGATTGATTTTCAAGTGGAATATTCCCATTGTTGCTCTTTGCTGAAGTTTCAGCCAAGCTGACACCTCCTGACGATGCTTCCAACCTGAAAAACGTTGGCGAAGAAAAAGACGAATTTATTAAAAGAACCGTTGAAACTCTAACTATAAATAGTAGGGAGTTAAATGTACAAAATATATAACCTCACAAATTTTCCGTATAGTGTTTTGATATCCGCAACTTTTTCTTCATCTTCACAAGTCACAAATACAACTTTTTCCTGCAATTAGCGGAGAGATTCTTGACCAAATCTATATACATTATCGAGAAAACAAAAAAAAAAAAAAAAAAAAAAAAAAAAAAAAACAAAGAGGGGATAAGGACTTGCTTGACGAGCCCTAACGCCAAGATGAGACAAATGCGGCAGCTCCTGCATTAGTATAACTCCGGCAATGTTAGCTCCAGCAGCTGTTACCTGTCAAACAGTCAACATAAAAAAATTTAATATAATCTTCACTGTCATAAATTTGAGTACAAAATGAATTTCGACGACCAAAATATTCGATATCCCGACAATTATAATATAACATATATATAGATGGAAAAGTGGCAGAACCTCTTCATCTCCGTCAGCTCTGTTCACAACTAGAATGATTGGTCCTGTTACAGACGATGGTATCGAACCAGGAACAATGCTCTCTACCTAAAAAATCAGTTGCAAAAAAAGAAGACAAAAAAGTTAATTAACCACAATAAAGATAAAATAGATAAATTTATCTTCGACACAGTACCTGGACGAGGGTTCCAGAAGCATCTCCTGGTACAAGAATATCCCAACCCTGAGATCCAAGAACATTCCTAACAGCCTTCAAAAGAACCGTGCACAGTTTCGAAACCTGAAATATTACACTACATTTCCAACTAAATATTAGATGGCTATAATAATGACTAACTTCATATAATAATGCATTTCTTATTGGAAATGACAACAATTAAAGGGTAATCTGTGAATCATACCCAGCACGAATCTCAGCTTCCGTGAATGTTCTCACAGCATTCTCGGGAATCCCAAGAGCTTTTCCTAGTATCTGTAGGGCCGATTACGTCAACGTGTAAAAAAATTTTACAATATTAATCGCACATATAAGCAGTAAACACGAGAAAGACAATATCTTTACCTGAACCTTTTCGGGGAATATATTAAGAAGTGCTTCTGAATATTCTTCAGTCAGTCTCCGGGCTCGATCAAGCGTAGCTTTAAGCCTCAAACCCCATATTCTCGCACCATTTTCACCGCCTTTGTAATGATTGCGACAAACTATCTTTTAGACGATATCAACCTTATTTAACCGTAACCAATACTATTGAATTTGTAGAGGAGAAAAGATACCTTCAGCATCTAAAAGACCTCTCTCTTTCCATGCAAGAATCTCGTTTCCAATAGCTCTGCACTCTTCAGGCTTCCATCCAGATAGCCCCAACTGATTAATGCCGATGACTAAAGCTCCAAGTGCATCATTCCAAGAACTAACATTCTTTTGCTCGACATTCTCTACAAGCGAGTGTGCCCCTCCCATAGCTTCTAGTGCATTAAGGAACCTACCGGAAAAAAACACACTTTCAATAGTCCGATTTAAGTTTGCGAAATGACTGTAACGACCCTGGTCGTTCGTCGCTATGTACCTGCTTAAAAGAACGAATGCATAGTCTTCAAGTCCGACCTCAGAAAGTCGCCACTGCAATTGTGTAGATTATTTGGTTAACATCTATATATTCGATTACTATTGAAAAAAGAAACAACAAATAGAGAGGCGACTTCACCTTTTGTCGCATTGCTATTGCAGCATCTGGAGCATCATTTCGAAGCCCGCTTTGGAGACCCTTTGCAATATCTTGGCGAAGATTGTTCAGAGATTGTATAACTTTCATCAAATCGGAGATATTTCCACTTCCGTCCATATTATCCAGTACCTGAATAATATGCCCGTGTTTATTCAAGGGAACAGTCAATTTTCAACAAAATCATCTAAAGTCTAAACCACAACTGAAAATCAAGAATTACATAGAAGTGTACCTTTTTGGACTCTAAAAACTGAGATAGTGGTGCAGAGCTTTGATCCAGTGAATCTCTAATTGATTCCAGCTGTTCTTCCAGACTTCAATAACGCACGGATCACAATCAAGCATAAGAAAAATCAAGAATTAGTCGTTAGAAAAAAAAAATTCTCTTAAAAGCGTAACTATAGTACCTTCCAGCATTGAAGAAGTCTTTAAGTTCTCGATGAAATATCTTAAATTGCTCAACGAAAGCTTCATTGTACTCTCCAGGGTTCTTTGTAATTCTTGCAAGCATTGCTTCTGTGGAAATTAAATCTTCGGGCCCCGCACATCTATGAAGCTTGTTTTGTATTGTATGCTTGATTTCTTGCTGGTACGTTGATAATACTATGTTAACGAATCGACAAAAGTTTGCTAGAAAGAAAAAAATGATTAAAGAAAAGGACTTAGTTGACAACCTTAAGGTCATGAGGGATATCGTTCCTATGAGCAATATCTCTAATTCTTGTTAGAGGAACAGGTGCAGTGAACTCTGCCTTAAATGATGGTAAGCATGGATGAATCTTGCGTATAACGAGTATTTCCTGCATAAAAAAAGAACATGGTACCGAACAAATAGCTTAAATATAAGTTCAACAAACACAGAAAAAGAGTTGGTGAAAATGATGAAGACCTGAAGTGAAGTGTCTTTCCTGCCGGAAATTCTTTCTATTTCGCGAAATATAAGCCTGGAAATCTCGGCATGCTTGTTCGGTCGATGGTGGGCCCCATCTTCGGAGCAAGGAATCTGACCTGTGTTTATCCACTACATAAAAAAACAAAATAATCTGATAAGGGCATGAACTAATTCTTGTCCAGTCGATCAAATCGAAAACTAATGTATCATAAATAGAACCTTCAGATATACTGCTGAATATGTAAGAGCTTCCAAGCGATTTCCATTCTCAATGTTTTCAGCCACAAGCTCTCGTACAACTTCAAGCTTCACATCAAGAATTGCAGAAAAAAAAAACAGTGTTTAGTCGGAATACCTAAGCACTTACTTCAAAATGAAAGAACTAAAGTGAGAAAAAAGGGCCTACGCGTATATATCATTTATACCTTACGCCACCAGTTACGAGCACTACGATCACCTTCCACTAACTTTAAGGAAATCCCTTCAAGACCAGAAGTATCCCAGTTTATATTCTTTTCTTCATTCGTTCGATCGTTCGAACGAACAAATGAAGCATCTTTGCCTTGCCACTGCCCCACAAAGGCGCTTTTCTTAACACCCTCTTCCAATGCAGCACTAACAGCAGCACCGTTTCCACTTTTTTCTGCCTGCACTTCTTCTTGATCCCAAGGCAATAATTCTACCTGTTCGTTAGTCTTGTCCCACTTACAGACAACATTAAAACTCCCATTTTCTGGGAATTTTAAAGTGCGGTTATCGCCATTTTCCCATGTTAATCTCTCCTTGTCATTCCCTACTATCACAAACTTGTACTCGACTGGCTCTTCTTTATTACTTAGCTCCATAGTGCAAACCCACCCATTTTCAGTCCAATCCATCATCACTTTGTTCTTCCACGATCCGAACTCTTTTGCTGACCCCAAAATCGCAACATGTTCCCCATATTCAACTTGGTGAGCTAGCCTAAGCTTCAAATTCACTTTGTTACCACCCGATTTTTTCGACTGCCTTTCCTTGTTATTTTCGTTCTTCGACTCTTTCTCTCTAAAACCATAAAACATTGAAATAGCCAAAAAAGAAAAAAAAAAAGAAAAGAAAATGTCAGTTAACCCCACGCAACACATTTGATCATAGAATTTACCTTTAAACTCTTAACGGCAAAGATTCAATCTTTACAGTAAATTACGAAACCCCATCAGTAATTCCCCCTTTTTTTCACCCCAATATATATAATAATCTCATATATTTCTGTTGAAAAAGCCCAAATGCAGTCAAATAATAAAAACGAGAAGAAAGTAGAGATTTCTTTTGTTTACCTGGTTTCAGTTGAAGAAACAGCAGAGACGGTCATTCTAACAGAAGCCTTTCTGGTGTGCCTGAGATATTTTCTCTGCGGAAGGCGAATCGAGATTTTGTGGCGAAGAAATTTAAATGGGGTATTAGTTTGAAGGCATCTAGAATTACTCTTTGAAGCAATAGTACTTGAACTAGAATGAAAATTGCAGTGCAACACACAAGGATAGTCCATTGCAATGAATGAACCACCCAAAATTTCAAGAATCACACGATCTTTAATCAGCTTTAAAAAGAAAAGAGGCTGATAGTATACATATGTCTGTGAATCTTTTGCTATAATAAACTGATGAAGATTGAAATCTTGTAATAATTGGAGTGTACGATATATCTGTGGAGGGACACGTGGAGATATTTTATTCCTTCCTAGTTTTATTTATTTATCAAAGAAGTGTTTAGGCTGCTACTAGTATAGCTATTATTAGTGAGTGATAGAAATAGAGAGAGAGAATTGCAGATTTGAATGGCAGATCTTGAAACTGAAACTTGGAAATTGGACAAGTACATGGGTTTGATTGAAGTTGAAGGTTTCTTGATTCTTGAAAGTAGGGTTCTCACACAAGACTAAGCATATTTTTATGTGCACAATATTAGTTTTGTGTTTGTTCTTCCCTTCATATGTGGATAACTGTCACTCACACTGCCCCTGATATTTTCTTCTTTTTCCTATTTTGTTTCTTTTTCATAATTAAAAAAAAAAATTGTTTGTGTTTGACTCTTTGTATGATATTTATATTCTAATAAAATAGTAATTTCAGAATTTGGAATGACATTGTCCAAAATCAGATCTTTTGGAACTACGGAATTTCCCCAAAAAAAAAAATCAACGTAAAATATAATATATATGTAATAAAATTATAAGTGCAATTATCCATATATTCGGTTATTGGGCCTTACAAATGGCCCAGTAAATCCCCAAACGGAATATGGGCCCACTTCAGACCCAATAAAAGAAAATCTGAATTAATATAGGCGCCGACAAGCCCAATAACAGAATATATGGATTTAAAATAGGCCCGGTAAGGCCCAAGTTCATATTTCAGGTCCCTAATTAAATTAATCTAAAATATAAATAGTTCAATTGTTATTATGGTTAGGAGTAATGGAGTATTATCATTACTGCATAATATTTTGCTTATACTCTCTCGACGAAGCTCCGGCACGCTAACATGTGTTTTTTACGCAAAAAATGCCTCGTTTCTCCCAATTGAAAAAGATTATCGAAGGATTATCAGGTTCAAGAATCATCTTGAGGTGATTCGAGTTAACTTATTGTTGACCGCATCAAGTTGGCAAATTTTTTATTCGAAATATGTTTCAAAATTAAAAAGAGTTGGATCAAAGTTGGCAGAATTCTAAAATTTATGTCCAATTTTGAATTTTCACCCTAATGGTTATCGAAGTGGACGGGGCCAAAGTATTATATGGGTTAAGTTAGGGGGCCAATTTGATATTAGGCCTAAATATATAGTACCGGAAAAAGAGAAAAACAACTTCTGGTTTCTTCTACACCAAAACACCATCCGAGTGCCTGAGCCACCAAATCGCTTCTTTCTTACACTTGTTATTGCATCAATGGCAGCTTCTGTTTCTCTCTCCACCGCTCTGTCGCTGTACAATCCCAACAACTTCTCTCTTTCTTCTTCTTCAAGACCCACTAATAATTTATCTATTCAAAGCACGAGCAGTCAACAATTTTGTATTTTTAGAAAACCCTCTTCGAGAACTGTTTTTTCTTCTTTTCCTGCCGTGAATGCGCATGGGAAATTTGGGAATTCCAGAATTGTAAACGATGCACCTACGAATTGCAGGCGTTCTATCTTCAGCCCTTCTGTTTCAGCCCAGCAACAAAATCAACCCTACCAAGTATTTCACTCTCTCTCTCTAAAAAAAAAAATAAAATTCTTATTAATTCGTGATTGTCTTCTATTTGCGACTGTTAAATTTTCTGTATTTGATTGTGTGTTTTATTTGTGTACGTATTATTAATGCCCACTATTTACACTGATAAGTAGTAATTTAGGGATTATGGAATCTTGTTGATTACTGTAGCATCCATGCCTGTAGAAAATTTCTGATTTTTGCTGTTCTCCTAATTATCTTCTCACATCAAATAGTTTTACCTGCAAATTGACACCAATTCGATATGGCATTTCGAAGTTGAGCAAACTTCACAATTTTACTCTGTGATGTGATGAAACTTGTAGACAAACGATGAAGACGGATCTAGTTCAGATGAGCCGTCAGCTCTTCCATCCAGTTTGAAGTCCGTCTTGAAGGCATATAAGGAAGCCATTTTAGATGGAGATCGAAAGTTTACATACGAAGTCGAAGATCTGCTATTTACAATGGAAAAGGAGAAAATTGAGCTGTCACACAAAGTTTTAGCTTTATCCGCAGAGATATCTTCGGGCAAGGAAAAGTTACTTCGTTTGCAGGCCGATTTCGATAATTACAGAAAAAGATCAGAAAAGGAGAGATTGACAGTAAGGAGTAATGCTCAAGGAGAAGTGATCGAAAGCCTCTTGCCGATGGTGGATAGTTTCGAGAGAGCCAAACAACAGCTCAAACTAGACACTGAGAAAGAAAAGAAGATCGATACAAGTTATCAGGGCATATATAAACAGCTTGTTGAAATTATGAGGAGCTTGCGTGTAGCTGCGGTCCCCACAGTGGGGAAGCCGTTTGATCCTTTGGTAAGGACTTAAGCTCTCTCTCTCTTTGCTGATTCTCTTACAGACTAGGTTGCAAAGTGTACATGTTTCTCATCTTTAAGACATGGTTTTAACTTTTTTTTTTTGTCATGGTTTTAACTGTTATTTTTTCTTTTTTTTTTTTTTAAATACAGATGCATGAGGCTATTGCAAGAGAGGAATCACAAGAGTTCAAGGAAGGAATTATAATCCAAGAATTCCGTCGAGGTTTTTATCTGGGAGATCGTCTGTTGAGACCTGCCATGGTTAAGGTTTCATCTGGACCTGGTAAAAAGAAACCTACTCCGGTGGTGCCGGAGCAGTCGCCAGCTTCAGTTGCCGGAGTTGATAACCTATAGTTATACTACACATTTTTGGGGCATTCATCATTGTCTAGCATTAATATTCTATTTCATTAGCCAAGTATTATGTGTTACTTTCTTTTTTCAGAGGATTACTGATGTAAGATTATCTTGTATTCTTGCAAGGGGTTAAGAAAAATGTCACTAATTTGTTCCACAGAGGATATTTATTTTTTACAAATGAAGTTCAGATTGATGAAAAAATTGATGTCTGCTAACTTATTACTATATTGCTAGAAACATGGTTCTAATCTTATCTAGTTTGGCCACAGCTTCAGTCATGGTGATCCTGTCTGAAGGTGAGCTGGTTAGACATTCCATTGCCAGGCTCAGAATCGATGACAGACATTGCTCCTTCGCCGAGAAATTATCATCTTTTCTTACAAGCAGATTAGCGTCCACAACTTCGGAAATCATGTTTTTATTTAATGATAGGCTGACCCAACTCTTCAAGCTCATTTCATCACCGAACATCTCGTCCGTCGGTTTTTTCCTCGTGCAAATCTCCAGCAGCAGTATACCGAAACTATAGACATCGCCTTTGGTGGAAACTATTCCTTGTTCTCCATATTCTGCATTCAGATTCAACAATTAAGAATATGAACTGTGCAAATTTTGTGATTTGAAAATCCAAGACATGAAAATTTAAAGTACCTGGTGCCATATATCCGATGGTTGCCAATGTTTTCGTTTGGATCATCGACTCCCCTTGATCAAAAAGTTTGGCGATACCTAAATCGCCAACACGTGCAGTCATGTCTTTGTCTAGCAGCACATTACTCGGCTTTAAATCGCAGTGAACAATGGGGAAATCGAGTCCGGTATGAAGATATTCCAAGGCTGATGCAACATCAATTGCTATGTTCAATCGTTGCGATAAATCCAAGAAATAGTTGTGGGAGTACAGCCACTTGTCTAGGCTCCCATTAGGCATGTACTCCAAAACCAGAGCTTTGAAATCTTCATTACTGCAGCAGCCGATGATTTTGATTAAATTCCTATGCCGTATAGCTCCCAGTACTTGTACCTCTGTATCGAAGCTTTTGGCTACTTTCTCGGATTGCAAATTGAAAACTTTTACTGCAACAGTTACGCCATCAGAAAGTGTTCCAATGAATACCGAGCCAAAACTTCCACTTCCAAGGATATTGCTCTCGCTGAATGCGTTGGTTGCCCGCTGCAGTTCCAGATAAGAACTTCCTATCCATGAATGATGCAACGAAGTTTCACTTTTGGGTTGCTCTTTGCTCGATTTTCTTCTTCTCATTACCAGAAGAATAACTAAACTCAATAGAATGATGACTGATACACAAGAGGGCACAATATATTTCACCAAAGAGAGAGCTTTCTTGGACCTCCTAGTTTTCTTGATACTACTCTCTGTACAAGGTGGGACTTGTAGATGATTTGCACCGCATAAACGAGAGTTATGTGAGAATGATTCCGCCGTAAAATTTGCGAAATTACCTCCTGTGGGAATCTGTCCTTCTAGTCTGTTGTAAGAGACGTTGAAGAATTTGAGATAGACGAGTCCCTCTAATGACTTTGGTATAAAACCAGAGAAATTATTGAAGGAGAGATCCAATAATTCCAAGCCTCTTAAATTTCCAAGGGAAGAAGGAAGTGAACCTCGAAACTTGTTGTGTGCTAAAGACAGTGAAAACAATGATTCTAAATCTCCGATAGAACTTGGGAGATCGCCCGAGAGCTGATTCCACGACAAGTCTAAATCTCCGATAGATTTCAAGTTCTTAATCTCGGATGGCAAACTTCCGCTTAAATTGTTTGTGGACAAGTTTAAGGCCAAGAGACCATCAAGATTCCACAAGTTGGAAGGTATATCAGATTCCAATTTGTTGGAATCTAAGTACAATCTTCTAATGGATTTGAGTTCGCCAAAACATGAAGGAATCGTACCATTGAGATTGTTGTTGCTCACGTACAAGTCCCCCAATCTGCTGAGCTGGCAAAGATCAACCGGGATGCGTCCTTCGAGTTTATTGTGCTCGAGATATATACGTATGAGTTGTTTTAACTTTCCGAGTGTTGTTGGGATAAATCCTGTCAACTCGTTGTTGTCTAGATATAAGTCTCGCAAGGTGGTCAAGTTTCCAATCTCAGTAGGAATAGAACCTCTAATTCTACAATCAAATGCTCTGAAAATCTGAAGAGAAGAAGAGAAATTCCCTATTGAAGCAGGGAGTACACCGCCCAGCTGGTTGAGCGACACTTCTACGTGATACAAAAATCTGCAGTTTGTTAACGAAGATATAAATCTCAGTTCGCCGTTTGGAGATTCTCCCGTTAGATTATTTCCTCCAATGAAAAGGCGCTCCAAGAGTCTTAAACCACCAAAGTGAGGCATTGGGCCGGAAAAAGAGTTTTCTGTCATGGATAAGAGAGTAAGACCAGAAATATTGCTGATAGAGCTCGGAATTCGACCACTAAGTTTGTTGCTATGCAAATAAAGAAGTTGTAGACTGGGGAGTGAAAGCCCTATAGTCGAGGGAAGCTGCCCTGAGAATTGATTGGTTGAAAAGTCCATCATCTCCATTGTGGATATGTTAAACATCGAAAACGGGATGCCGCCAGATAAACTATTGTTACCGACACTGATTTCCACAAAATTAATGTTACCAAGCTCAGCTGGTAATTCACCTGCCAAAAATTAGAATAATATCAAGATAGAACAAATGAACAAACTTCACCGTGTCAGAGGTGCTGCAAATTTGAACATACCTGTAAAGTTGTTATGAGCAAAATTTAGGTATTGAAGAGCTGTGAGATTTCCGACATGCTCCGAAATGTGACCTGTGAATCTGTTAAGAGACAATGTTATGATGAAAAGCCTTCTACAGTCCCATATCTTGTCCGGAAGTTGACCAGTCAACTGATTTGAGTCAAGATAGAGCTGCTCGAGATTAGGAAGATTAATATACACTGGAAGACTTCCTGATAGACTATTGTTTGATAAATCAACCTTTTCCAGAGAAGACATGTTGAAGATAAAAGATGGAATTTGTCCCGTTAGAGAGTCACCAGTAAGGCTCAAATCCCTTAGACGTGATAGATTTCCGAGGCTCGCCGGAATTCCCCCTGAAAATTTATTCAAAAGCAGGTAAGATGATGATGATGATTACGATTCAAGAAAGGTGTTGTTAGTTGTTACATACCTTGGAAGCTGTTTAGCCCAAGATACAAGACTTGGAGCTTGGTCAACCAGCCGATTGAAATTGGTAAGCTGCCATTGAAATGATTTAAGGATAACGACAAGCCCTGGAGCTCACTGCACTTGTGAATACCGAATGGAATTCGGCCACCGAGTTGATTCAGCGACAGAAAAAGTACGCCGAGTTTTGAAATACTATTGCACATGTCATTGGGGAGGCTGCCCGATAAACTGTTACCTGTGAGATCAATTCTGATAATACTAGAAAGGTTGAATATGCCATGTGGAATGGAGCCAGTGATTTGGTTAAACTTGAGTTCAAGTCTTTCCAGGGAAGTGAGATTGCCAAACTCTTGTGGGATATTCCCATCAAGAAAATTGTTCTGCAAGTTGAGTATCCTCAGTTTCGAGCTGTTGCCTAATGACGGAGGAATCGGGCCCGAGAAAGTGTTGTTGTCCATGAGAATGGACTCGAGTTCGTGCAAGTTTCCAAACCAGGACGGTATTTCACCGGCGAATCTGTTGAATCCGAAATCGACGGACTTCAAACGGCGTAAATTGGAGAGCTCTCGAGGTATGGAATCTGTGAAATTGTTGAATCGAAGGTCTAAAGAAGTGAGTAACGTTAAGTTTCCGAGGCTTGGAGAAAGAGTGCCTTGAAATCCAAAGCCAGAAAAGTTGAGATCTGTGACTCTATTAGTGGCACAAGAGACACCAATCCAGCTGCAAATGGATGCATTAGCAGACCAGTTTTTGGACAAGATTTGGAAAGGGTCCGAGGTTATTCGGGTTTTGAAGGCAACAAGTGATTCTTGATCATCTGAAGAAACTGTGGTGATGCTTAGTAGAAGCAGTGCAAAAGAAATGAACAAGGAAGAAGGTTTCTCCATCGGATCTTGAAACAGCAAACTGATTTAACAGAGTAAAGAGTATGGCGATGGCAATGCAATATGGTGAGTGCACATTTGAATATGAAAATAAGATATGAACACTGCCCACTTGAATATAAGGAAAACAGATATATGTAGCAGCATTTTATTACAAGGTAAGTACGGAGGAAAGTCTAACAGCCACTAAAGGAAAAGGAAAGAAACAAAATATTAGTGAGATGGCTGTCTAAAGAGGAATACGTTCGGTTAGGGTGATGTTGAAATGAGTGAGATAGAAGGCGAAGACTATAATAATTCACTAGTTTGACTTCTGCAGAGTCATAATAAAATCAATAGATTTTTTTATTTTATATTTTATTGAAGTCTGTGTTATGTAAGTACATGTTGTGGGCTACCTACTACCAACTATGAATTTGAACTTCCCAATGATCTACTAGATTTATTTATTTATTGAATGTGGTAAAGAAAAGAAATTAAATAATTTATTGAATTATTATGATCAGACATGACCTATGGTTAAGTACAGTTGTTGTAATTTTTATTTCAAAGCAGGTTGCATGGATTGGGATTTGAATATGGAGTTGTTTAGTGGATGGTGGTAATAAAAGGTTCAGTTAACACAATTCAAGAATATATCCCTAACATTAATAACTGATAAACGTCAGACATGAATCAGTTACACATTAGGACCTATTTACAACTGTGGATAGCTTCTTCTTCTTCTTCTTCTTCTTCTTCTCTGCTTCAAACTTCCACTTTTACAGCTAACGGGTTACAGTTGTAAGCTTTAAGACCAATGCCATTGTTCAAAGTATCGTACGTACGGCTCAAGCTCTTGCAGTGGCATTCTGGATTTAAGTAAGAAAATTCTACAATGATGTCATACATAACAAAATCACAGCACAAGTTGGTTACTGTACTAACATATGCTCTATCATCAGACTTGACATTTTAAAAAATAAGACAATTTAAGACACAACGCCGAATAGTTCGATCGATACATCAATCCCGTGTATAAATAAGGTACGCAGTCAGTTTTTTTCACATTTAAAACATAGTTTCGAAGGACTTGAAAGTTTGAACTCCAGAAGTCATATTTTAGCGGAGTCAGAAGCACTCGATAATCTTTATTCAAGAATGTTCTGTATTGATTTGAAATTTAGATAATTTTGAGTTACTGAAGACGACAAAGTACAAATCCTTAAGCAACAATTTACGATGGCAAATCCACCTACTAGTGAAGTGTCAGTTAAAATCGACAGAAACGTTATCTACATGCAAATATTTCGATTCAAATGCAACTCGTATATGAAATATCAATTCGATCAAGATCTTACCATTCTAAAGGATTTTGGGCATTGATTCTGTTGTAAAATTGTGTAATTCTTCTTCTACCAGCCGGCTTTGGCTTGACGAGTTTTTTCCGTAGACCAAAGATCTCTTGCACTAGAGGTACATGAACCAGCACCAACTTCCATGCCAAGAACCACCCTACACAGACTTAACAATTAACACATAAACACACACACACACACAAGTTTTAAGGAAAGGGGAAAATGTCCTAATTGCAAATGCCCAGATAGATTACTCTGACACAAAACCAACCAATCATTCATTGGGTAAAATATCGGCATTCCACTACATTAACTAACAGAGGTACTACAACTCAATTCTATTCCAATAAAATAAAAAAATCAACACCCAGATAAAGATCACTGCAGAGAATACAGCAACGGGAAAAAGTAGACAAGCCCAATCAACAAACACAGATAAATTCATTTACCATAGGTCTACAACATACAAAGTCAATTATGCAAGAGAGAGAGAGAGAGAGAGAGAGAGAGAGAGAGAGAGAGACCGACCGAAGAAGAGTAATGAGAGCGTAAAGAGAATAGCGAGAACGGGACGAAGGAGGAGAAAACTGAAGTAATCCCAATCGGAGAAAGAGAATTCTTGGTCGGGAAAAGACTCCATCTTTTCCGAATCGATCACAATTATTTGACCTCAGTAGGTTCTATTATATATACATATAATGTGTATCTATCTATGCAAGCGTTGCTCAGCGACTTTATTAAATAAACACGATTTAGGGCAACTGGGCGTGCAATCTTAATTGGGCCGGCCCAGTTTTAAACCAGAAACGGGTTGCAAATATTAGGCCCAGCGATTATGTCAAATAAACATCTTCTTCGTAGGTAATTTTATGGCAACTGAATCAAACGCTGTTTCTCTTCCTACCTTCTTTACCTTATGTAAGTATTATTACTGCATATTTTTGACAAATGTCAATTACTTGAATACTCGTTTCCATCGTAAATAGTAGGCACAAGATTACGCCAATTTGCCTGGCATCTTTGCGATTAATTTGTATTTTAGATTTTCTAAAGTATTTTTTATTTTTTTTCATTTTGTTGATCAGAATTAAGTTTTAGTGTTTGTTTGATTTTGCGTATCAAATTTATTTGAGTCCCCTTTATGAGAATTTTTAGGCAAAAAAGTTGGACCATTGTCTGTGATTGAAATTCGGGATTGTGAAAATCGAATTGATATTAGAGAAGCTAGAGAGTGCTATCGAAAATTAGAAGTTAGTTAAAACAATTGCTTATTATTGAAAATGTTGGATTATGCTCATATCATGTATATAAGACGGAAAATTACAGGATTTCAAGCTGTGAATGGGAAGCTTTGGTCTGAATTAACCTTGATTAGCTCTAACAGCTATCCCAAACGCATTTATGCCTCGTCGATAGGACTTGATAGACAATATAATCAAGGTTTACCGAATTGGTGTTTTGTTGTACGACGAGCTAGAAAGTGTTGGCTTAGGGATCAAGTCCTTGGATGTCTACTAACTTATTATTGGCAGCTAGAAACTTAGTTCTAATCTTTGCTAGTTTGGCTACAGCTTCATTCATGGTGATCCTGTCTGAAGGTGAAATGCTTAGACATTCCATTGCCAAACTCAGAATGGACGACAAGCATTGCTCCTTTGCTGAGAAATTGTCGTCTTCTCTGCCAACCAAATTAGCGTCCACAACTTCGAAGATCGTGTTTTTGTTTAATGATAGGCTGACCCAGCTCTTCAAGCTCATTTCATCACCGAACATCTCGTCCGTCGGTTTTTTCCTTGTGCAAATCTCCAGCAGCAATATACCGAAACTGTACACATCGCCTTTGGTGGATACTATTCCTTCACCTCCATATTCTGCATTCAGATTGAACACCCACTGTATCAGGTGAAAAAAAAATATGGTTTTTAAACTCGACGCCTTTTCTACATATATATTTTTTTTTTCATATTTCTTGAAATTAGGGTTACGGATTGATCTAAGACATAATCACCTGGAGCCATATATCCGACTGTTGCCAAGGTTTTTGTTTGAGTCATCAACTCCCCTTGGTCGAAGAGTTTGGCAATACCAAAATCGCCAACATGTGCAGTCATGTCTTTGTCTAGCAGCACATTACTCGGCTTTAAATCGCAATGAACAATGGGAAAATCGAGTCCCATATGAAGATATTCCAAGGCTGATGCAACATCTATTGCTATGTTCAATCTTTGCGATAAGTCCAAGAAACAGTTATGGGAATACAGCCATTTTTCTAGGCTCCCATTTGGCATGTACTCCAAAACCAGAGCTTTGAAATCTTCATTGCTGCAGCAGTCCATGATTTTGATCAAATTTCTGTGCCGAATAGCTCTCAACACTTCTAACTCTACACTGAAGCTTTTGGCTACTTTCTCATACTGCAAATTGAAAACTTTAATTGCAACGGTTGAGCCATCAGAGAGTGTTCCTATGAATACCGATCCGAAACTTCCACTTCCAAGAATGTTGCTCTCGCTGAACGCATTCGTTGCCCGTTGTAGTTCCAGATAAGAGCTTCCTCTCCATGAACGAATCAATGAAGTTTCACTTTCGGGTAGATCTTTGCTTGATTTTCTTCTTCTCAATAGCAGAAGAATCAATATGATCGCTAGAATGATGGCTGATAGACAAGAAGGCACGATATATTTCACCAAAGAGGCAGCTTTCTTAGTACTCTCTCCACAAGGTGGGACTTGTAGACGAGTTGCACCACATAGACGATAGTTATTTGCGAATGATTCAGCTGTAAAGTTTGCAAAATTACCTCCGGTAGGAATCGGTCCTTCCAGTCTGTTGTAAGACACATTGAAGTAGCTGAGGTAAGTGAGTCCCTCTAGTGACTTTGGGATAAAACCGGAGAAATTGTTGAAGGAGAGATCCAACAATTCCAAGCCTCGTAAATTTCCAAGAGAAGGAGGAAGTGAACCTTGAAACTTATTATGTGCCAAAGATAGTGAAAACAATGATTCTGCTCCTCCAATGGAACTTGGGATATCCCCTGATAGCTGATTCCACGACAAGTCTAAATCTCCGATTGACTTTAAGTTCTGAATCCCAGGTGGGAAAGAGCCGTTTAAACTGTTTGAGGATAAGTTTAAGGCCAATAGATCCTTAAGATTCCATAAGTTGGAAGGCACATCAGATTCCAGTGTGTTGGAGTCTAAGTACAATCTTCTCAGGTAATTGAGCTCGCCAAAACATGCAGGAATCGTACCATTGAGCTTGTTGCCGCTCAAATACAAGTCGCCCAATCTGCTGAGCTGGCAAAGATCAATCGGGATGTGTCCTTGGAGCTTATTGTGCTCGAGATATATACGTATGAGTTGTTTTAACTTTCCTATTGTTGTTGGGACAATTCCTGTCAATTCGTTGTTGTCTAGATATAAGTCTCGCAAGTTGGTCAAGTTTCCAATCTGAGTCGGAATAGAACCTCTAATTCTACATCCAAATGCTCTAAAAATCTGAAGAGAAGAAGAGAAATTTCCTATCGAAGCAGGGAGTACACCGTCCAGCTGGTTGAGCGACACTTCTACGTCATACAAAAATCTGCAGTTTGTTAATGAAGATATAAATCTCAGTTCCTGATTTGGAGATTGTCCTGTTAGATTATTCCCTCCAATTAAAAGGCGTTGTAAGAGTCTTAAACCACCAAAGTGAGGCATTGGGCCAGAAAAAGAGTTTTCTACCATCTCTAAGACAACAAGACTAGAAGCATTGGTGATAAAACTTGGAATTCGACCACTTAGTTTGTTGCCACCCAAATAAAGCTGTTGTAGATTGGGAAGAGAAAGCTCTATAGCTGAAGGAAGCTGCCCTGAGAATTGATTGGCTGAAAGTTCCATCATACGTATCGTCGATATGTTGAACATGGAGATTGGAATGGCACCAGACAAACTATTGTTTCTGACATTGATTTCCACAAGATTAAGATTACCAAGCTCAGCTGGCAATTCACCTGCCACAAACATCATGTTGATTCTTGAAAATTCAAAATAACATTAAGATATAAACACATAGTTTATTCTTGAATCCATCAACATACCCGTGAAGTTGTTATTATCTAGATACAGGTACTTAAGCGCCGTCAGATTTCCGACATGCTTAGGTATGTAACCTGTGAATCTGTTACGAGATAATGATAGGACCGAAAGATTTCTACCATCCCATATCTTGCCCGAAACTTGACCACTCAGCTGATTTGAACTAAGAAACAGCTGCTCAAGATTGGGGAGATTAATATACATGTCTAATGGAAGGCTTCCTGAAAAACTGTTGTTGGAGAAATCGACGTTTTTCAGAGAAGACATGTTGAAGATAAAAGATGGAATCATCCCCGATAGAGAGGCACCGCGGATGCTCAAGTCCTCTAAACGTGACAGATTGCGTAGGCTCGATGGAACTTCCCCTGAAAAAAAGCAGGACAAATTTCGCTGTAAAGCTTCATTACGGATACACTTTGTTCAACATCATAGTTTCCTTGATGATGATTTATGCTGGAAAAAAGAAAGAAATATACCCCGGAAGCTGTTTTGCCCGAGATACAATCTTTGGAGTTTGGTCAACCAGCCAATTGAACTTGGTAAGCTGCCATTGAAATTATTCAAGGATAAAGACAAGCGTTGTAGCTCGTTGCACTTGTAAATATCAAATGGAATTTGGCCAACAAGTTGATTCAGTGACAGAAAAAGTCCACTGAGTTTGGGAATACTATTGCACATATCGTTGGGGAGACTGCCCGACAAACTGTTGCCGGTTAGATCAATCCTTTCGATACTAGAAAGTCTGAAGATACCTTGTGGGATTGAACCGGTGATCTGGTTATACTTGACGTCCAAATTTTGCAAAGAAGAAAGATTGGCAAATTCTTGTGGGATAATTCCACCAAGAGAATTGTACTGCAAATTGAGTATCCTCAGTTTCGAACTGTTGCCCAATGATGGAGGAATTGGGCCTGAGAAAGTGTTGTTGCCCATGAGAATGGACTCGATTTCTCGTAAGTTTCCAAACCAGGACGGTATTTCACCGGTGAATCTGTTGAATCCAAAATCAACGGACACTAAACGGCGTAAATTAGAGAGCTCTTGAGGTATGGAGCCTGTGAAATTGTTGAAGCTGAGGTCTAAAGAAGTGAGGTATGTCAAGTTTCCAAGACTTGGGGAAAGAGTGCCTCGAAATCCAAAGCGGGAAAATTTGAGGGCTGTGACTCTATTTTCGACACAAGAGACACCAATCCAGCTGCAAATGGATGCATCAGTAGACCAGTTCTTGGACAAGATTTCGTAAGGGTCTGAGGTTATTCCGGATTTGAAGGCAACAAGTGCTTCTTGATCATCATCTGTGTTTTCGTTCGAAACTGCGGCGCTTAACGAGAAAATTGTATTGGTGCTTAATAACAACACTGCCATGGAAACGAAGAAGCAATAAGGTTTCTCCATCAAATTGGTGTTCTTGGACTTGGTAGAATTCAAATTACACAATTTGAATGTATCTGTACTGGGAATCGACATAATTTAGGCCTACTTATCTGCATGGGGTTGGAACATTTATGGCAAATAAAAGCCCTCCCAACCACAAATTAGGATATTTATTTTTAGTTTACATTCAAGAAATATACTTGTTGAAATTATTTTAGCAAGAAAAATAAATTACTGTATATTTATTTATGTGTGGATATAAAATTTCAACGTAGAATAAATTTGTTTTCTCCAATTCTATCCTAATATTAATGACAGCTGATGAAGTGGACAAAAGGAAGTGAAAAGTCAAAATAAGTAATTACTCATTTTGTCAAAATAAAATAAATTAATATTTTGAGCACTTCAATTTAGTAATAAGTCGCAATATAAACCTACTTAATTGTGAAACGCGCTTTTTAGGTCCACTATCTTAAATTGGATGGATGATAGTAGCCGTAGGGCAAGATGAAAAGACCGATCCAAAGGAACGAGTTGCAAAGAACGAGTTGCAAAGGGATGAATGTCGACGCTGGGAATCGTCGAATCCCAATTTTATGGTAGCTCGCTATTTCTTTTCCTGCCCTTAATTTTCAGCAATTACTGCATTTATTTGATCCTAAATATGTACAGGGGGTTTGGGTTACTCCAGTTTTCCTGGTATCTTGCTTAAGCAATCTTTTTTTTTTTTAGTTGTTCTGATGCAGTTTTTGTTCTTATTACATTTGATTTGGTTGATCTGAATTAGCTTACACATATTTATGCCAAATGCATTTATGCCGCCTCGTTTGGAAATTAGGTTTATTAGACAATTTTATTTCAAATTGGTGGCAAGTGATGTTTGATGCACGGAAATGTTGTAATAGATCCTGTAGTGAATCGTTAATTTGATCGGAGCTTGTAATTTTACTGCGTGTGTGGATTTCATCACTTATATGATCATAAGAAGCTAGAGAGTGAACCTGTACTTCTATATCTAAGGTGGTTACTGATATATGTTGCACAATTTAAGAGATAATCGTGTTTGAATGGACTCGATGTCAATTGATGAACAAAGACGTACAGTTTTAAGGTGCAAGTAGTTAACCGAGAGACTCGATTTACTAATGACTCATCTGTCGAGTCCCATTTTGCATATTAGGTACCTGAAGCTTGTCATACTTCCTGCATTACCTCAAACACTGATTTCACTAAGTATCGTAATCGCATGGTTAATTAAGATTCAGCATATTTGATTGTTCAGAGAACATCCAGAATTTGGTGCTATCTTCGGGCTAATTACACAAGTCTTTTGTGGATGTAACTCTGTGTTTCTTGTTTTGATTCTTTGTCTTCTTCCATGCTTTTTTTTTTTTTTTTGTTTGAGATCCTTTAGGAATAAATTAAATATGCAAACTTTCATGCTTAAACCCACTGAACAATTCTTCATTCGGCTTCTGAAATAGGCAGGATAACTTATGATAAACGATTCAGCATGAATTTCTGATGCAAATAGCCTATTCGGGACGTCAAAGAATAGCCTATTCGGTGGGATTTCTCATGAAAATTAAGCCTTTGCTACAAGAAAAAACCATCAATGTTGTGCTTATAACCTGTCACCACTCATCAAAGCCAAGTGGCTGATTTTGGAATTCCAGTTATGACTTATTAGACCATTATTTCATTTGGAATTCTTATTTTTTTATTTTTTTATTTTGTGTGTGTGTGTGTATCAATATAGCTAAGTTGTTTGAGTTTTGGCACCTTCCCGACTAAATGTAAGTATGAATGCTGTACATTTCAAGTATGAAAAGGGATGATATCATATTCAAATTAAACTGTATAATCGGCTATTGACTGAGATACTGTGGTCCTGGATTTCCTTGTGAACTCTATCCATTAGTTTTGAGATCATTTCAGCTTCACAATATATACCTTTGCTTCTATTTTCCAGCATTTTCTTGTTCTACTCGCAGGTCTTTTTCGTGCTCTTTTTTTTTTATAATTATTATTAATGTGAAAGAGTTTATAGCATGGGTTTATGTTATTCTGGTACAACTATGTTTGTGTTAAATATGATATATAGTTCGCTTAGAAACAGTGTTGGAGTGGATTAGTTGGGAACAAAACATGTCTCCAAAACCGGTTACAATGCATTATTTATGCAGTTATATCTTCTGACTCTAGGATTATACATACACACATACATACACTAGTAGTTTTTTAATTGTGGTTTAATCTTTTGTTTAAGCAAAAACCATTAACGCATGAATTTCCGGCAAGGGACAAAAAGCATGAGATCCCGGTGGAGAGAGAGAGAGAGAGAGAGAGAGAGAGAGATATAGAGAGAAGAAAGGAAAGGGACTCAGTCCACACTTTATATTATTCTATTGTTTTTATTATTTTTATTTTTATTATATTATATTCCCCTCCACAGTCCACCCCTAAAAGGGGGAAGAAAAATGGAAACAGGGGAATAAAATCATCTTGGAATCGATGCTCTCTCTCACAGAGAGAGAGAGAGAGAGAGAGAGAGAGAGAGAGAGAGAGAGAGAGAGAGAGAGAGAGAGAGAGAGAGAGAGAGAGAGAGAGAGAGAGAGTTGGGGTGGGGTTGAGAGGAAGGAGATTTTGAGTTGATGATAAAAAAAATAAAAAAAACCATAGCTTTCAAAGGGGAACTGAATCAAGAGACAAAAGCTATCACAGTTAGCAAAATTGTATCTGCTTTTGGACATAAAATAAAAAGCCAAATCCAGGAATCTCTAACTGTCCCAATGCTGTTAATTGGAATCAGAGTCATCACTCTTCTTTTTTACACCATACCAAACTCAAAACTCTACTACTAATTCAAATAAACTATTCCTTTTTTTTTTTTTACCATAAAAAGATTGATTACTCACATTATCATATTATATGAATAAACTATCAATAATTTACTATTATCTCATTCAATTTTTAACCTCCTCCAGCTTTCTATTAAAGGAAGACAGAAACATACAGAGAGGTGTACTACTTTTATGTTTGGTATAAATATTACTTACAGCTGATACTCTGTTACAGTCACCTCATGTTGACATGTTCTTTTTTTTTTTTTACCACTTTTCTTTATACTTTTTTTTTTTTTTGGTGCTTTGTGTTCTCTATCTCCCTTTCAACATGTTTCCTTTTTTAGTTTCTTTTAATAGAAAGACAGCTGCAGTGATGCATTGCCTCCCAACTTTACCTGCTGTTAAAACAAAAACAAAAACACAGGATCCCACAAAAAACAGTGTGCAAGAAATTAATCAAACACAAACACAGAAAGAAGAAGAAGAAACTAAGATAACATAAATTACAATCAACCCCACTACTAATTTTTTCCCTAAACATTTTTAAGTATTTTCTTCTTTTTTTCCTTCACATTTCTTGATTTTTTGAAAAAAAAAAAAAAAGAAAAAAAAAGACCTACCTATGAGTGCAGAAATCGGAAAGCATCTTCCTCCCTTCAACAATTTCATCAAAAAAATCATCAAGCTGACCAACAATATTTTCAGTCCCAGCCCTAATTACACCAAAACATCCCTTCAAATTCTCCACTCTCTCTCTTATCCCAACCTCTAATTCCCACTCCACCACCCCCTGCCGCCTCTCCAGCTCACCCCTCAGCTCATCCATGGCGGCCTTCGACCTCCTAAACTCGTACAGCAGAACTCCGGCTCCGCCACTTATTTGATTAATCTCCGACGCCACCCTCTGCTGCAGCCTCGCCGTCGATATCATGATCGCCGATCCGAAGAAGAGGCACCCATCTAATCCGTTGATCGACAAATTCGACTCCGGCCAACAGTAAACTAATCCGTACAGAAGAATCATCAGCAGAAGTGAGCTCACATTTCTCATTGCGTAAAGAACACCCCTGAAACCAGTGTACCCATTCAGCTTCGATTCCACAGAAACTTTGTCGTCGAATTTCAATAACAGGGGATCAATTCTCGTCTCCATTAGCGACCTGTTTTCTTCTTCCAGCCCCACCGCCTCTCTTCTGCATCCCGATATAGCCCTAATAATCTGTTCCAATTTTTTTTATTTTTTTAATCATTAAAAACCCAATCTTTCGAGAAAAAAAAAAAAAAAAAAAAAAAGTGATCTTGAATTGATGTTTACCTGACGGGAGAGCTGTGGGGTTAAACGGCGGTGGCCGTCGAGAGAAGAGGTGATGTTGACGCCGGCGGAGTAGTAGTTTTCCAAGGAGGAAACCCCGGATTTGATGACGTGGCAGACATCCCAAAGCTTGGAGCTTTCGTCCATGTACTCGTCGAGCCATTTGTCACCGAGGGGAAGGTGGAGTTTCTGAACCAAAAGAGTCAACTGTGTGTGGAATGATCTCAAAAGGGATAGAACCCTTTGGAGGAATTGAATAGACATGAAGTTGTTGGATGAAAACACGCGTTCTAGATCATCTATCCCACGTGTCAGGTAGTTGTAGAATCCATTCACAGAGTTTGCAGATGAAGGATCCATCATCAATCAGAAGATGAAGAAGAAGATGAAGGAGGGGAAGAAGAAAGTTGGAAAGAGTGTGGTGATATTTAAAGGGTAGAGAGATAGAAGAATTCAGAATTGTTGTTGGGAGCAATGATGGTTGTTTCCTTATGAGGGGAAAAGATGATTATAATCTGCCATTTTCATTGTTTTTAATGTGCCAAGAAATAATATAAAGGCAAATAAATCCCAGAGTGAAACAAAAGCATGCAGCAAACTTTGGACATCAATTTCTCATGACCTCTCTCTCTCTCTCCCCTCCAATTTCTTTCCCTTTTTTTCTTTTTTATATATTTTTCCTGATAAAACGGAATTCTTTATGCAAAGCTAAGGTCAATTAATATATAATACACGGACGCTGGTGTAGATGAACGGTACAGATCTATCCCGGCCCTTTTTGGACAATGTTGTTGTTAGTGATGTTAGGATTTGGGTGAGGTTGTAAAATGTTTGACCATGTTGACTAGGTCAACTCTACCTCTCTCCTATATATGATCTTACTAAAAGATAGTCATTCCTTAATCCATTTGGGTTTAATTAGAGAATTAGAAGAGATTTGGCACTCTGTTTTGATTTTAGTGCTATTTGGATTCTTGTTTCCTCATTTTCTTCCTCGAGCAACTGACTTTGCTTCCTTTACATTACATCCCACCCTCTATTCTGTTTAAATTTGTGGGATTTTGTTTTCTCCTAGATTTATTTCTTTCATTTTTATTTATTTATTATATGATTTTATTTACAAACTCATCATCATAATCTTCTTCTCTTTTTTTTTAGTTATTGGTAAAAGAAAGAAAAAAGAATTTTGGAATGATGGGATTCTTTCTTTGTATATGTATTTGTGTACCTATCTACTAAAAATTAGTCTTTTTAGGCCACTCAAAACCCTTTTTACTATTCTTTTTTATTCCTTTTCAAGATTCTTTTTAATTAATTAATTTATTTATTTTGAGTTTTATATTTATTTCCACACTAATCTTTCATTTTATTTCTTGGTCGTACAATAAATGATGCTCCACACAGAACTTACAATGAGAAATCCTAATTTGATTAGTGGCCCTTCGGACCCATCAATCATCTTATGGGACCTATTTCTTTGAAAATATTCACTTGATTTATGGAGTATCTCTCTACTATGATTTTTTTATTCATTTTTTAAGTATTTTATTTACTATTAAATAGAAAAAAGTAATAAATAAAGATTTAATGATAACAATTTTGGAGAGTCTTTTGAAGAGAGGTTGTCACATAACATCAAGATGATGTAATTATAAAGCATTATGTGGTAAGCTCCTAGGCTTAGCCATGGCATCTTAGTAATTTCTCTTAATTGTATTATTAGTATAATAATATAATAATAATAATTGTGGTTTACTACTTTACTTAACTTGGATGATGCATCTTTTCTAGCTGGGAAGATGGGGGACCAAGAAATCTAAATTATATTGGATTGGTCAATTGTTTATTAATTAAATATTTGAATAATATTATTTCTTAGTAAATGGTTTATTTATTTATTTTTATTTGATAAGAGAGAAATAGAGAGTGCTCGTGGGTTTTTGGAGAATGGGACACTTGAGGGGATGTTGGTCTTTTGAGATCTCATCGGAAAGTGAATTTGTAACTACGCTCCATTTTTTTAGACCATTGATTTGGGGACCCTTTTTTCATTTTTTTTTTAATAATTTGATACATTGCAATATATGGAGAAATGGGTACTCTAGACGAATTATTTAGGACTTATGGGCCGAAAATGTAATTATTATATTTTGAAAATCAATTTATGGTAATTTGATTCTTGATTAGACTGCCCCCATCATCATTCATTCCACGTTATGATGCTTGCTCCAAGGCTAAATTACAATGATAACTTTTTATTTGATCGAGTTGTTGTAACTTGTAAACATTATAACAATGGTTCATTATCATTTTCGAAACGTGCAACATCATCAAATTGGACTAGTGACTTGTATGAATTTGGTAATTAAATTTTCATTTTTTTTTTAATTTAAATATCCCCTATTTAAGAATGAACATTTTTTTATGGACTATATATATAGTCTGTCTGTTATTAGGTAAAGTAGAATTTATTTATTTATTATTATTTAATATTTATATAAATTGATAAAGTAGAGTTTTTTAGGTTGAAGACTGCGTAATTAATATCTTAGCCCACCATCCTTTTCCAACCTATGAGAAGATTGCAATGCTATCTATATATATAATTTAATTTCTTCAAGAATGTTTCGTTTTCCTCGTAATGAAACCTATGTTCATCCACCTGTATGGTCCATATCCTCAAAAAATAAATAAATAATTAAAAAAAAAAGGAAAAAAAGAAAAGAAAGTTATCTAAATTTAATATATCGAAAATAACATCTTCTAGAAAAGAAAAATTCAATTCAATTTTTAGTTGTATTACATTTTAAGGGAAGCATTTGTAATGTTATGTAATTAGACTAAACTTCGAGGGAGGGCAATATAATTTATCCAATCTCTGGTAAAGGGTAAAAAACAGAGTTTCGAAAAAGTTAATGGTCAAGTGGGTAAGTGTTAGCTAATATTAAACTTTAAGGGATGTTTGCGTAATTTCCAAATAAGATGGGGTACAATTGGAAGGGCAAAGTGCACTTCACCTCCTCCAAAAGTTATTTTTTTACACTAGACCCCCTACAAACATAAATGCATTCCACATTGCCCCAATGGAAGATTTTTTGGTGGAATATACAGTTTTCACCCCTAAGTTTGAATCAATTCCATATTTGGTCCACCATGTTCATAAGAAATACAAATTTGATCCCTCATATTTTAAAAATTCAACCTTTTTAGTTATTTCTGTCAATTTTATGTTAAAACTAACGGAATCAAATGTATGCTCATCACTACCATAACTGACGGACTAATGGTAAATTGACGAAAATGATCAAAAATGTCAAATTATTGAAACAAGAGGGACCAAATGTGTTTTTTATGAACACGATGGATCAAATATAAAATCATTGCAAACTTGAGATATGAAAACCATAAATTTCCCATTTTTTGGTGGAATAAAGTTTTATTCCTCTGTAATATATTCCCACCTTAATTTTTCACTAACTGATGGCATTCTTTCACAAAATAATTTAATATTTTTATTTTTCTCATGAATCAAATAATCGTAATGGAACATCCTATTTGATCAAACTCGGGTTCATGGTCATATTGTATGCGAAATTAATTATATTTATCGTGATATAATAATAATACATAATGGAATGTTTACAGTTTCATCCTTCAAGTTTGTAACAATTTCACATTTAGTCCTCGTGCTTACAAAAAAACACATTCAGTCACTTATGTTTCAATAATTTAACATTTCTGATAATTTTGTCAATTTATTATTAGTCCTTCAGTTAAGGCAGTTGGGCATACGATTGCTTCCGTTACTAGTGACGAAAAATTGATGAAAATGATTAAAAATATTGAATTTTTGAAATATGATGGCCTAAATCTGTTTTTTTTTTTTTTTTTTTTTGTGAATAAGGAGGACCAATAACGAAATTGAGATAAACTTAAGGGACGAAATGTGTATTTTTCCCAATACATAATTGATTGAGTTAAATCAAATTAGGTATGGAGTGTGATATAATTTTTTGATTTAGAAAGTTTGTTGTGAAATTGTAGTAATTGATGAGTCGTGAATGCCTAATTGTATGCAAGTGCTTAGCCAGATTAGTTATGAATTGAAATGGTTAATATTTAATATTTAAGGGACCACTCACAATTTTCAGTTTCAACTCTACAAAATAATGAGGATAAAGAAATTGATTAAAGCCTACTTTGTTTTAAGATGATAGCTCCTACGCCTGGATTAATGGGTCATGGATAAATTGTTAAGTGATTCTTGAACTTTAGCCCCTCAACTATGTGATATTTTTAACTTTAGACACTTATTTTTTTTTATTTTTTCTTTTCAAAATTCAATTTAAATGATGATTTTTTTGGATTATTTATCAATATTTTGTTCTTTTCTCACTAAATTAAATTATTAGAAGGATCAATTTTAGATAAATTCCAAAAATAATATACAGAAAAAAATGGGTGCCAACTACACTAGTGGAAGCTTTTCATTAAAATGGCCAACCTTCTCAAAGTGTACTACTCTGTTCTATATTTTTGGCCATCTAGTTATTATCTTTTTAACTATAATTTATTAAAAAAATAAAATATTGTGATATTTTATCTTAATTGGGTTTTTTTTCCTCCGAAAATGAGAAATTTATGCACGTAACATAACTACCCGAACTCTCACTACTTATCATATTTCATTTTCGAAGAATCCAATTTTGTACGAAGAAGTCGTCGTGATAATATAAACTAATACTTTCGAGCAAATAAAAATAATTTCATTTTACCTTGTAAGTTGAGTATTGATCATGTGCAGAGAAATAAATGAGACGAATGAGCAAGTTAATATATATCAATTTTAAATTTACTAATAAAAAAAAATCAATAAAAAAATTAAAGTAAATTTATTTACGTGCTTTTTTAATCGTTGATTGAAAATATAATTATGAAAGGAGAAAGGGAAAGAAAATTGAAACAACAAATGATTAAGAATGAATAGAGAGTTGTACTTTGTGTTTCAGGAATTGTCATTTCAAAGCCAATTGATTCTTTCACAGCTGTTACTTTCATAATAGGCAATTGCCTCTTTTCGGGCAGGCAATTATAACAGAGACCAACACTTAAGCCATGCCCTTTTTTTTTACCCCTCCTCCAATTAAAAAAAGTGACATTAAATAATAATTATTTATAAGGTGTTGCAGTAAATTAGCATACCCCCTTTTTCAGCCTTTTTTTCTGTAGCACACAATTGAAATTATTCCTCTGCAATCAATTATTATTATTATTATTATTATTATTATTATTATGAGAATAGATAGTTGTTCCCAAATTCATAGAGTCTAATAAAGTAACACATCACATAAATGAGGCCTACTCCCTATTACAAACATGCCTTAGGTTTAGTTGTTGTTAGTTATTATTTTTTTTTTTTTTAAAATTAAATGCAAGAGGGAAAAAAAATAAAAAAATAAAAAGAGGGTTTTTCTAAAATTATATAAACTCATGAATAAATAGCTAAACCTTTTTTAGTAATCTACTCTCACAAGTGCTTATAGCCTTTAATTTGCGTGTTCACACTCTATGTGTGGTTTAACCCTTTTCATTGTGTGTGTATTTATACACTTATATATATATATATTACAAGTGCAATTAATTAAAATGGAAATTAAAGAGAATGAATGAAATGATAGAGATAGATATCCGAGTTAGTTGTTTTTCTAGGCTAAAGATGTAACTAGATAGCATCATGATAGTTGTAATGATTGAATTTTGTGTTAGGGTAAATTCTTTGATGATATCAAGCTACTACCCTAATAATCAACAAAGAGATAATTGCAGACAGTGTTCATTTATGTTACACGGATACTTCAACATTTTAACGTATTTGTATTTTAGAAATGATTCATGTATTATGATGCTGATGTAGACCTAATTAATTGATGGTTGATAGTAATATTTCCTTGTTCGTATGCACATATGAATTTATCCCCGGTCTATTTTCCGTTTTATTTTGTTTTCTAGGGATGAAATATTGAATTGGGTCAAAAATGGGAACCCAATCAATTTTTGGCAGCTAATATTTGCTGATCTTGATTTGGCAAAACTTTAAGACAACACAACTGCATGAAAGAAGCTGTCTTCAATTCAATTTGGGTGCATGTTGCATTCTTGCTAGTGTTATTGTTTTATTATTTTTTGAGGACCAGTCCCATATAAACAAATTACACATGTTTCGTGTCCAAATACTATACAGTAAACAATTTTTCCATCATTAATACTACACAAATATCAGCCGATCTTATTTAATTCGATTTCAAAAATATATGCAATAACATTTTACTCATCCATCGTGTAAGAAGACACGTGTAAGGAGATGATTTGTTGGGGACTAGTGATTTAATTGATCAGTATCAGGATAGGGCTCAGAGTCACAGCCACCCTATGCAGTATTTATGTGCTGGGAATGTTTTTGGACATACTTTGAAATTTATGAGCAATTATTACACTCATCATTTTACATAAATATTTATTACAAACCGTTTAAAATTAAAAACACATTAAATTGAGTATTATTTTGTTCATAAGTCATTTCACTATAATTTTTTTAAAAAGAATATGAATATTGTGAATCATTTAATTTAGTTAAGGTTAGGTAAATGTGGTCCCAAAAAGGAGATGTAGTATTTCCAGCCGTAATTCAAACCAAATATTTGGACCCACATTCATAAATACACAAGAAAAGAGATAATTAATTAATTAATAATTATGGGGATTGCCTAGTCAAGTACTACATGGACCATTCGGCCGCCAATTAATAGACCCTTTTTTGTATCTCTTAAAGGTGGCATAATTAGTAGACTATGATCCTCAGTTTAACAACAATAATAAATTTATTTATTGAAAAAAATGAAAATAAATATTAGAGGATATAAATAAATTATTGGTAATCAAAGAAAGTCAGTAATTTGAAATAACATTGAATAGAAAAGCCCTTTTACGGCTGAGGGCGGCCTAATATATATAAAAGCTGCTGCCACCTTTTCTTGCTTCTCCTTAGCTTATTAAACCGGCTGAAGCTGCATCACTCTATATATCTCTATAAGTATAATGCTTCAATTAAATCGATTCTTTATAATTTATATATATTATTTTATATAAATAATAAATTGACCACGCCATTATGATTTTCTATAGTTTAATCATCAGTTTTTCTTTTTTTTTTTTCGCTACAAGTCTGCGTCTTTCTGCTGTGTAAGGCCCATATAAATATGAAAAGGCCCATATAAATATACGAAGCAGAAACCCAGGTCCAGTGGATCTTGTAAATGGGTCGAAATCAATAAATGGGTCACAAACGTAATTAATAAAATAGAGGCCCAATTTGGAAGGGCGGCATCTTAATAAATAAATATTATAATATAAATAAATTATTGATATTCATTTGATCTCTATCAAGATTTAAGATAATTAAACGTGATTTCATGTTCATATATTATTATACTTTAAACATTCGCTTCCACGAGTTTCATCACCATAACTGCTTAACACGATCAAAGACACACAAGTAAAAATTCGAAAATTTTCTGGGGTGTGGGCCCCATTTTGGAGATTTGTTTTTGAATTTTGTTTTATTGAAAAAAATCGTTTTTGTTCTCTTGTCTCCTCTCTCGTCCTCCTGCAAAGTGCAAACTTGTCGAGTTCATTCTTATTTCAGCTCATTCATAAAATACTTGTTTAATTCTCCATTCTCACTTTTTCAGTTCCTGTATTTCAAAGATTTTAAAATCTTCTTTTCTTGAAAATTGGTTATCTATCTGTGCTAATAATAATAATAATAATATTCTTTGGGAGTAGTTTGAGGTCAAGATTACTTGTTCTGCGGATTTGTTTTAACAGTAAGTTATCATCAAACCATTCCTTTTCTTCTTTCTTTACTTTCTTTGAATTGCTTTCTTGATTTTCTCTGTCTTCGTTGAGTTTACTTGACTTAATCACATGTCATTTGCAATTCTTGATTATGGGGGTTAGTTTGATTTAATGAATATTTTGTGGGACTTCAATAAAATCTTCGCTGCTTTGGTGGTTCGTTCTTGTTTCCTGCTCTGCATATCAAGTTTATATTTTTAATCTGTTTTGCTTCGATTACTTATGTTTTCTCAATCTAACTGTTGGAATTTATGTCCTTAGAAGTTAGATTTCAGCAGCACATTTGTTTTGTCACACTTTCTGCATAAACAGATTGAATTTCTGAACTTGTTCAAATTTAATACGCAGGCTGAAAGGGTATCAAATGTAATGCATATGCCATAATTGTGTTGGGCAAAGCCAATTAAGAGCAGGAAAACGAACATAAACTTAGGGGCAATCTGTTCAATGTTGCCATCTTTTTAATCGAAAATGCGATAAATACTGTGTTTATATATCGGATTCGAGGTTACAATGCCATCAATCGTTCCTACGGCTTCATTAAGAAGCAGCGACAGTTCTGTATCGAGTTGCAGTAAGCTCTTTTGCTCTTTATATTTTTCTCTGCTTTAAAATGCTTTTTACTTTTAATGTGTCCTTAATTTGCACTTTTCTTTCTCAGGTGATATCTCGGTTGATGCAAACTTCTGTACCCGGTATAGAAATAATCATTTCTTTTCGATAATGGTTGTAATATTTTTAATTTCATTTCATGCTTACAATGCGTTCTTTTATCCTCCTCTATATCAGGGAATATATGGAAAACATCAGTACAGACAGCACACTAGAAGATTCCGATTCTTTACTAAAACAGCATCTTAATGACTCAAACTTAGAAGTTAGACAAGTCAATAACAATGTGAGAAGAGTGGATTCATCGGTTACGAGATACGAGGCATCTCTCACAAATAATGAAGTGGACTCTGAATTTTGGCTTCCATCAGAACCAGAAGACCAGGAGGATGATGTCATCATAGATAGTGTTGTAAATTTTAAAGAGGAAAAGCTTAAAAGAGCAATGAACAATATTAGGAATGAGAAATTTACGGGCCTTGTTAGTCAACTGGTTAAGTCCGCGGGTGTTAATTCTTCGGGAAATAGTGATGAGAATTGGGTGGATATAGTGACTTCTTTATCCTGGGAGGCTGCTAATTTTGTGAAGCTCGACACAAATGAGATGAAGGCAATGGATTGTGATGGATATGTGAAGGTTAAATGCATTGCAACTGGTTTGCGTACTCAAAGGTAATCATTCTGTTTCTTGATTTTTTTTTCTCGCAAAGAAAAATATGTCCTCTTAAGCTAGAAAACGAGCCTGTTTAGTGTTCCATAGAATTCATTTTATTTGATGGATGTAATTTAAACTTGGGTCCTATTTCAACTCCGCAGTCGACTTATCAAAGGGCTAGTCTTCAAAAAGCACGCGGCTGACAAACGTATGCCAAAAAAGTACGAGAATCCGACACTGCTGTTGATACATGGTTCCCTAGATCTTTCTTCTGGTGGGTTATCTTCATCCGAATCAATGCAACAGGTAAGTTTAAAAAAAAATATATCGTTTTTTATCTTGAGAGTGTAAGAGATTGTCTATTTTCTGATCATTTTATCATTAAATTGACAGGAGAAGAATAAATTGAAGTCTACACTTGAGATGATAGAGAAGTACCAACCAAATGTTGTTCTCGTTGAGAAATCAGTTTCTTGTGATATACAAGACTCGATTCTTTCGAAAGGAATGACATTAGTCTTCGATATGAATCTCCACCGATTAGAGAGAGTTGCTCGTTGCATTGGTTTTGCAATAGGTCCGAAACTTTGGCAGTGCGATTCCTTTCGTATTGAAAAATTCGTGGAAGAACATGATGTTTCTCATGTGTGCGGAAAAAAGCCGAGTAAAACTTTGATGTTCCTTGAGGGATGTTCTTCACAGCTTGGATGTACAGTAAGTCTTTCTTCAGACAAACACTTTTTTGTCATAATTTTTTTTGAACTTAAAAAATGCAATTTGCAATGCACAGATTGTGCTGATGGGAGCTAACAGTGATGAGTTGAAAAGGATTAAACGTGTTATCCGACGTGCAGTTGTGATGGCATATCATTTGATGCTGGAGACTTATTTCCTTTTAGATCAGAGTGCAATGTTCTCCACAATTTCTCCTGCTGATGTGGCGCTAACCGTTAAACAGTTGACACTTATTCCTACTGATGAGACAACCCTTTCTTCGGGCTACAAGGACTCCGATACAGAAATGCACACGCCATTCATAATTGATATTCCCATTTCGGATGGCTTCCATCAAAACGAGTCAGAAAACTTAAATTTTCCTATTTTTTCCGACTTTTCTGAGAGTTCCCCAGTACTAGACTCGGAGAGTATTTTAGTTTTGATGTCGAGACGAAATGCTTCAAAAGGCATCGTATGTAAAAAGAGTCGTTTTTCTCACATTAAGTTTTACCGGAGTTTCGATGTTCCTCTTGGAAACTTTTTGCAGGATAATTTGCTCAATCAGGTTTTTCCAAGTCAACTTTTTTACCAGTGTTTTCTCTAAGTTGATGTTTTGAAATATTCCTAGACCTTACGGAGAATTTCCCCACGCAGAAAATCCAGTGCAAGACTTGTAACGAAACACCTGAGGCACACATTTCCTACTATGTACATCATAATAAGCAACTCAAAATCCAAGTCAGAAATATGTCTGCAAGAAAAACTTTGCCTGGGGGAAATGAAGGGAAAATTTGGATGTGGAGCCGTTGTGGTCGGTGTAAATCAAACTGTACAAGAAGGGTATTAATGTCCGGTGATGCATGCAGTTTATCATTTGGCAAGTTTTTGGAACTCAGTTTTTCGAATCACTCTTCGTTCAACAATCCATCAAGCTGTGGGTATGGGAAACTTAGGCACTGCAATTTCCTCTACTACTTTGGGTATGCCTAATTTTCACCTCTTTTGTGATTCTTACTGATATGTTTGTTCGATAACATATTTGTCATTTTTGGCTAAAATTCAGGTTGGGTCCCATGGTTGCAATGTTTGAGTACTCACCGGTTGAGACTTATTCTGTATCTCTGCCATCTCAGCAGATGGAGTTTCGCGGTTCAGTCGGAGGAGACTTTCTTAAGAAAGATTATAAGAATGTATGTAGCTTATAAATGTTGTTGTTGTTTTATTGTTTTAACTCCACTGAGATCTTTTGTTTTTTTTAATATCATGATGTTAAGGTGTATTCGAAAGGGATTTCAGTGTTCATTGATATTAAAAAATCTTTGGAGCAAATAGCATCTCGATACGTGGGGGTAACTCTGAACATTCAGGGGTCAAGCAAGAAATTTTCCGATATTTTGCAGATGCTCGAGCAGGAAAAATCTCGATTTGAGGTTAGGTAGTTTCTGATAGATATGACTCAAGATATTTCAAAAGATATTTTCATTGTGTGAAGAAATTTTTAGGCCATTCTCATTTTTGCTCGGTTATGCATGCAAATTAATATTAGGTCAACATTCAAGATGCTGTTAAGAATGAAAGAGAATATAATGCTGCATGTAAACTTCTAAGATTGAACAGAATCCGGTTGGAACTTCTACTCGAATCATGTATATGGGATCGAAGACTCAGCGCACTGCTCTCATCCAATGTTAAGGTAATTGATACTAATTCAATCGGCTCACACGCGCAAGAAAACCTAAATGGAACTCCGGAAGAAGAATGTCGTGAGATTCAAATTGATGGACAAGTTGAAGAATCTACAGGAGATAATACCTTGTTATCTAACTTCGAAAACGGTGAAAATTTGATGTGGGCCCCATTTTCCGACATTTTACATAAATGCATGGAGGATCTTGAGAGAGGATACTTGCCAAAAATCGAGTCTTTTAGTAGCTACGCTGCAGAATCTACTGCTCAGAAATTGATTACAGATGAGGGTTCGAAGCTGCACATTCCTCTCGGTAGCAATGAATATATCGTGTCTGATTATGAAGATGAATTATGTAGCATAATAGCTTGTGCACTTACACTGTTGAAGGATAATCTTGATGAGGGTTCTGCTCGAAAAGAAAGAGGAACAGGTTTTAAGAGGCTGAAACGTGTATTTTCTTTGATCGATGATGCCAACTTGGAATCGTCGATTTTCCAAGACTCGGATATGTTGGATTCGTTGATTTCGTATAGTGCTGGTAGCCACAGAGAAGTTTCTATGGGTTTGAGAGCATATCAAGGAAAACGTAAATACTCCGTTGTGTGTGTGTTCGCCAGCCAGTTTTTTCGGTTGAGAAATTGGTGCTGCCCTTCTGAATTCGACTATATTGTTTCTTTAAGCCGTTGTAGAAACTGGGATGCGAAAGGTGGAAAAAGTAAATCATTCTTTGCAAAAACACTAGACGATCGTTTTATCATCAAGGAAATTCAAAAGATTGAATTTGATTCGTTTGTCAAGTTTGCTGTTAAGTACTTCGAGTACATGAATCAGTGCCGTGAGCTGGGAAATCAAACCTGTCTTGCTAAAATTCTTGGAATTTACCAGGTTAGTTTTTTTATTTATTATTTATCAACTCTTTTAGAATTTTCACTTTTCTTTACAAATCTTGGCTTTAAGGTTATCATAAGAGCACCAAGAAACGGGAAGGAAACGAGACATGATCTACTTGTGATGGAGAATCTTTCATTTGGTCGGAATATATCTAGACAGTATGATCTTAAAGGAGCTCTGCACGCTCGATTTAGTACAGCTGGCGATAATTCGGGAGATGTTCTTTTGGATCAAAATTTCGTGAACGATATGAATGTCTCGCCTCTTTATGTTAGTAGGAAATCGAAGAGAAATCTGCAAAGGGCTATATACAACGACACTAATTTCCTCAATGTGAGTTTATTCAAATTATTGATAGTATTTTATCCGGTAACTAACATGGCTGATAAATTTTTATTATTTTATTTTCGTTTAGTCGATCAATGTGATGGATTATTCTCTACTCGTGGGAGTGGATACTCAAAGCCGGGAATTGGGATGTGGCATAATAGACTATCTGAGGCAGTATACATGGGATAAGCAGCTCGAGAATTTGGTCAAATCTTCGCTCATTGTTCCTAAAAACCAGCAGCCAACTATTATCTCTCCAATTGAGTACAAAAAGAGATTCAGGAAATTTATAGATACACACTTCTTGAGTGTGCCAGATCATTGGTGTTCGCAGAGATCTTCCAACCTTTGTGGGCTCGCTTTCGAAAATGGTTCGTTACATAAGAAGGCTAAAAAACGATGCAATGAGGATGATGATTCGTCTCGTTCGGTGTCTCAAAAACAAGGAAAAGAAGGTTCTTCAAAATCTCCACACCATGGTAAAGAAAATGGCTTCTTTATGGCTGAGTCCATGATTATATAAAAAGTCATTGTATATAAGTGATCGCCAGAGTATATAATTTCTGGTGTTCTATCGTACATATATATCATTTTTTTGTATGTATACACTGCTGAGTAATTGTAAAAATGGGCTTGGTATTTGAGCATTTTTTTTTGGTACAGAGTGACTATAAAATGTATAGGGAACAATACAGTTTTCACCCCTCAAGTTTACACCTATTTCATATTTGGTCCCCTATATTTAAAAAAATCAACACTTTTAGCCCTTCCCATCAATTTTCCGTTAGTACTAACGGAACCAAACGTGTTGCCATAACTGCCTTAACTGATGAACTAACGTTAAATTGGCGGAAATGACCAAAAGTGTTAAATTATTGAAACATAAGGGACCAAATGTATTTGTTGTGAACATGGGGGACCAAATATGAAATTGGTGCAAAGTTAAGGGATGAAACCTGTAATATTTCGAAAATGTATATGTTGCTCTGGAAACTGGTATTTTCATCAGAATATTTGGTTCCATTGAAGAGGAAAAAAATTATTGGTGCAAGAATCAAGATTAACATGGAAATTGGCTTTTTATTTAAAATTTTATATGCTCTTATAAGTTATACACATACAGTAAAATCAAGCAATAACAGGGGAATTGAGCTTTTCCATAACAAGATCAACTCCATTTTCGGGCTCGATGACCAAACGCAAAGAAGGAGCATGAACATATTTTGGAGAGAGAGAGAGCGAAAAATCAGACAAGATGAGAGAGAGAAGAATCTTGAGTTCAACCAATGCTAGGTTCATTCCCAAGCATATTCTCGGCCCGATTCCAAACGGCATGTACAAGTGTGGGAGTTTGCATGCACCACTTATACCATTCGAAAACCTTTCTGGCTTAAACTCGTAAGAATCTTGCCCCCATATATCTGGATCTGTATGCAAACTTGTCACCATTATCCAAATGTTAACACCCTCTGGAATGTAAGTATTCCCGAATTTCAAGTCTTTTAATGCCTCTCTCGACACAACAGCCACCGGTGGATAAAGTCTTAGTGATTCATTGATGACCATTGTCAGCTGGTAAGAAAAAGGAACAAGAATCATATGACAGTTAGCTTGATTTTCCGACATATTTATATATATATACCTGTTTCATCTTCTTGATGGAATCGGAATTTGGGATTCGGCCGTTGCAGATTTCAAGAACTTCTGCTCTTACACGATCTTGCCATTCTTGATTTGAAGCTAATAGCATGAGGCACCAAGTGGCTGCAATAGCAGTAGTTTCGTATCCAGCCAAATAAATGTTTTTACAGTTGTCTACGATAAAATCGACGCTCTCAGCTTCTTCAACAACCCTTTGCATCAGATTATTCTCCGATGTGGCTTCGTTTTTCTGATTTACCAGCTTCAATATCAGTGCTTTTATGTCTTTCTTTAATTCCCATGCTCTCCTATTGCTCTGTGTAGGGATATAACTGCATAATCGAGAATTAAAAAGTCGTAACCCTACTCATTAATTCGAGTGAAGAAAAGGGTTTACCGCATGCATGGAATCCCTGTAGATAAAACTTTCTTGGATGAAATTTTCTCAAGATCTCTTAGTTTCTGAAAAATATGTTGCCCTTCAGAATAGCTACTTCCGAAACAAGCCCTGGAAATTACATCACCGGAGAATTTCTTCAGGTAATTGTCAATTTTAATATCTGCTGCTACACCACCTTGATCATCAATCACATCTTTCCATGAGTTTATCAATATGATTGTAGACTGTTGGATTAAACTTATCATTCCCTAGAGAGAAAAAAAAAACACGCATTTTTAAAATGCGGCGAAAAAAGGAAGTTTTTTGTAAGAAATTTATGACATGTTTATTACATATACCTTAACCTTGTCCATGAAAAGTTGAGGAGCAAGAATCTTCCTCTGACGAGCCCAGAAATTGCCATTTGAAGTCAAAATGCCGTCACCAAGCAAAGAATGGAACTCTTTTGCTTGATATTTAGGCTTACCCAAATCCAGTGATGTGCATGTACTTATCTCTCTTACTATATCATATTGATTCACATGTAGTAGTTGTATATTACCAAGGGAGAACATGAATATTTCACCTGTGTAATAGAATAATCATTTGTAAGATACGAATATAAAAGAAAAGGAAACTAAAAAAGCAAGCAGATTAATATTAACCGTATTGCTTCCTCCATTCATAAAAAATGGGGAATAGAGCAGGTCCACAATTATGAAAAAACGGTGGTGAGGGGGTGGCAGCCCCCGCCTTAGGGGCTGAGATTCGAGCTCTTCTGATATCAGAGATGTTTCCAAGTAGAAAATTTGACGGTGGCCCACCGATGCCCTGCTTTTTGAAGGCCTGGCGGAGTCGGTGTGGCTTTGTAACAAGGGAACTGTATACTCTGAAAACGAGTCCAAAAATTACTACCAAAGCAAAGGATAGAAACACTTGGAAGGAAAAGTGAACCTCCATGAAACTATAATGTGACCAGATGCTTTTGAATTTTAGCTGTTCACTTGTTTTATTACGGATAGATAATCGATACACTGTCTGCATTTATGTTTTATTTGAAATGTCACACTCTCTGATTAAGCTTAAGTCAGTATCAAGTATCAACAGCGTTTGCCAAACGTTCTTGATTTGATGCATTTGGTCACATGTTAAGTTTTAAATGGAACTTTAAAGGTTATTATTTTACTGATTCACCCACTAAATTTAATTGTTATACATGAAGAATGAGTCTAAAAACGAATTAATCAACTAAAAGTATATTTTGTGTATTTCAGACTTTCAGTAAACATCCTCTCGATGATTTGTCTTAAAAAATGATTACAAAGTTTATACGATGATTTGTTCGAGGTGTTTGGAAGACAAACAAACCTTAATGGAGTAGTATAACATAAGCTGAACTGAATCGACTATTGGGCACGATTGGGATATACTGTATTAAACTTGGTATTTGTTAGTAGGACGTTGTGTTTTATGCAAACCATGATCCCGCTGATGATTACGGGTACCAGAACACATGAGATCTATGCCTCTTAGGCTGTTACCTGTTACCTTCAGTTTTAGTGACAGGTTGTTTCAAATATCATTACATCATTTTCTATTCATTTCATCAAAAAAAGTATATATATATATATATATATATATATATATATATATATATATATATATATATATATATAATAACACTACAATTCAGAGATGAAGATTACAGAGAAATTCAGAGAAAGAAAAAAAAAAAAAAAAAAATATTCCATTCATCTTTCTGTGCAAAAGGCTCTAATTTCGTCAGAACCAGAATTCGTACAACAAATAGTAAATGATTAAAGAATGGCTTTGCAAGTTATTACACATCTAGCTTACATTTCTCAGACCCAAAATGAAGAATATTTAAAAAAATATATATATTAACTTTGTGACTTTGGGGAAGAGCTTACCGGAAAATCTACATTGATCTTCACTACTTACTTTCATGACAAATTTTAGTACTCCAATAATGCTCTGGGAGAAACTACTCGAGAGATCATGATCCGAGATTTTCCCCTACTTAAAATGATCTTGATGAATAATTGCCATATATTCTGTATGCAACTCATCATTGTCTTTCTGTTTCCATATCTCGCCATTCGCATGGACAAGCCATGATATTTGAGGAGTAATCGCTGAATAATCTGCAGGGGAGCATTTAAAAGCTAGAGTCGTCAGAAATATTTCCTAGGGGCTTCAGCATTGCATGATCTTGAAAGTAATTATTATCATGTCACACAGGAAAATATTAAAAAAAAATAAAAAATCTTTTGAGTAGTGATCACTTGGTACATGCTCAGCTGGTCATGAAATTCACGGCAATTGGTTGTGTAGGAAGGTGGAGGGTATTACCTGCAGAGGACTGTTTTTCTGGATCTCTAGTACTGTGCAAGACCATTGTACCAGAAAGCACGGTAATAAACCCACAGAGAACTGAAACAATGCTACTAGCACTCTGACCAGACCAATCCTGTGGCAGCAGATGGTTAGAGTTTTAACAGAAATTGCCTTACCGTAAAATCACCACAAGACACAACATTCTTAAATACCTTGAACATTATGGCACTCGCCAAAATTGTAAGCGATGTGAACATGGCATAATAGATTGGAGATACTACAGCAGTGTTAAATGTGTCCAAAGCCTGGAAAACAAAAACCACAAACATTCTTTCTAAACATTAGCATCTTTATATGCACCTGTATGTACTTAACAAATCCTAAAAGAAAGAAAGTAAAGCAACTAAATACTCATAAATGCGATATCTGCAAAATAAGTGTGTTATGAATGAAATGGATACTGAAACTCACGAAGGGGGAGAAGGGAAGCAACCTTGTTTAAGTAGATTAATTGAGTGATTATACACGTAGCTGCAACCATGGCAAATACCCAGGACTTGAAGTAGGCTACCTGGCTAGAGCCCTCTAACGTGAGTTTTATAGCAATACCTATTGCTTTAATGCTCATAACCTGCAATGAAGCAGCACCATTTTTTATCAAATGAACAGTACTCATTTCCTACATGCCCTTTTGGTGAAAACTTTCTTTTTCCCCAGCTCAGAATGAGGAATTAAAGACAAATAGTAGCCATCTAGCGCTATGGGTTGCAAAAGAGAAAGCAATTATATATAGAGGAGCATGGTTATATAATTAATACTTACTACCACATATTATTTTTCTGCTCCATGATAAATACTATCTGGGAAGTCATTTAAAAGAAAATTGAACCAATCCAAACATCTGCGATGCATTGACTAAGGGCACGCAGAAGTTACTTCTATTTTATCTCATTTGCTTCTTTGGAGTATCCAAAGATCTCAATGTCAAAATGCCAGAGATGGATCCTAATATTGAGATGTATCTCAATATTATCTGTTTTATGTTAATAATAACTATTTCAGCTCTCAGCTGAGAACCCAAAAGTGATTTGCATAGATGTGAATACATTTATACCAAGTAGTCAAAAGTAGGACCTATACTTACTGTTAAGGATCCAATTATAGAACAAACTCCAATGTAAACCATGATGTTTGTCTGCCCATAGCGTGGTTCACAATACAACACAAGTACCAATACCACAGCTGCAGCTGAAGCTGTATACAAAAGAAAAGCTGGACCAAGAAATTTTAAAGCTATTAAAAACAACTTTATTTTTCCATTTCTATAGTAGAGAATCGGAAGAAAATCTATACAACAGCAACCAAAGTGCATGCTCTCACCTGGCTGTATAGCTAATTCCCAGATTTCTTCCACTGAGCTAATACTATGTTCACCGGGTGCATGAAGCACAATGACAGTAGAACCCACTACACACAGAACACATCCCAATATTCCTAACTTCCGCAATTCCTCTTTCAGTAAGAAATGAGCTAAGACAGCACTGCCAATGAAATAAATACTTCTTTAGTTCATATCTTTGTATGATATTTGCTACTTAGTTGTAAATAATAAGGTCTGAAAAGTGAATTTTGTTAACGGAAGTTCTTTCTTGTAGGGAGGAAATTGGATTAAGAAAGGTAAGGACATTAAACACACATTTACCTGACAATTATACTTAATGCTCCCAGTGGTGTCACAAGGACAGCAGGTGCATACATATAAGCGATAAAATTGGCGAACTCCCCGATAATCACTGAGAGGATGATATTCAAGTTTGAGTAGTCATAAAAGCTACAAACTAACTTTTTCTCAAATTAAAAATAAAAAAGAAAGACGACTTACTAGTAAACATTCCAATCCACCAAAGTGGTTCCAGCAAATATCCATATCCTCCTGAACCTTCATTTAATATATTTACAATCATTAGAATGATGTGAAATAACGGCTAAGACGTCAATATGTGAAAGTGGAACCCACATATAGGTTCTATACAAGCTATTCTCCTTCTCAATAAGCGATTCCCCCAAACGTAAATTGCAAAATGGGCCGTACTTGACAAATGTCATCCGCTATAAATACTTGAGTAGCGAAGTAGATTCATTATGACGAGTGATTACTGTCAAGCACGCATATAACCTTCGCAACGCTAACTTTCACTGATGCCTACATACACCAAAAACCTGCAAGTACTCTAGAATGATGACTGGCATGCCGACTTAAATTATGTGCTCTTTTCGTACCCATACATGTTTATTTGATTAACAATTTCAATTATTATCATTTGTTACTAAAAACTCAGACCCGTTTACCGTTCCCATAGCTGGCAAGTAAATTTCATGTGCGCACGGCCATTTAAGAGCTACATAATTTATTTATTTTTTCCCTAATCTATCCAGTATTCACACGAGATTACACAGCGAAACTACAAAACAAGCTCTAAATAAGAAAAAAAGAAAAATTGAAATGAAGCTTTACTAGCACGAGAACCAGATGCGCCAGCTCTCTGTAAACCCTTCTTCTTGATGATGAAGCTCGATCCAATAAACGCGCTCGAGCCCACGGCCAATCCGAACCCGATAAAATTAGCTCTATACATGACCCGACACGATCGAAATCTGGCAATGATATTCTTGGTCGATATGCCCCCGGAATTCAAGTTTCATCTGCTGCCGCACATTATTGACAAACTTACAAAATAAAAGCAATAATTACAACTAGAACCAGCTGCTGGGAAGATTTTGTATGCTAGGGTTTTTGATTTGGGGCGAATTTCATGTATGTGTACTGTATACGTTGTTTGGTTTTCCTTCATCTGGCAGTCTTAGTGAAAGGTGGGTCAATGTTAGGATAGACGCTATTTATACGCTGCTTCTCGATTGGGGGCCTAGGGATTTGGAATTGGAGGGAATTTCTTACAAACACCATTCCCTGCTTTCTTTAGCTGTAATTTATAACATCTTTCTTAATAAGAAGATTATTTAGATAAATGTTCGAATTTTAAATTTAAATAATACTAATCAATATGTTTCGGGTCTATGTTATTCTCAATAAGTTAAATGCAATTTAATTGGGAAAACCATATACGTATAGCCAATCAATTTTAAGTTGAGATTACTAAGTTTGGCACAATATTCAGAGAAATTAAAATTTGTATGATATTAAATAGAGGCCTACATGATTTTAAGTTGTAAAAATTCATAATTATTACTACATTAAAAGAGGACAAAATTCAAATGAAGTACTAAAGTCTTTATTGATAAAGCCCATTTTTTATATGGTAGCCCATTTCACTAGCAATATGCAGACTGGCCTAAACCCATAATATAAGCCCACTTCGGCTGACAAGGTGGGTCAGTCAACTTGAATATTATTATACCAAAAATAAGTAAATAACTGAGATTTTTATCATTCTATATAAAAAATAAATCGGTATTGAAAATTATTTTTTAGAAGAAAAAATATAGTAATTGGAGCCAATATAATTATGGAAAGTTGCATGATATACAATAAGTTAAAGATGCCAATTCTAAAGTATGCTTTTTTGTCATCCATTTTATATTAATTAGTACCAACTTACTGTTTTTTTTGTATAAATTAATATCATATTAATCCCCTTTGGCCCATAGATTCGTCAATGTTTCATTTTTTAATAATAATTATTTGTACCTATTATGCGATGCTTGTCCTAAAAAAATTAGCATATGTTCGATTCGTAAACTAATTGTACAGTCATTTTCTTGAAAATAAAATAAAGTCATTAATTAACACCGTAAAAGAATTACGACTTCACACAAAGCAAAAGGCGCGCTACTACGTATATGCTGCGCATGATAGAGCTATCCATGGATCACTTCACAATTAATATAATAAGGGTGAATTGGCTGGACGACCCTTATTTTAGTCTAATATAGGTGTAGATTCAATTTGTTAGATGAATGTATCTTAACTCAAAAAAATTATATAAATTAAATAAATTTAAAAGTTATTAGACATAAATATCCTCAAACTATTAAAACTAAATCCGGTTCGCTATTTAACGGGCTGTTGAGTTACCATGATTTACATTCCCTCCATCAAATACTTGTCGGGCTAAGAAATGAGGCTCTGGGGCAAAATATTTCACCTTTTGGTACAAATTACTTACGTAAAAAAAATAAGAAAACAAATAACACATATCACTATTTTCCTTCCACAAATTTGTTTCTCTCTCTTCTTAATTTCTCCTCTCTTCTCTTCTTTCACGTATTTTTTCTTCTGTCTCCGTTCTCCTCGCTACTCTTTCACGTCAATTCTGAAGCATCTATTAATGCTTGAAACAGTTTCAAAAAATATAATTTAAAATAATAATTATTCTAGAGAGGGTAAAGAATAAAGGAAATTGAAAATGCAATAAAGAAATAGAGAGCGAAAATGGAAGTAGAAGTAAAGAACAGGCGCTGGCGTTGCAATATTTCCATAAATTGTGAGCATTATTATTTATTACCATAATTTTTTGAATACCAATATTTTAGTCTCTCTCTGTTTTAGAGGCATTTATGGTAACTGCATAGGAGCAGTGGCAGGTGCTATACAAAGCCATAATAATCTCTGTCGCTCTCTCTCTATTCCGTCGTCTCTCTCTTTCTTTCTCTCTCTATCTCCTCTCTCTCTACAATTAGTAATGAGTAATTAGTGATTAGTATAATTACCGTCGCTATCATATATCTCTCAATATCTGTATAGAAATATTTTCTTGTTTGTTTGGGTTTTTTCTCATGTGTCCTTTCATTGCGCTTCAGTTGCACTGTCCCCATAAAAGCCCATGTCACAGTCGCCGCCATTACCTAAAGTCGTCCACTTTTTTTTTTTTCTTTTTCGCCCATAAATAAATAAATCCCTTCTTCAACACTAGAAAATCCCAACTTGTAATTATAAACGGAAGTATGTTATATATACAGTGTCCACCACCCTGCTTATATTGAAGTTTTATGTATTTCCCCTGTTTGCAGGTTTACAGCATGCTCTTACAGACAGAGATCACTAATTAAACTTGTCTCTATGATTTCTCAACCTTCGGAAGAAAGAAAAAAAATGGCGGAAAAAGGCGCAGACGTCATCAAATCTCACAAATTCTTCTCCTCCTCCGATGTAAAATTTTCATTCTCTTACATGTTTATGCATATTCTTTTGCTCTGTTTTGTGAAATGTCCTTTCTTTTTTTTTTTCTTGGGAAAGGTGGTGGAGGAATTGAAGGAGCTATGGTCAATGGCGCTGCCCATAACAGCAATGAACTGTCTGGTTTATGTTCGGGCAGTAGTTTCAGTGTTATTCTTGGGCAGGCTGGGCAGCCTAGAGTTAGCCGGTGGGGCCCTCTCCATCGGCTTCACAAACATCACCGGCTATTCAGTTTTAGTAGGTCTGGCCTCCGGGCTTGAGCCAGTCTGCAGCCAAGCCTACGGCACCAAGAATTGGGACCTACTTTTAGTCTCTCTCCACCGCATGATCTTCATACTCTTCATAGCAATCATACCCATCACCGCCCTTTGGATCAATCTTGAATCAATAATGCTTTTCATGGGACAGGACAAAGATATTACCTCAATGGCAGCAACTTATTGCATCTATTCTCTCCCAGACCTTTTAACAAACACCTTGTTGCAGCCGTTGAGGGTTTATTTGAGGTCGCAAGGTGTGACCAAGCCGCAAATGTGGTGCACGTTGTTGGCGGTGGTGTTCCATGTTCCGTTGAATTATGTTCTTGTGGTGGTTATGGGGTTGGGTGTTAGAGGTGTGGCGGTGGCTTCTGTGCTCACTAATCTGCATATGATGTTGCTTATATTGGGGTATGTTTGTGTTTATGGGAGGTGGGAGTGGAGATGGAGGAGGCCCGGGATTGGCGGTGATTGTGGCGGAATTGGCCGGCTTCTTAGGCTGGCGATTCCGAGTTGTGCCGGAATATGCCTTGAGTGGTGGTGGTATGAGATTGTGACTGTGCTTGCAGGTTATTTGCCTAATCCTAAGCTGGCTGTGGCTGCTACCGGCATTTTGATTCAGACCACTAGTCTTATGTATACCGTTCCTATGGCCTTGGCTGGCTGCGTTTCTGCCAGGGTGAGTTTTTTTTTTTTTTTTTTTTAATTATATATGAATTATTCAATGTTCATTATTTGCAATTGCTGTCACACTCGTGTGTTTGTTGGATGTGGTGCTTATTCAATCGAAACTAGTTAGGTACATGTGTTACTTGTGATGTGGATCTAAAGTTGTAAAAATCTCGTCTTTTCGATCTCTCGTGGTTATTCGATATGCTTGTGATGCAATAGTTTTGATACAGTTGTCTACTTTGCTATCGTACCGTTTTAGTCCTGTAAAAGCTTTATTTTGGTTTTATGAACTGCCCTTAATTTATTTTTCTTTAAATATTTTCGAAGGCGTTCTTGTTTTTTAATTGATTGCATCATACTGTTTATATTCAACGTATCGTATAGATAAATGTGGTTAGAAAAGTGGTGCATGTTTCAAGAATCCCATGCTGTTTAGTCATGTTGAATTTGTATGCCAATTTGATGACATATGCATCTTAACAAATCAAAGATTGTGATTCTGCTGATACATTCTTGTATTCTTGTTATGCCTAAATAAAATCGTGGCCATGCTTTATGATGCAATCAGCTTACGGAAGTTTCCGGTACAAATGGGCATCATATCTTGAGTACCTTGTCTTAATATAATTAAATTTGTTACTATATACAATTGCATCATATCCTGTAAGTTTGTTTTAATTTTTAATTCCCAAATTGGATAATTAATTAATTTGTGCAGGTAGGCAATGAGCTGGGAGCCGGTAAGCCATACAAAGCCAAGCTAGCCGCAATGGTTGCATTAGCCTGTGCGTTTGCAATCGGATTCATTAATGTCATTTGGACGTTAATATTTAGGTACAAATGGGGTGGTCTCTTCACTAAAGACGAAGAGCTCAAAGCTCTCGTTGCATTGGTTTTACCAATAATCGGACTATGCGAACTGGGCAACTGCCCGCAGACAACAGGCTGTGGCATCCTACGTGGCACAGCGAGGCCGGTCGTGGGGGCCCACATCAATCTCGGGTCGTTTTACTTTGTGGGGTCACCAATAGCTGTCGGCTTGGCTTTCTGGCTCGGCTTTGGCTTCACGGGTCTGTGGCTCGGCTTGCTCTCGGCTCAAGCTGCATGCGCTGTGTCGATTATGTATGTTGTGTTACGATGCACGGATTGGGAAGGTGAAGCTGTGAGAGCGTCGAAAGTTTCGAGCGTAGAGATGAGTGATAAGTGCAATGCTGAGAATGAAGAGGAAAAGGGGTTATTGTTAGTGGGGAATGTTTCTTTAGGGTGAAGAGGGGATATGTTGATGTACTTGTGGGCTACTTACTATTTGTTTTTGGTGGTATGGGGTTTTGTGAAGATATTAAAAAAAAGAAACACTTAATTATATTGAGGCAGAGAATTTGAATTCATGGTGGCCCATACTTTATTAGCTACATAATTGAGTCTGAAATTGGACAAAGCTTCTTCCACTTGGCACTTGGGTGAGTAGAGTTGTTTTTGTTTTTTGGTGGACATTACCACACATATTTAAACATATAATAAATAGACAACTCTACGTACTGTTGTGTTGGGAAAAAAAGGTTATCTGATGTATGAAGAAAAATAAGTGTGTTTGTTTTATCAATCAATGCATTAATGTTTGTGGTATGCAAGTGGGATTCTGGCATACAAAAAAACAAAAAAGAAAGAAGAAAGAAGAAAGGTTGTGGATGGTGGTCAGGTTATAGATAAGGGATTTCTAGATTTAAAGTTGTTTGGTCAGTTCTTAACTTTTTGTACAGACACCTGAATTTGACCTATGTCTCAGAAATCTCTTTCACACCACTATTGTTTTAGGCTTTTTTAGTATTATCAAAATATTATTAATAAAATATCTTTTCATATATATATCATTTTTTATCTTTGGTATAAAGCTAAAATGGAGATATTGAATAACTGCTGCACAGTCACCATAGATCCAACTTTCTATCTTTGGTATAAAGCTAGACTATCACACTAAGTGCCTGGTGGCCCTAAACATTATTATACTGCCTTTCCTCTTATTTATCTGCAGATAATTGTTGTGTTTTCATTAAAATATAATTCTTGTATACTATATATTACACAATTGAACCAACATAAAACTACTAATCGGGCCTCAGCCCACCCGACCCTCGGAACAAATTCGTGCCCAAAATCATCAACTAAAGGAGAGGTTATGGATTTCTGGGGTTAATTGCCCATTTTCGAAAATATCAATGTACTTGTCTTATACTAAGTTTTTACGGGTGTTGAAATGTAAATACTAAATAGACCAATTATAATATTTCTGTGAATAATCGAAATTGACTTAAATGGCATATGAAACCATTTTTCCGTTAACAGAAGCGTAACTAACGGCGTGGGCTGACTTCGGAAAGAAACCCTAACGTTAGGAGCCACGGGTAACGTCGTCGCCAATCGTCGCCGCGGCCGGAGATCGGCGACGGCCACAAAACCCGCCGTCGCTGCCACCTCGGTTTCAGCCTCTTCGACGAAGGATAAGTCTTTCGATTCCACGATGCCTATGGTCCGTCTCTCCGGCGATCAGCTACGCCGCTGCTCTGAAGCTCTCGAGTGCTTTAAATCTCAGAAAGTCAACTCTCCGCAAACAATCCACCAAGAATTCCAAACGTTGCAGGTTTATAAAATAATTGCCGTTCATACATATATTCATGTATCTGAGGGGCCTATCTCTGCTGGGTTGGCAATTGGCATGGGTTCTGATTTTTTTTCATTTAATTTGAGGTAATATAGAAATTCTAGATTCTTAATTGCAGGCAAATAGGATGGGAGCTTTGAACATGAGGAATAGATGTGCTGTGGCTCTTAGCAGCTTTAATTACTCTAAGAACCGTTACACTGATGTCTTGCCATGTATGTTAATATGCAATACAAATACTTCAAATGTACATTTTACCTTTCAGAAATGATTGTGTTTGGATTTCATTGATGCAGTTGACGAAAACAGGGTTATCTTGAATCAGTCTTCTGATTACAGACCTTCAGCTAAGGGATATATTAACGCAAGCTTTGTAAAGGTGATATTTTATCCTGTTTGAATTGATTTTGTAATTTTGTAGCGGACTATTGTAAATACAATTGGATTCTATATATTGTACATTGAATACTGATTCTTTTGATTGTAGAATTCTGAAAATGTTTCTGGGTTTATTGCGACTCAAGGTCCACTTACACACACTTCTGAGGACTTTTGGGAAATGATAATCCAGTATCGCTGCCCTGTCATTATCATGCTCACTCGGTTGATTGACAATTACCATGTAAGAGATCAGATATTTTTTCAATTTTGTTGCAATGGATCGAAGTCATCTTTGTATCATGACATGATCTTAATTTTGCGGAAGTTACCATAAATATTCAGTGACTTTATGTTTCTTGATCTCGAGAGGTCAGAGTAAGATTTACTATAAGTTATTTCTCTTACATTGGTAGTATGTATATTATGAATGCCTTTCTAGTATTGATTCTGGTTTCTTTCTCCAGATCTTTACGTTGATTGGATTCACATCCTCTTGATTGCTTTGGGTTCATTATTTTGACTGTCTAATGCTGCTCTGTTTCTGAAAAAAAAGTTAATTTTTTTCTGTGCTAAATGCAGACAGAGAAGTGTGTAGATTATTTCCAAGCGGAAGATGGACCAAGAGAGTTTGGTAATATATGCATTGCCACCAAGTGGATTCAGACAACAGACAATTCTTTAGTACTGCGATGCTTAGAAGTGAATTACAAAGAGGTGAGGCTTATGTTAAATCATTTTCCAACTCTTAGACAAATATGGGACTCGACTTTTGATTACAAAACATCCTACTTTGCAGTCAGAGGAGCTACCTTTGTCTGTTTTGCACATTCAGTATCCTGAATGGCCTGATCATGGGGTGCCAAAAGACACTCGTGCTGTTCGTGAAATCTTCAAAAGAATATCACATGTCCCACGTAGTCTTGGGCCAATTGTTGTTCACTGCAGGTTTGCCTTTGATTAGCGTGATTTATAAATGATTGTCCGAATTCTTCAATGTCTGATACTTGTTTCTCTAACAGTGCAGGTATTGGTAGAACTGGAACATATTGTGTCATCCACAATACAATCCAAAGAGTTCTTACTGGAGACATGACTGCTTTGGACCTCGTTAATACAGTTTCCACTTTTAGGTCACAGCGAATCGGAATGGTTCAAACACTGGTATAGTTTCGTAATACTTCTTCACTTGGTGTGCACTGCAGTATTCGTTCGTATTGCTGACTAGATAGATGCGCTTCTTATTTTGCAGGAGCAGTATATTTTCTGCTATGATGCAATTGTTGATGAGCTTGAAAATCTCATATCAGATAGTAACAATCAAGGAAATTTGTAATGATTCTCACTGTTCATTGAGCAATTCATTCTAATTCTTGGTTTGTAGGCCTTGGTCGATTACTGTGTGATTATTAGTACATAATAATGGAGTCTATTTGAATCTTATTCCCTCTGAAATTGCAAAACCTGCATTGGTTGAATCCTAATTCTGTAGGACAGAACATAACATTTGTAAAGACACAGCCACTTTCATGTAATGCAATATTTTCGTGACCAAAGATTATACAAATTGCATTGCTTTAGATTCGTTAAATTGTGGATCTATTTGATGATGGAACAGATATGCCTAACATCGAAAGCTGTGTTTAGCCATAAATTCTATTACAAAATACCGCTTAAAACTAAAACCTGAGGAAAAATTTCAAAGTTGACCAAAGTACAGGAAAACCTAAAAATGAAGCTCCAATGGAAAAAATCGACACAAGACCTTTCTTGTGCAAGAGAAACAAAATCAACCTAATCCACTTTACTACGAGCTACTCTTGCACGATGTTTGAGCTCAGCCTTCTTCCATCTCACCATCAGATGACACATTGAAAACAAGGTGTTGACCTGCAAGAGAAAGGACCACAATCAATATACAGAATTAGGGCAAGTAGTCGTATGTAAGAGGAAAAAAGACCACGAAAAAAGTGTGAAAAATCACCGACCAAGATTATGATTGCAATCACCAAGAGGGGCCCGGACCAAAGTATGGAGAGAAAGATGCCATGAGAGTCAAAGTAGTTTTGGCCTGCAAAGCTTTTCCAGTTGCCGGCTAATAAATGATTAAGCCTCTCAGCTAGATAAACTCCTCCAACTGCACAATGTCAATGCTTCGGTTAAAATTCTGCTTTTGCAATGTGGGCACCAATAACAACATATTCTTGATTAATTATTCTACTTCATTTCCTTAGTTTGTTTTGTTCACCTAACACCTTTAAACTATGCTCCAAAAGAACCGATTTATCACACATACAACATTACTAATAAGTAAGAGTTCATGATGCAATAGCACACGATGTAGAAAGGAAACATACGTGCAAGAAGGAACAAGCACATCTGAAAGTTGATGTTCTTCCTTGACATGAAAACTACAAGTAGCAACATCACATGAAACGATACAAGACATATCAACCAAGGTTCCTGCAGATAAGAAACGATATTCAAACATCAAATTTGGTATCTTGTCTTCTTCAGAAACATTTTAAATCCAGCACTTGCAACAATATACAAAAAATGGTTGATTGGAGAAAAGAAATGCCAACACATTTTAACTAAAATATATTCAAAATTGATGAAGTATTATAGATAACTCAGTTCCTTTCAACTGCATAATGCATACAAAAAGCTTTAGAAAAAAAGGCCAAGAAAAAATAAATATCATAAGTTAATAAAAAAATTCATAATCCTACATCATCCTAGATTTAACTAATATTCATGATAATAATTAAAAAAAAAAAAAAAAATTATCCAGCGCATTCCAGCAGAATCGGAATCTTCGTTCTCAACAAAGTCTCAAGAAACAACGCATTTTAACAACAATGGGCGACGCTAAAAGGTAAGAAAGAATACCTTCCAGTCAATTGCGTGGAAGAAACCAATGAAATTTTCATAGGCGGGTTTGAGTCCAGAGCGGAGTTCCGCTGTGAGCTTTTCCATCAGATCTGCCATTTGGTCCATGTGTTCATTAACAGCAGATTTCAGCTCCTCCATCTTTTACCCCTTACTCAAGATTTTCTTCACAACAAAAATTGTATTAGTTTCACCCCCAAAAAAGAAAACTTGGATCGTGTTTCTCTTAGATCGGTCTAGAAAGGTCTCAGCGAACGACGCCGTTTCATAGTGGGAGTCTAAGTGAAAAGACAATAATAGGCCTCGCACGCGATTCTTATTATGAAATTAGGGCTCAAGATTTAGTACTGTTGTACTATCTAATTACATAAATACCCCTTTAAAGATTTCAATTTTCAACTACCCCCCACCTTTCCCCTTCTCCTTGGCATATGATATATATGATCAACTAAGTTAGGCAAGTAATCAATGATTTTTTCTTCACTTCTTACTCAACAGTGTTACTTTCAGAATCTATATATATATATTTGTTCCTAACAAAGTACAATTAATACGAAAACAAAGTTTCATTAAAAAACGAACAAACGAAGAGATGCATGTATACATTATTACATAGTTACAAGTTATTCACAACACCAAGAAGAGGCAGTTAACAGAAACCTGTCCTGCCATCCCAGAGAAATAGCTCTCCCATCATCTCTTTCAAACACCCTAAAACCACCACCATTTTCTCCATCAATATGTACAGGTGAACAATGGCTTCTTATTTTCAGCAGCAGTTTTGCCTGCATTACAGAATTCGAACTTTGCCTAATTCCCAAAAACCCGTGATTCTCCATTCTCCCTTTCCATGTCTCCATCCTCTCATACCTCAGACATTTCCCCCCGTCTTTATCGTAGTTCATCACATGTTTAATCTCTTTCCCCAGATGATTCCTCTCGATACTTAACCTCTCAGCACTATCGAGTGGAAGGCAATCATCCAGCGAGTCGAATATCGCTGCAAAGTAATGCAACGACTCCATGAATCTCGATAAGAAATTCTGAGTTTTTCTGCTTCCTTCTTGTTCAACAAGTACCACAACGGAAGGTCTCAGCGAGTAGATGTACTTTAGCGTGTCGGAAATCTTGGAGTAACTGTTTAATGAATTCAGATGAAATACTAAGTTGGCTGCAACCGTTTCGCCCTTCCTTATCTTCGGTCTCGCAAACTTAGATCCTCTCACAATGCCTTGAAACTCAAACACTAAGTTCCGAAACCCTTTAGAAAAACTCACCAGTCTTGATTCAGTTTCTTGAAGTTGTTCCAAGCTCGAGGCGAACCCTGTGATTCTGAGCAAGATTCGATCTGTTGCAGTTGCCTTTTCTGATAGAGATTGCATGAGAGAAGGCCACTGGAATCCGTAAGATATGTCGAAATCGATGACATGCAAAGCCCTGTTGTTGGTGTTTGCCTCTCTCTCAAAGGCTTCGATAATAGACTGGTTTGCGGTGAAATGAGCAAATTGATAGAATGGCGAAACCTTGTAGAGTTCTGTGAATGCCAAGAACTGTTCCTCGGGAGTTGGGGGCTCCATTATCATATCGTAGAACGGAGATTTTCTTGTGAGGAGTCTTGCGATAAGTCCGTCAGCGAAATAGGCAGCAACCCTTTGGACAGAATCTCCTGACAAGGAAACATTCTGGTACAGTTCGCAGAGGTTTTCGATAGCTGAGGGGATGTTGTTTTCGTCAACTGATGTGGCAGATATGAGGAGGAGATGGATTAGTTGAAGCCCTTTTCCGTCTTCTTCAAGAGTTTCGGTGTCTGTCTTGTGATCGAGCTGCTTTAGCATTTGCTCCCTTGTTTGGAAGAGGGAGAATATTTTGCCTTCTTCACAGGTTTCACTTGAATCCGAGTTTGTCGGAGTTTCGATTATCTTAGTTTCTATCATTCTATCATGATAAGTTGGATCTGTGACAAGGGCAAGCTTAAGGCTCAAGAAATCATCATCGTTTATTACCTCCATCCCAAACATTGAAATCAGAGCGAGAAGAACGAGAAATGTGTAACGAAAGGTCGAAAGAAAGAAGAGCAAAGGAAGAAAATGTCAAATGAAAGACTGGAGGAGAGAGAGAGAGATGGAGAAATATAGTGGTATTTAAAGAAAATGTTTTTCATGTGTGAAGTTGAATGGAGACAAAGATTGTTACATAGGGAATAAATCTTGAGTTCTTCGATATTCGATATTCGTATAGACAAGAAATAAAAGGTATCTTTTTATTGCTTAGACAACAGTGTTGAAGGTCAATAATCTGTTCAGTGTTTGAATACTATGAAAAGGTATATTTGGATCTTTGGGAGGTTCGGAGAGGTCAAGAAATGCCATGTGTAATTTGCTGACAAAAATACAGCTTGGAAAAATTCAGCATTTTAATAACGTTTTCGTTCACTTGTCCGTATTCACAAATTCAATCTTCAACTTGTAGATTCTTTCTTTTCCACCAATCAATTGTCCCAGTTCCATTGACTTTCTCTCTCTTGTGAAAAAAACCAGTTTTCTATTGGGATTTGGCTCTTATGCAAGAATCGTTAAGAACAACAAAAATGAGTTCTTGATGTACTCTCCGTGACTCATCAAGAATATTGATCATATTTGCTGTAAAACCCGTTATATATATATATATATATATATATATATATATATATATATATATATATATATATATATATATATATATATATATTATTGATCATTTAATATCATATGTGAATAAGCAACTAATTAGATGCTTGGAACCTTTTTAATTCGCGAAATACTGAGTATATAATATTCACTATGATATATATATATATATACTGCTATACATTCTTATTGAAAACTCAGTTCGAACTTAAGAATTTTCCAAAAGAATAAAGTTATGTTTATTGGATAATTTTTGTTTCGATGTGTAGCAGAACTAAACAACTGTAGAAAACGTGAGGCATTTGGTCTGATGAAATATCACAGAAGTTTCGTGTTTGGCGGCAGAATGAGAACAAGCAAAAACGATGGTTTATTCAACGAGGGCATCTTAAACAAGTGGTAAGAAATTGTTGTCTCTATTCGACTTAAAATAATTGTTTTAGTAACATTGATTTCTAAGCAGTTGCTTAGTCTGAGATTTGCAAGGGGATCCTTTCTATTTTGTCGGTATATATTCAGTGGCGGATGTAGCCATGGTCTAGGGTGTGCAGTTGCACACCCTTGATTATCAGTAAATATTACTATTATACATAAAATAACAGAAAAGGTAGTTGGTTGAAGTGGTTAAGATATCTCTTATTTTATTAATAGGTCAAGGGTTCGAAACCCACCCTCACAATAATGGAATTTTTTTGAAATCTTAACATTTTTCAACTTTTTGGTCTTTAAATATTTACACAATTCACCTAAAATTTGTAAATTATAAATTTTTGGTCCACTATTTTTATAAAATGATATTTTAATTTTGTATTCTACAATTTCGAACCCCCTTGGCAAAAATCCTGGATCCGCCACTGTATATATTAATCCAAAAAATTAACATGTTGCTCTGCTTTTGAATTATAATATTCAAGCATAGGAAATGGTGTTTGAACGAATCCACATAAATCTCAATGTTGAGAATCTGGAGAGTGTTGTGACATTTGTTTGTGTCGTAATAAAAAAATGAAGAAATTAATAAAAAAATTAAAATAATAGTAATAATAATAATAAGGGAACAAGGGAAACAAACTATAGAGAGAGATGTAGCTATCACAAGACAAACCCAAATGTAGTAACTAACGAGGTATGGTGAGATTCCTTTGTTGCAAGAGAACTGAATATTCCCCTTCGCTATGACCAAAGAACACAGAGTATCAAGAAATTCGAAATATGATACAAATTGTTTTTATACTATATTATATTTTTAGACCAAGACAAATGGTTTGAAACCGAAACAACAATGCTAAAAGAATTTTGCGTTTTACTCGCTCCTCTTCCAAACAAATATTCCTTTGTCAAATGGCCAACGTTCCAAGTCCTATCACGAAGGTTTCAATGTTGGAAATGGAATAGAAGCTTCTATCTTCTTTGTCATTTAGCATTTCTTGTACGACAGGTAGACACGTGGAAACTGTTTGGTCCATGCAGCTTGTTCTAGATGAAGAGGTTCTTTATTCAACATTGACAAGATATATACACAAGCAAGTGTAAAGCTGGTATGTAAGTATTGCTAAACAGAGCAGAGTAGAAACTAGAAGCTCAAAATTTACCAGAACATTGGTTTGAGGAACTAATATAGAGTTGCTATCTAAAGAGAGATAATATTTCCAAAATAGTTGCTACCTGAATTTGTATAATGAATGGTCATTGTCATTTCCGAAGAAACAATCATAAACAATACATAGTCTCTTTTCCTCTTTAAGACGACGAATTAAACTCACAATGCTCGAGTAAACTGTGTCAAATTCAGTCAGAGACACAAAGATGTGCCTATTCTATTCAAACTGTTCATCTATACTCTCTTCATAGAACTGAGACACATTTCATATTCGAAAATGCAATAACTATGGAAACAGACCTAAAATCAGATGAACTGATAATATCGATCAATCTGAACCAACATCCACCCCTTTTTCCTTAAGGAATCCCTTGGCTTCAACAATATCCTACAAGACAAAACCAAAGGTGATAGTATAAACAACTGATCCGAGCAGATTACGACACGCGGGCACGAAATACTCCATATCATAGCAAGCATCATATCCAAATATTGCAGATTTGTAAATAAGATAGATACCTCTTGTAATAGAAGTGACTCCTGAGGGCAAGTTGGGAACCGCATAAGGCCAACTCCAACCATTAATAAACCGTAGCATCCAAGTGTTACAATGGAGTAGAGAGGTAGCTGGAATAAAAATGTAGTCGGTAAATGAGAATAAAGAAATATAACGGGGGGTAAAGAAGTAAATAGTATATATATGTGAAGCTCACCAACCAAGTATAGCTTTCAGGAAGCACTGATGTCTGTAATAGGCTAATCCAGATAGCTGAAAGGGCTACCAGCAAAGCCATAATCTTTACAATGTGCTTCATTGGATCTCGATTAAGACTATTTTTCACTTCAATTTCACTTTAGTACCTTGGACAATTAATTAGGAAAACATAATTTTAGTTCTTAAGAAGAGAAAACAACTTCCATTAGGCAAAACACTAGACACATGTCATTCAAAATATTCAAGAAAAGCAACGCAACTACATAGGTGAAAACGGGCGAATACAAGAATCATTCATTATTAATACTGCCATCAGAAGGAATAGGTATGGTAATTATTTCACTGTCACATTTGAAGAAATACAAATGGACAAACTCAAAGCCCTTGCGCAATTTCCCAGACATCATATGGCAGATCAATTACTTACAACACATCGGAGCATAATCAATCCTAATCTAATATTAAAATGCATGATAATATTAATCTAAAAATCAACTAACAAAAAGTAAAAAATAAAAATAAAAAGTGGATTACATTTCGTAACCATTCTTCCAATTTCTGACAGCAAACAGAAAGATTTAACGTCGATTTACATAAAGAAGAGGGTATACCCAATAGAAGGGGTAAACGGTTAAAACATCTAAATATCCAGAGTGCAAATCCTAACATATTATGATTTGGGTTGAGAAATTTTACCGCTGACTTCAATCGTTCAAAGGGCAGATAAACGAATGTGAAATTGGTTCTAACAGATCGCTGGCAGTGTACGGAGAGGAAGGAGATCCTAACAAATATTGTACTGAAACAATCTTTCTTGGGAGCGGCGGCGGTCTGCAATGGCGGAGAGAGATCGGTTTCACCGGTGTTTAGCGTTATGCATCCAAGTGAGGTAGGGTTTCGGGACTAATGACCTATTTTCAGTGTATGCTTGTAATTTTCTTTTTGCACGGCATTAAATAATATCAAGTTTAATTACTTGCTTCAATAATTAAACGCATACTTTACTCTTTCATTTTTAATTCCCAAAGCATGAGAGAGAGAGAGAGAGAGAGAGAGATAGATTTAATTATGATATGATATAGGTTTATTCGGCCCAATAAGCCCATCTGGATAAACAAATATATTGAATAACCAAACGTGGCTCAGGCCCAAATCCCACAGGATAGGAGGGAAAGAAATACAAGTAGTCCCACATCGGTTGAATAATAAAACAAACGAGAACAAGTACATAAACCTACCAACTAACTATAATGCATTTTATTCAAAAAAAACAAAAAAAAAACAATAATGATTCTACCAACAAATATATTGAATTGCCTCTACTCCACATTATTTGTGCCATTGTAACTGCCATACTTTGGAAAGTAATCACACGATCCAGAGATCATAAACGAGTTTGAATCGAACGAATTTCGCGGAAATTCATGAAATCCACCAATACTACTACTACTACTAATGCCGAAACTTAAAGGCGGCGAAAAATAGTTCATTGCATCATCCTCTCCAGACCCTTTCACATTTTGAAACTCGTTTCTGCTCGCAACACTCTGCTCATAATCGAATTCTAATTGTTCAACTTTACTAGTAGTTGCTTCACCCACAGGAATAGCCGGAGTGTGGCCTTGGAAAAGCGTGATGTGGCCAAAAAGTTTATCTTTCCTCGAGAAAGTCGTGCCACACGAGCAAAGCCATTTGTCTTGGCCACAATGCTTCTCGTGGGTTTTCAGATCCGCAACCACCGAAAATATCTTCGTATGTGTAGATCTTGTCACAGTGTGTCCTCTTGTAATGGTTCTTCACACACAAGATACTCTTAAGAGACAGAAACTTTTTATGATCCTTGTTTCTTTTGCAGCCAATATAAGGGCACGAGTACCGTTTTACAATAACGGGATCCGAGGTATATTCCTTACTGGGCTTTGCGAGTGCAGCTGCTGTTTTGTACTCGTCACCATGGCCTCTCATGTGCATCCTCAGATTCGCGTCTCTCTTGAAACCTTTCCCACATATAGCCTCCTTCTCGAGCTGTAGGATTTCATACGAGCCTGGGAGTAGATTCTCTCCTACATCACCATCATCGTCGCTTTTCATATCGTGATCCTCAACGGTGCAGATTTGTTCGGTCCCATAATTGTCCAAAAGACCAGCCTCGTTAGACAGATTTGTGACTCTTTTAGATTGCTCCAAATCATGAGTGATGGGAATATCGGAGAGGAGTGTAGTGTGCTTGTTGATATTAACTGAACTATGATCGAAGTGAAATCAGCGGTGATAAGCTGCTGTTGCTGGACTAAAAGATTGTCTGAATGACCCGTAATTTGGGCAACGACTGAATGAAGTAAATGCTGAAGGTGATGAATCTTTTTCTCAAGGAATGAGAGATTGTGTAGCATTAGTTTTGGATCCCAATCTTGAGCTGTAGTTGAATCACGAATCTGATTATGATCAATCATCTGTGTTTTATTAGTAACATGATCATAAGCAACGGGATTTTGATCTTCCCAATTGTGTCGCTGTGAAAGATTGAGTTTGTCGAGGCTCGGTGGGAGAATCACAGCCCTCCATTTTCACAAGCACAAAACACAGTGATATTGAATCTGCAATACATTTTTGTAAAAAATATATATATGAATTTTTTGTTGCTAAGATCATGCAACAGCTACAATGAGCAAATCATGGGAAGCAGATACAAGAGAGAGTGTTGAAAGAGTGATGACAAAAGAGCAATTGGAAATAGTAAGAATGGAGAGGAACTAACCGGATTAAAAAGAGGGCAGGATGCTATGCTAATTCACCAATTCAATTCAATTCAATGTTGCAGTTCCAATGAAAGAAGAAGACACTTTTGTCCATTTATTTATTTCATTGACTCATTAAAATAAAACAAATATAATAATAATTAATAAAGTAGAATAAATATTGATGAGAACAAAACAATTAACAATGGGTTGATGAGAAGCAACTGGGGAGGGGTGGTGGTATGTTAATTGTTCAATGCATCCACATTTGTTTATTCTTTTTTTCCAGTTTATGATATAGTTATCCAACCATTAGATCTTAGGATAAGCACACTCACTAATTATGTACTTTGTAAGCAGGCCCACTATACTGAAAAAACAAAACTAGGTTAAAAAGGTCTTTTCAGCCCGTCTATCTAATGTAATTGGACCAAGCTAATTAGGCCCAGTATTTTTTTGAACTAAATCTTTGTACAAAATCCAGATTCTTTTTATTTATCGCAATTCAATTTCTGGCAGGCATAATTGCCAGAATTTGTTGAGGACACAGATAGCACCAAGAACAAATTATTTAATTCTTGAAACCAGGTAGGTAGGTAGGTATTCATTCTCTCCTCACATTTTCATTTATCTTTCTTGCTTGCTTGCACTTCCTATTCATCTTGGTCAAGTTGGGAGAAACCACCACCACTTTTTTTTTTTTTTTTAAATTAATTTCAAACCAAAGGAATACCTACCTACCTACATATTGCAAATTCACTTGGTATTTAAACACACACTAGTATATCATTACTCACAATTTGATTTATCATTTAATTTTTTTTCGATGCATCCGAGAATTCCTAACCAACACCACAACAGACACAAAAACCTCAGCTGCATTTCATCAAACACTTTTTTTAATTCCTAAAAACACATGCATATATGAAGAATATTACACCAACCAGTGGCTTATTTGTTTGTAGATCATTTTCCCACATACATTTTTATTTTCTTTCTTTTCTTGGCGTCCGTCTATTACAAAACTGACTTCGAGGCTGAAAATCCATATTACATTACAAGAACAGAGAAGCTACTAGCTTCATATCTTTCATATACCTACATATCTACGATGTCACATATGCCAATCGAGTCACCTAGCATTTAGCAGCATTCGCAGCACACTTTTCATCTTCGGCCTCTTCTCCGGGGATATACTAACACAAGCTATGCCTACCTTAAGAACTGCCACCATCTGGCTTCTTACAGCAACTGTCGTCTTGCTCACACGGAAATCAAGAATATGATCCCATTTGTTCTGCTGACCTGAGTTGCTCAATACCCATTTCGCTAGTTCAGTTCCTCCACTGACAGCTGGCTTACCAGTCAAAAGTTCTAGAAGAACCACACCAAAGCTGTACACGTTTCCTGCTGCTGTCACCCTCATTGTGTAAGCATACTCTGCAAATCCAACGTGTCCGAATAATTATTACTAATAATTTTGGTTAGTGCTCAGAAAATAAAATACTAATGATTATTTTGCAATTACCTGGAGGGACATAACCTACAGAACCAGCAACAGTAGAAAGACTGCATGTGCTCTTCGAAGGATCAATCACTTTGCAAAGCTCGATATCTCCCACCTGAGGCTCATTAAGGGACTTCAGCAAGATGGTTGTGCTGGAAAGATCGAAGAGAAGAATCGGACCGGAGTTGCATTCGTGAAGAAAAGCCAAACCCTGTGATACTCCGATAGCAATGCTGTAACGGCTTGCCCAATCCAATGTATTATTATTACTATTATTATTGCCCATTCGACGGTGAAGAACGTCCGAAAGAGTACCCTTGTGGGCATAATTGTAGAATAGATAGGCACTGTCAACTGTCAAAACATAAGCAAGTGGGATCATGACATTTGAATTAGACAGCTTCCCAAGAACTTCTAGCTCCTCCTCGAACCTTTCGTGGCTTCCCAATTGGAATATCTTGTCGCTCCAGTTAAGCTTCTTGATGAAGTAAGTGGCGCCAGATGGCATGACAGCTTTGTAGTACGTCGAGAATCTTGTCTTGGATGTGATGTTTGTGGGGTCTGCCGCCGCCTCCATTGCTTTCTTGAAATCAATATTCGCCATGTGGATGCTGTTTGGGGTCAGCAGATTACCATGGATGACCTCAAGTGGAGAAGCTTGCCCTCCAGGGTTGTGAAGATGCTCGGCGTTGATCCTGTTATAGTATCTTCTCGAAAAGAACATAACTATCATTATAAGTAAGCCCACAGCAAAGCAAGCACTTGCAGCTGCAATTATGATGTCTGAAGCAAGTGATTTCCTCTTTCTTACCGCTGCAGGCGTACTAGGATTTTCTTTCGTAGAATAAATCAATCCCTTGTTTCCTTTTGTATCGAGTAAGACATAACCTGGAAAAGTCGGAACAACTCCAGAGAGTTCATTGTTCGATAGTACCACTTCGGTTAAGCTGGCTAACCTAGGCAAGAACTCCGGTATATTGCCTGAAAATCTGTTGTTCGAAAGATCCAAAACTTCCAGTGCGATCAATCTTGATAGAATAGCTGGGATAGGACCATCTAAGAAATTGTAGCTGAGATTCAAAGCGATTTGCAGTTTAGTTGGCATAGCTGGAATTTGTCCAATAAGCTGGTTCTTCCCCAGCTGCAGCTCTATTAGAGAAGATAAGCTTCCAATGGAATCTGGTATACGACCGCTCAGATTATTACCTCGCAAATCCAAATTCATAAGATTCGTCAAACTCGAAATCGACAAAGGAATCGATCCGTTCAACGAGTTCCAGCTTATATTCAGCTTCTGCAGTCTATTCAACAGCGTGATCCGTGACGGGATTTCCCCAATAAACCCGTTCGACTGAAGATTCAAGACTTGAAGACTCGTTAGATCACCCAACACCGAAGGCAATTGGCCGGTCAATCTATTATGTCCTAAATTCAAGAGAGCCAGCTTTCTGCACATACCCAACTCAAAGGGTATTTCTCCACTCAAGTTGTTCTCATTCAATTCCAAGTACACCAACTCCACAAGTTTCCCCAGTGAGGTTGAAGGAAGTACCCCATTGAGAGCATTGCTTCCTAATCTCAAACGGAACAACCTGGTCGAAATGTTCGGGGGTATCGGCCCCTCGAGTTGGTTGGACGACAAGTCGAGGGACTTCAAATTGGGCCCCGATAGAAGATCGGACGGGATTTTCCCTGTCAGCTCGTTAAAACTGAGGTCTAAAACACCGAGGTAAGAAGTAAGCCCAGATGGGATAGTCCCATTAAAACGGTTTTGATTAGCTGCAAATCTCGAGAGTGTTGTGATATTCGAGAGGGATGCGGGAATGCCACCGCTGAGATTGTTTACAGACAGTACAAAGGTTTCCAACTTGGTTAGTTCTTCTCCTAAAACCTCTGGAATTTGTCCGGAGAGTATGTTGACACTGAGATCAATCAAACTCAGGTTTGTGTATTTGGTGATTTGGACAGGGATTTCACCTAAGAATTGATTGAAAGAAAGCTGAAGCTCCTCCAAAGCATTCATTTGTCCGAGGTTAATCGGGACTGATCCGGTGAAGGAGTTGCGGCTGAGGTTAAGACTCTTGAGTGAATCCAACACATCCAGCTGTAAACCGATGTCACCGGTGAATGAGTTGCGAGAGAAATCCAAATGTTCCAACACAGTGAAACCGTTGAGGGTAGGGAAAGAACCAGAGAACTTGTTCCTACTGAAATTGAAGGCTCTGATTTGCCGACAGCCAGTGGTGTAGAGGTCTTGTGGGATTGAGGTAAGCTGATTATTTGACACGTCAAGAGATTCCAGAGAAGGAAGGGTGCATATAAGAGGGAGAAATTCAGAGGTGGATATTGAAAAAGAATTGAAAGAAAGTTTGTTGATGGAGGAATTATTAGGGGTGCAGAAAACACCCCTCCAAGAACATGGATTTGTGTCTTTTCCGACAGTTTTCCAGACGAAGGAAGGACCGGTGTTGTTCTGTAAGATTTCGTAAACTCTGGTAATGGCGCTAACCTGATCGGAAGGTAATTGGGAAAACGCCACGTGTAGGTGGAGCAAGAACACAAACAGTTTCAGAGCTGCAGTATACATATAAGCAAACCTCTTCATTTTTTTTTTCAATATCTAGAAAAAAAATAAAAAAAACAAAGCCCAAGAAACTGTGATTATTATTATTATGTGGGGGAAGAAGATGAAGTATGAAGAAGTCTGGTATGTATGTTTTGTGATGCATGTAAGAAGAACTAATTGAGGAAGATAGAGAAATGTGGAAAAAAGGGGGAGTTGACTGGACTTTGGTGTGCATAAACAAAGATGGGCCCCACTTAGAAAATGGTGTGTTTTGTTTAGAGTTTCAATTATTTATTATTATTTAAGTGAAAAAAATAATATTCTTGTTGACTGACAAAAGAATAAAAACAGTGTCCGAATACTGCTGTCACAGGTCTTCGGCCGGTTTACATTTGACCGTGTAATAACAAGTTTAATTAGTTTATTACTACTACAGTACTATGATATCAACCAGCCAACACTTATGTATGTTGATACCCATTAAAGTAATTATTTTGTATAATTTACTGAGCAAGACTTAAAGTCAACCAGGAAAAAGAAATTGAAGTTGTTATTTATTTATTTATTTATTTGTTTTGGAGAAGAAATTGAAGTCATTGTTAGTGAGTCAATTTAACGTGGCCTGACCTGACCACTTTTTTCTTTATTCGCCTTATTCCACACGCAAATTTCCTACTAATTATTCATTCATATATATATGATATAACACCAATTTACTTTTCGTTATTGTTTTTCTTAACCTACTTGAGAGGCATTTAATGTATATTCGCGCAGCGCTTGGGCCTTGAATACTAGGAATGAATGAGAAGTGGAAATGTCACACCTACCCTTTCATTTATATTTTCATTTCGAATTTGTTGATTTATTAAATGCTTACTAGTGAATTTAATTGTAACGGCACTCTTGTGATACATTTTTATGGGAGGCTACAAATTAAAGAGGCGGAAGCTAAAACGGTCATAAAGGGCATTATTGATTAACAATATACACTAGTATTGAGTATTTATTTTCTCATTTTTGAGTTCGGTTTAAAATTATATATATTTATTTTGATATTTGTTTGTTTCATGTTTAATAATAGATAGCATTTGGCAAATAGCAGTGTGCAAGTTGGGTTTTAAGAGATCCAATTAAATTCCGTGGTATCCATGGCACAAACGATATATTTATGTTTAATTTGTTGCATTGGATTGGATTGGATTGTAGCCGTTGAAGTACCAACAATTTAAACATATAAATAATCAACAACCATATATACCTTCCACCCCCAACCACCATATATCTCTCTCTAGCTACCCCCCCTCCCTCAAAACCTCTAGCTATATATATTCTAGAAACAATAAAATTAATATAATGGCATCAAATTCAGAAGAAGAATTCAGCTTCCCTGCAACTACTCTACCGTGTTTCATAGAGTCGCCGCCTCTTTGGCGGCTTGGGAATTCGAAAACTTGTAAGAAAAATGAACAAGCAGAAGAAGAAGATGAATTCAGCATAAGTGATGATGATTATGGACAAGAGGATAAAATGGACATGTTGTGGGAGGGGTTGAATGAAGATTCTTCTTCAAGTTCATGTACTGGGGAAACCTGCACAGAAAAATCGAGTAATTCGTCGTCGCCTGGAAAAGAAGTTCATATTTGCTGTATGAATAATGTATTCAACAAGTTGCCTGCAGCTAAAAGTAGTAGAGGGGACATGAAATCGAGCATTCCGGTGTTCATCAGAGTGTTGAAGAAGGGTTTTGCCATACATCATTCTCTTCCTTCTGTCAAGAAGTGTGCTGCATGGTAACTTTATTCATCTTCGCTTTGTTTATTTTGCAATAGAGAATTAATTACAGTCTAAATCCAATTCTTTTACATTTCAGTAGGGCAACTGGATAACGACTATACATTTTTTTTTTTCATTTTTTTTTCCTTTTTCGAGTTGTTAATCAACAAATTAAAGTATACTCCTTTTCTGTTTGGTTTGATACATTACTGGAAAGGAATTAATGAAGATCGATGTGTGTGTACTCATGCATGTTATTTTATATATGTATGTATGCATGTTAATTACCTTCGGATAAGTAATGAGAGCAGGTCATGCAATGATCATATAAAATAAAGTAAACCACCAAAAACAAACAAAAAAAGATTTATATATTAGTTCCCAAAAAAGTAATTAACTATTTCCACTGGTCACAAAAATATCGAGAGAATTTTTATATTTGACTCAGTTGGAGATGAATCCCAATTTTCATTAAAAACAATATAATCAATTGATTAAAAGTTCCTATGATGAATAAACACGGCCAGACGAACTCTTAAAAGAATGGGCTTTACTGCAAATTAAATGTACAAAGTTTCTTATTATTTGAATTATTGCATACCTCTACTCTGCAAAACAACGTAACATATATAGAAGAAAGCGGATACAGTAAGGTGGCGTAGCCTTCGATGATCTCCGGTGGTGGAAGAGCCGAGAACCGCCGCGCACCACAACTGATACGCGAAGGCGATGTTGTACTGTGGAGTCTAATGGCGAAAATACCCTTTGAAAATTGTTCAATGTTTTGCTTCAAATTTGTTAATCTTATAAAATATATTTTATTAATATATGTTGATTTTTTGTAGTTTAATTGAACAAAAAAGAAAAATTCATAACGTTCGAGACTTAATAAATCACAAAATTAAAATAAGAAATATTTAATTTACCAAAATTGAAATGTTAGACTGGCACTGAAAAAGATTGGTAACTGATGAAAAGTGGGTTTAGAATAATGGTTGGACTATATCGAATGGGAGATGACAGCTCAGCGGGTGTAGTGGGTGTGCGTAGCACTAGAACAAGATTCCATCTTTTCTTCTTCTTCTTCCTCACAAGCACAGCAGCACAAATCAAGTCAATAACCCCATCCCCAATCCATTTTCAGGACACTGAATCCCTCGTAACAATTTCCCCGTCAGTTGTCTTTGTCGCAGATATTTTTATTTTTATTTATTAAGGTGAGGGATGCCTGGAAAATCTTTGGCTTCTCCGCTGCTGACATTTGATTCAACAGTGCGGTTCTCTTCTTATGTAAGTGTTTCTTTCTTTTCCTCTTTACTAATTTACTAATTTTCTGTTTTCTCTTAATCTTGTTTGCGTGCCCTACTTTTATGGTGAAAAGCATACAAGTTTAAAAATATTGTGTTTCGTGTTAGTTCTTCACAGACATATATTCGAGAACAAATTAGAGCTGGATATTTGAACTCTATACTCAAAATTAATAATAATAGTTGGCAGTTAAAGTGAACATTCATTTCTTGAGAAATGATTTGTGTTGGGACAATTTGGATAAGCTAAGAAACAAATATGTGGTGCTAATAAATGCTGTTTATTGGCTTTCTCTTGCAGCCTGATTCTGTATCCTTATCAACCAGCAAACTGCCCATCAATGTAAATCTTGGAATTTATACTCAGCCAAATGCCCTCAGACTACATCGGATAACCACTTCCACATCTAAGAATTGGGGGTTGAATTCTACTGCTCGAATCCAGGATTCAATTCTTAGTGATGAAGATAAGCAAATATGGGAATCGTGTAGACAAGCTTTGTCTTCGTACGGTTTTGCCATCGAGGAAGAAGACAAAATTCTAGGCAAGGCATTTGGTCAAATTCGTTCTCCTTATTGGGGGGAAGATCGGAAAAAGGAAGTGCCCAAATTTGAGGTAGTAAATGAGATATTAAGTTATCTAAAAGACTTAGGCCTCGATGATGATGATCTGGCCAAACTTCTGAAGAAATTTCCCGAGGTACTTGGATGCAGCCTGGAAAACGAGGTGAAAGTAAATGTGCAGATTCTTGAAAAAGAATGGGGCATCAAAGGGAAAACACTGAGAAACCTCCTCCTTCGCAATCCTAAAGTATTGGGTTTCAATATTGATTGCAAGGGAGATTGCAAGGCACAGTGCACTCGGTGCTGGGTGAGATTTTAACTCAGGTTCTTGATTCGTTCATTTGTAGATTCCTGTTGCATGTGTATATGAATTATTGATCAAGTTAGTACGCAGTTTCTCTTTTGATATTGCGTATCATATATCTGTACTTGTATGAATCAGGTTCAATGTGAGGCATATTGTGTATACTTGATACAAGATTTTTATAATAATTTTACACTGATTAATCATCATCATCATCATCAATTCAGATTATCTGATTTGTGTATTGCAGAATCGAGAATCTATATAAACACTGTAGAGATATTTCTATACTCTCTTGCATCTCCACTTATTTTTAGCAGGATTAGCATCCCTGTTTCTTGTTGATTTTGTGATTGATGGTTACTGAAATCAAGAATCTTGAAGTTCAAAAATTGCCATTAGCATATCTGCACTTGGATGGAACTGAAAGGTTCAAAAACTTTTATTCACCTTACCGCAAAATTGCAGCACTACATAAGGATACTTCACAATGATGTATCATTCATTTATTATCAAAATCCAAACATGACTTATTTTACGCATAAAAAAGAAGAAGAAAAAGAAACCCTGTTTCTCACTCAACCACACACATAGTAATCAAGGACACTTGGGCCTATTTCCATGTGTTGTTAGCTTGGCATAGCAAGGGCAGAGGTCTTTGTTGCCATAAGTTCCTGGAGGAACACAATGGCACCTTGCACAGCAGCTCTTGCATGCTCGATGGCACAGATTCTTTCTTGATGACTTGCTGCATCTTCTTGAGCAAGCGTAACTGCAATCTGTTGTTCAAGTTTTGTGTATGTTAATATTCAGGGTGTGACCCTTCCCTTGAGACAATAAATGGAAGAAATGAAAATAAAATTAGTTACTGATTTTTAGAGGGTGGTGTTTCTTGAGAAGACCTCCATAGTTATCCCCTGCATCCTCCTGGAGCAGAAAGAAATTAAATCTCACTTAGACAAGAAAGAAGGAGATTATATAGAGGCATGTGGAATTTGAAGATTTTGTTAAATAAGAAATGATGTACTACCTGGGAAAGAGAATTGTCGGCATCACTGAGTACTGATGATACCTCTACCGCCACAAAAGCCTGTAATAATCACAACGCAAACGTTTACGATTCAGGGCCAAGTAAAGCTGCGGAGTATTTCCAAACCAAATATACCTGTATGAACAAAATTGCTATGAACAATATAGAGATGAGCTTCATCTTTGGAGGTAGGTTTATAGAGATTGTGGATGCTAGTTAGAGCTATTTATAATAAAGAGATTGGTTCGTTGGTTCGTTCGGTTGGTTTTAGTTTGAGAAGGTTATTGAGGTTCACATGTAAGGATCAATATTCAGATAACCCCAAGAAGAAGTTGTCTTAATATATATAGGAGGTGTACACTGCATAATGAGTTGTTGTGCTAGCTTACGTTTTGGCATGGCATCCATTGTTTGAGAACAGCTGTTGACAAAAGAGATATGGAGAGAGAGAGAGAGAGAGAGAGAGAGAGAGAGAGAGAGAGAGAGAGAGAGAGAGAGAGAGAACAAATTAAAGTTTTAAAATGGTCCGGATCCCCTCTGAAACACGTGAGCGTGGATTATCTCCACGTTGTGTTTTTAACTTTCTTATTTTTTAAAACTAAATTTTAGTTATGGAATAAGTAGTGCTTAGTGGGTTAAGTATAGTGCTTAGTGGGCTAAGTAGTGCTTAAGTGGGTTTAATTGTGAATATTATTCTAACTCCTTAAACTAACCCACTAACCCACTAACCCATGTTCTTGAGTGCTCTTGTAGTTGGTTTTTCTTGCAGATCATGGGCTGAGGAGTGGATGCTTGGAATGCCTATAAATACCGACTTCAATACTCAAGGAAGATGATCGATTCTACGAAATAAAAACCGAGGGCTGAAGAGAATACACGAGTGTTTTAGTTAGGTTTTAGAATCGGTTGTTTGTACTCTTCATGAGTACATTCTTTACGTACTCTTCGTGAGTACATTCTTTACGTACTCCTTATGAGTACATTCTTTACGTACTTCTCATAAGTACATTCTTTGTAGTCTAGATTGTTTAGTATATATGTTTCTAGACTTGGTTGTAAGAATGATCAAGATAGTGATTCATTCATAAGTTCTTTACGTACTCCTCACGAGTACATCTTTGAAATCTAGAATTTTTAATATTTTTCTTTTAGTATCTAGATTTGATTGTAAGAATGATCTTGAAAAAGATTCATTCATAAGGAAGAAGTTTTCGCACCTCTTCTGTTTGTATTCTTGGAATACTGTTTTTAATATATTTTTCGTCCTGTAAAGGGCAAGTTCACAAGTCTTTACTTGTGAACATTTTTAATTCTGAGCACTGTTCTTTTATCTTTATATTTCCGCTGCATGTTTGTTCAAGTGTCATAACACTTAAGATAACACCTCTGTATTAAACGAATTCGGGACCATAAATTCTTTCAATTGGTATCAGAGCCAACACTTGACGTATACTAAGTGTTTGTTCCTATTTTCTTTACAGAAACGAATTCGTGATGGATACTCGGATGACTGCTTCTATGCGACCTCCTGTACTTGATGGCACAAACTACACCTACTGGAAAGTCAAGATGAGGGCGTACATCAAAGCCATTGATGAGAGAGCCTGAAGATCTATTCTTACTGGATGGAAGCCACCAACTACAACAGATGCGGATGGAGATGTATCTTCAACACCAGAATTACGGTGGACATCAGATGATCTAGCAAATGCCAATCAAAACTCAAAGGCATTAAATGCAATCTTTAATTCAGTAGATTTAACAATGTTTAAATTGATTTCAGTGTGCACTTCTGCGAAGGATGCATGGGAAGTTCTTCAGCTACATTGTGAGGGATCAGATAGTGTCAGAAGAACCAAGCTCAGATTACTCTCTTCCAAATTTGAGAGACTGAGAATGGAGGAAACTGAAACAATTTCTCAGTACAATGAGAAGTTGATTGATTTGGCTAATGAATTTCAATCCTTAGGTGGTCCTTTGAGCAACGAGACACTAGTGAATAAGGTATTGAGAACTCTTCCAGGAAGGTTCAGCATGACGGTTACTGCTATTGAGGAGGCTAAAGATACATCATCTCTACGGCTGGACGAATTAATTGGAAGTCTCAAGTCCAGAGAGATGAACTTCGAAGATCAAAGAAAGGAGAAAGGAAAGGCTATCTCAAATGCACTCCAGGCAGAATTAGAGAAGGAAGATGTTGCTCCGGAATATGATGATGATGCAGAGGAATGTCTCAACAATGTTGCATTCCAAATTCAGAAATTCAATAGGGCATACTTGCGAGGTGGAATCAAGCCCAGACAATTATTTCCAGATGGCTCTTCGCAAAATCGACAAACTCAGCCCCGGAACAGATCTACTTCACAAAGAACATTTTCTCAAACACCTTCTCAAAACACTTTAAAAAATTCTTCATTTATTCGTTCAAATTCTGAACCACCTAACTTGGATCATATTAAATGCAGGGCCTGTTCAGGATTTGGACATTATGCTAATGAGTGTGCAAATACCTTGAGAAGAAGAGGAATGAGTTTGATTTGTGCTGTCAGTGATGAGGAGGAAGAGCAACCAGAACAGACAGAGGAACAGCAATCCACTAAACAAGCTCTCTCTGTCAGATATATCACTGGAAGTGCTTCTGAAACAGAATCACAAGGAGTTTCTCTGGATGCTGCAACACTTTCTGAAACACTTTCAGTAACTGAAATTTCTGAGTTAAATACTGATCATTATACATGTTTAAACTCTATTTCTTTGAATGCAGCAGAATCCAGTAATGAAGCAGTTAGTGATGATGAAGAAATGTGTAAGAAGCTGATCAGCAACTTGGAGAAGAAGACTCAAGCTCTAGATGCAGCCAACAAGGAAAATTCTTCCCTTAAAGAAACAATCACACATTTGGAGGTTGGAATCACCAAGAAGGATCTTGAACTGGCAAAGGTGAAAGATGAACTCAAAAAGGCAACCCTAGCAATCAAGAGGATGAACACTGGCACAACTAAACTCGAAGAGATTGTGTCAATGGAAAAGCACTACAAACATGAAGGGCTAGGGTTCAAAAAGCAAATGAAGCCAGTTAAGAAGAAAGAAATTGTCTTTGTAAAAGAAAAGGGTGCAAACAGAAAGGATTGCAGGAAGTCCACAGTCACCACTCCAGATTCCAGAATAAGAGGTTATGTTTGTCATTACTGTTTCTCACCAGGACACATTCGTCCATTTTGTGAAAAACTCAGCAGTGACAAAATGTTGTACATAATGAGTCACAACACTCCAGGGAACACCTCCAAGAAAAAGGTAGAATTTACCAAAAAGGAGTGTAGAATATGGACTCCCAAAGGTAAACTTATGTGCAAATCAGTATACACTTCTTTAAATGCTAACATTTCAGGTTCATGGTACTTTGATAGTGGATGCTCTAGGCACATGACTGGAACTAAAGAATTTTTATCAAACTACCATACACTAAATGGAGGACGTGTAACCTATGGAGGAGGAGCTAAAGGCAAAGTGATTGGGCGTGGAACACTCAGTATTGAGGGACTTCTAAAACTTTCAAATGTCCTACATGTTGAAGGATTGGGGTCAAACCTCATCAGTATCAGTCAATTGTGTGATGATGATCTACGTGTAGAATTTGATAAATACTGTTGTTCTGTGTTTGATAATCAAAATCATTGTGTACTTACAGGTTCCAGATCAATGGATAATTGTTATCAAACAGGTGACACCATCTCATGCAAGAGCTCAAGAGTAAGTGAAGTAGAGCTGTGGCACCAGAATCTAGGGCACACAAACTTGAAAAATCTGAAGCTGCTCAACAAGTACAATGCCATAAGAGGAATTCCAGATCTCAAGGTCAAGGACATTCCTATATACGGAATGTGCCAGAAGGGAAAGCAAACTAGAGTGTCATACAAAGTGTTACAACGCGTTGGTACCACCATTTGTTTTGAACTTGTACATATGGATCTTATGGGTCCTATAGAGGTAGAAAGCCTAGGTGGTAAGAAATTTGCATTTGTGTGTGTTGATGATTTTTTGAGATATACTTGGGTGTATTTTTTAAGAGAAAAATCAGATCTAGAATACATGCATGTGTTTGGATGTGTTTGCTATGTCCTAAATAATAGAGATCATCTATCTAAATTTGATTCAAAAAGTGATTTGAGTTTATTTGTGGGATACTCTAATAACAATCATGCGTATAGAGTATATAACTTAAGAACTCGAACCATTATTGAATCTGTAAATGTGGTATTTGATGATTTTGCTGATCTCCGCAGTAAAACAGCTGAAGATGAAGTTGATGACCTGATTGCTGAAGGAGAAACAACCGGAGGAGACACTACTGCCATAGATGCTCCAGATATAAACAGTCTAGTATCAAGAGAAGAGGGTGTTGAGCCAAGTGTTACCACATCTGACTCAATACTTCATACAGAGAGCACAGAAGCTGAATTGCAGCCAACTCATGATGTCTGCAGAAAGGAACCATCAAGTAGAATCCAGAAAAATCACCCCTCGACTCAAGTTGTGGGAGATATCTTTGGTGGAATAAGAACCAGAAGAAAAGAGAGAGTGAACTACAGAGATATGGTAAGAATTGCTAATTTATCTTCTGAATGTGCACTAACTGGAACCACTTGTTTTGTGTCTTTAGTGGAACCAAGAAATATTGCAGAAGCTCTGAAGGATGAATTCTGGGTAAATGCAATGCATGAAGAGTTGAATCAATTCATCAGAAAGGATGTTTGGTACTTAGTTCCCAGACCAAGCCATGTAAATGTGATAGGGACTAAGTGGATCTTCAAAAACAAAACTGATGAAAAAGGTACAGTTGTTAGAAATAAGGCTAGGTTAGTAGCACAAGGATATACTCAAATGAGGGTATAGACTTTGATGAGACTTTTGCTCCTGTAGCTAGAATGGAATCTATTTGATTACTTCTAGGTATAGCCTGCTGTCTTAAAATCAAACTGTATCGGATGGATATCAAAAGTGCATTTCCGAATGGAGTTTTAACTGAGGAAGCATATGTTGAACAGTCCAAAGAGGTTTTGAAGATTCTGCCAAGCCTAATCATGTTTTCAAGCTTAAGAAGGCACTGTATGGTCTTAAACAAGCTCCTAGAGCGTGGTATCAAAGACTCACTGACTTCTTACTTGAAATACAGTTCAATAGAGGGGAGGCAGACAGAACCCTATTTGTTAGAAGAACTAATAATCATATCATTATTGTTCAGATATATGTTGATGACATTGTTTTTGGCTCTACTTGTGCTAACCTTTTGCAGTCTTTTGTAGATTCAATGTCTCACACTTTTGAAATGAGTATGGTAGGGGAGTTGAATTACTTCTTAGGACTCCAAATCAAACAGACAGGTGAAGGAATGTTTGTGAATCAGAAGAAGTATGCCCTCAATCTGGTCAAAAGGTTTGAGTTGGAATCAGCCAAGCACATGAA